CAATAAAGATTGTGAAGCCCAGAAAAATAAGCTGAGCACCTGCTTTTTACTGCCAAGCCATTCACTTTTGACATTTGTATAGCTTGCATTTTTTGCCCATGGTTTTTGAGGAAATTTTGGAAGCAATCGTTGAGAAGATTGCATCTAACTCAAAGTTCTCTAAAGAGCAGATTCGACAGTCATTGAGTGTGTACAGGGACAGCAACTCTGACTTCCTCTTGTTTTTGAACAAAGTTTCTTCCTCACCTGTGGTCGATGCTGAAAATCTTTACAATACCCTGCTTGAGAAGAAAATACCAGAAATTGAAAACTTAGCCTGCCATGACACCCATTTAAGCTTCAACCTGAACAAAAAGATGTTTTTCAAGGACATACTTTGCTCAATGCATTCCCGGGATATTGATTTTGGAAAAAGTAATGTTGGGAAAAGAGATACTGTTGTAGTCGATTTTAGTAGTCCGAATATTGCAAAATTATTTCACGTGGGGCATTATAGAACAACAGTTTTGGGCAACTTTATTAAAAACCTAATGAAAAATGCAGGATACAACGTAGTGTCTCTTAATTATCTTGGGGATTGGGGTAAGCAGTTTGGGCTTGTCCTGCTTGGATTCGAGATGTTCGGTAGTGAAGATGAGCTGGAAAAGAATGCGCTGATGCATTTGTTTGAGGTGTATGTTAAGATCAACAAAGAGGCTGCTAACGATCCTGCCATTCATGATAATGCTCGCAATATATTTCGGGAAATGGAAGAGTTCAAAAATGAAAAATACATGTCGTTGTGGAGAAAATTCCGAGAAATGTCGATTAATAATTTTAAAAGGCTTTATAAGCAGCTTAATATTGAGTTTGACGTCTATTCTGGCGAAAGTTTTTATTATGAATCAGCCAAAGAATTTGCCAGCTCCACTTCGATAGCTACGACGGAAGAAGATGGATCAAAGGTGATCGATTGTGCAGAGTACGGAAATGCACTAATTCAAAAGTCTGATGGCACAACACTTTACCTAACAAGAGACATCTGCTCAGCCATTGACAGGATAACTACGTACAACGCCAAAAAGCTTGTCTATGTAGTTTCCTGCGAGCAGGATTTACACTTTAAGCAGCTGTTTTCCTGTTTAGAAAAGCTGGGATATGATCGAAGCATGTTTGAGCATGTGAACTACGGAAGTGTTAAGGGCATGTCTACGAGAGGGGGAACAGTCCATTTTCTTGAAGACATTATCCAAACCTCGTCTGAGGCCATCAAGGCCCGACTGCTAGTAAATGAAGACATGAATAGTGAAGACATTGAAAAAACAGCAAAAATATTGGCCATTTCAACACTTTTAGTTGCCGATTTTAGTGCCAAACGAATCAAAGGATATGCGTTTGATTTTGAGAAACGTGCTAATTGTGAGAAGGGTTCTGGTGCGTATCTTCAATATGCTCACTGCAGATTACACAGCATTGAGAAGAATAACAGCAGCTCAATGGCAGATGATCTCTCCAGCATTGATTTTTCTGTGATTGATGTGCCTGAAATTCATGATCTCTGCTATCGTCTTCTTTGGTATGAACGAATTCTTAATCTCTGCCTTGAAGACTATGAGCCGTCAAGGCTTGTGCTGTATTTGATGGATCTTGCCAAGACCATAAATAATCTGATTACAAAGTTCAGGGTATTGGGAGAAAGTGAGCATATAGCCAAAGCTAGACTGCTGATGTTTTCTGCCTGTCGAACTGTTATCAGGAATGGACTATTGGTTTTGGGCATCACACCTTTGAACAAGATGTGATGATGGATTTTATTAAAGTGGGTTGAGGTTAAAAATGCAGCCCTTGTTTTATGCTGTGGTGTGACTGGTGCCTTGTTTTTTTATTTCCATCGGCAACATCTGTATACCATACGTTTCTTTGCCTCTGTCTTTCTATTTATTTTTTAGATTATTTCAAAATTTTTAAGCCCAATGAAACAATTCAATCTAATTTACTCACCAAATGACAGTGAAATGTACTTGTTCAATGATCTGGATTTGAGCAAGCTCTCAGAGCCTCTTACAATTGAGAGGGAAGAGCAGGTCCAGGAAGAGGAGCAGGTCTTTGAAAAGAAAAAGAGCGAGGTTGTTGAGTATGAGGACGAGAATTATGTTTCCCTGAGAGAAAGAGAGCAGGATCCATTTGTTATCGTGGATTGTGAGTCTAGAACGATGTGTGGAAAGTTCCAGAACATCTCCGATAGTGCAAGCATGTACTTTGCCCTGATAAATGTTGGCAATTCGTTGAGAGTGGTTCCCATTTCCAAATGGTACAGATTTGTGCAAAAGAACCAGTTTTCTGAAGGAGATGTTGATGGACTAGAGAAGAATTTGGGTCATATTGAAATAGAAACGGAAGAGTCCGAGTCTCAGCATGAAATCGACTACGACAATGTCTTCGATGATGACGATGGGGACATGAATGAAGTTTATGTCTATAAGGAGAAAGAGCTTTCAACATCAGGAAGGAAAATGCAAGGACTGGTAGAGTGCTATGAGGAGAACATCAACGAAGAAGTAAAGGAGGAAGCAGAAGAGAAACCAGAGGCAGTAGAGAATGCTAAAAAAGCCAAGGTTGATACTGAGTATGTAAAGAAGTTAACAAACGACGACATTAGAAGAGCATTTAAAGGAAGGAAGATTTCGGTCAAGGACTTGTTATTGAATCTACGATCAAATTTCAAAATGGATGAATCCGAGAAGAATCTAATACGAAATTTTTTGAAGGAGAGCTGCACCTTTGAAACTGATTCTGTCACGGGCGATAAGATCTTTAAGCTGAAAAAGTAAACTGAAATACAAGCCTAGCACATTGTACATCAACTTCACTGGGCTGATATGATGACCGATCGGTAGACTGTGGATAATGACTCCTGAAGCTGACCATTTTTGAGAAATAAATTTAGTAGACTGAGTGTATTGTCAACAGCAGTTTATGACACATTTATATGACATAAGTATAGTAAATGTGCTGAGTAAAGTATGTCCTTGTTTAAATTTATTTTATTCATCAAAAACACTAAATATTCTGCTTACTGTGGTAGCTGCAACACTTTTCATGGAAACAGACGCCTTGAGAATCCTTATTGCAGCACACAGCCCTTTGCTATCTGCAATTTCACAAAGCTTCTCAACCGCACCATCTTCAATTTCTACATCGTTCGAAGCACAGTAGTTCCTCAGGATATCGCCTGTTTCTGATGCGGTATACTTATAGAACCTTAAGCTAATCTCACCCGCAACCTGGCGGCTATCTTCTTGGTCAAAAACCAAAAATACTGTTGGATGTAACATTCCTGAGCATACAGAAATTATACACTTAATCTCATCTTCAGATAGCGCTTCACATCCATCAATAACCAAAACGCCTCTTTCTAATCCTGCCTTACCCTCTTTTAGAAGCTTAGCTACTTTTTTATCTACTTCGTTTCTAATATACCCATTAATATACACATCTGTATAAAGATATTCTTCGCCGTTTTCTTTGAAGTTAAGTGTGTCCAACTCATTTAGTGTTAGTGTTGTGTGAACAGTCTCAGTTTTTATGCACTCTCCTTCAGGCAGCTGGATCTTTGGAAGTAAGTCAAATGCCAAGGATGGGTTCCTTTCGGATAATCGGCCCTGTCGCACTACAAAGCAGCTCTCTTTGTAGATCTTTATGATGTCTCCAACACACACTCTTTCTCTTTCTAGCTCCTTTCTGATTCTTACTCCAATACCAAACACTGATTCCATATCTCTTGTCTTCAAATGGATCTTACCATTTGACATAGATATGACCTCGCCCTCCACGATTTTCAGATACTCCTTTATTGTAACAGCAGTTACGGACCGAATAAGCTTGTGCAGCTTTTGAACACTCAGCTTTCCATCGTCTCTAATCTCCTCGGCATCAACAATACAGGACATTGTTCTCCTTTCGTGTACTCCTTTACAAATGAATGTATGTCTTCCTGATCCTCGTGGGCCAAAGACAGTGACAACGGATCCTTGGTCTGACTCCAGGATCCTCTTTAGAAGCGGAAGATAGATGCTGGCTCTTCCTGTTGTAAGATATCGCAAACACTCATGTCCAGTCTCCTCGGAAGACAGCACATTTAGAAGACCATGCATTGGGGCACTTGTGTTTTCAAAGTTTTAGTTTTTAGAATGGTGAAATTTAAAAGCCAGTAAATATGCCTTTCTCTTTATATAAAGCAAATGAAAAACAAGACGGAAAACCAATTGGCACATAACTGTTCCAAATAGATTAAATGACTGCTGATGCAAGAAAGCACACCGGCATGTGCTGGCCCTAGAAGTATGCTGCTGTATGCCTGCACGATGTTATCTATAGTATCAATGATACAGTCATTGCGGTACTGGGCTAAGGTCTGTTGTTCAAGCGCATTGTCTTTATTAACTGCATTAAGTACATACAGCCGTCATAGATCCTCTCGAAGTTCTCTTCGATCCCTGATGGTCCAGTGGTTAGGATATCTGCCTCTCACGCAGGTGGCCTGGGTTCGATTCCCGGTCGGGGAAACGTACTTATTATATTGAGTTCAAAGGGCTTCTTCGCCGTATGCTTTTGCACTGTGCCAATTTATCTACTGGACTATTTGGATGTTTTTATAAGTATTCGTGGTTTTGGTGATTTTGGAGCGTTCCCTCCAGATTGGCCTTTTAAGTAGAATCCCCAAGTTGCTCAATGATCTATAGAATCTCAGACGAGCTTTCAAAACTAATCAAGTCACAGCAATATGTTCATGATAGCTACATTGTAGCCAAGGAATTGATTGAGAATTCACTCGATGCAGGATCATCAAGGATTTCTGTTGCTATAACTGAAACTTCAATTTCTGTTGAAGACAATGGATGTGGTATTGAGGATCTCGACCTAATATGCAAACCAGGGTTTACATCAAAGGAGGACACATCCTATCGTGTTCTTGGCATTTCTTATTCAAATTCGAAGTTTACCCATGGCTTTAGAGGCCAGGCACTCTCAGCAATTTCTGAAATGTGTGATGTTGAAATAACATCAAGAACAAGCCAAAAAACATTGGGTTTATGCAAAAACTACACAACAGGAAGGACAGAGATGAAACCAAGAGAGCAAGGAACAACTGTAAAAGTCGAAAATATGTTTAAGCGCTGTCCTATTAGGCAGCAATCCAACAGAAAAACCATTAGAAAATCTTTAGCCAAAATCATAAACCTTATAAAAGCCTACTTGTATGTATATCCTGTATATTTTAAGCTTGTGTTTAATAGTTGCACATTAATTAGTGAATGTGGAGATGAAAACACTACTGACATTGCCATTTCTAAGCATGGCCCGGTGCATTTTGAAATTAGAGACGAGAAATTTAAATTTCTATTGTTCCCATTTGATAAATCAAGTACCCAGGTCATCATGATTGAAAAAAGAGTTTGTAAATTCGAGAGGGTTTCCCAGCTGGTAAGCAAGATATTTGAAATGTATTTTGCATATCCCCCTACCTATATTTTAACTTTGAGAGATGAATGCGATGTTAATCTATCAGTTGACAAAACTGAGGTAATACTGCGAAGCAGTAAGTACGTTGAAAATAGAATAAAATCAGAACTTGACAGATACTTTGCCCTAAAGCTGTACATTCGCGAAACCAGCCATATTGATGAACACTGCAGCACTAATGAAGATGTTGTTCAAAACGGTGATAGCCTTACAAAAAGTACAGCATCCGATGAAAATAAAAATTTCGAGGTTGCCAGTCAGATGCACATGAAAACCAATACTGAAGCAGAAAGTACTACTTTCGAAGGAAATAAAAATCATCCAGAGGATACTCTGAATGGCCAGAGTGTTTTTTCCATAAATTGTCTTAAACCTGAAAACACTGTTGAGTATATATCTGCTTCTGAGCAAGACAAATGTAATAACATTGATGAAGAGCTTGAAACCTTGTATAGGAGCCATGCAAACACAAATGCAGATGATGCAATTGGTTTAAATGACGATTGTGGTAGTTCGAACGTCAAGCGAAGTAGGCACGAAATTGGAAGTCAAATATGCTGCAAAACACACTATGATCATGGCAATATCGCCATCAACACATCATTGGATGATAACAATATCAGTATGTTTGACAGTGTCATTTGCAGTAGTATTGGTGAAGTACCCACAAGGAGGATACAAGACGACACCACATGCTCTGTTTATAATTTTATTAAAGAGGAATCACTAGGCCATTCAAGGCTTGTCTTCGATAAAAGTGACTTTAAAGAAATGCATATCATAGGACAGTTCAATCAAGGCTTTATTTTATGTATTCTCAAAAAAGGCAACTCGACTTTTTTGATTGCAGTTGATCAACACGCAGCCGATGAAATTTACAATTTTGAAAGACTCAAATGTACTTTCAAGCTCAAAAAACAAAGATTGTTGACTCCAATTCAGCTCGAGTTTTCACCGATTCAACGGCTTTTGATTGAGGAACACAAACAAACCTTGGAAGACAATGGATTTGTGATTTCGGAGAATTTGCTATTGTCCTTTCCCGTATATCAGGGGGTATTCTTCTCTGTGGAGGATTTTTACTCAATACTTGATTCTATCTCAAAAGGCATCCTCGTTCCTGAAAAATTCAAAAACATTATGGCTTCAAAAGCCTGTAGGTCGAGCATAATGATCGGCACATCGCTGTCAATGAAAGAAATGCGGCGTATTTTAGACAACTTGTCTGTTCTTGATCTGCCATGGAACTGTCCACATGGTCGCCCCACCTTCAAAGTTCTATGCGAAATGAAAAGCATTAAAAGTTACCCAAACAGTTGATTTTGATAAAACTTTAATAAATATATGATTTGGAGTGATATTCAACAATTTCGCATGCAATTGGCGAAGCATAGTTATCAAATATTGAAGTTTATTTAACATCGCTGTATTACTTCAACTTACAAGAGTGTTGTTACTTCATCCTCAATAAATGCCTGATGAAGAGATTCAAGGGTAAATTTCTTAGATATTGAGCCCATTCCAGACTGGATGTTGCCCAAAACCTTCAAATCCTCCTCATCAGAAACAAAATCAATAACAAACCCAGATCTATTGAACCTTCCCGATCTACCAATTCTGTGGATGTATGTCTGCTGGTCCTCTGCTGATGAAAAATTTGGAATGTCAAAGTTAACAATTAAATTAACTTGAGGAATGTCCATTCCACGAGCAAAAACATTGGTGGACACAAGAGTCTTGGTCTTTGCATGCAGAAAATCATTAAAGGCCGAGTCCCGCTCTGCAGGTGTAAGATTTCCATGTATCAAAGAGACCGAAAACCATCATCACGCATCACTTTTGCAACGAAATCTGCTGTGTTCTTTGTTGCCACAAAGATGATACTTTGTGCAACCGTCAAGTATCCAAATAGCGACTTAAGAGCATCAATTTTCTTGGATTTAGGAACTTCAATGTAATACAGCTGGATTTTGTCTGCCTTCTCGTTTTTTTCCAAAAATTTGTCGGCATTTGGCGCCAGTTTTGACAACGCTTTTTGTGAAAGTTCGGAATAGGTGGCTGAAAAGAATATTTTCTGTGTCTTTTCAAATTTTTTCAAGAGTTTTAAGGTCAAAGCAATAAAGGCCTGATTTGAGATCAAATCATCGGCCTCATCTAATATTAGCATCTTCATGGATTCGGGGATCAAAATGGAATTGTTAACAAGATTTATAATCTTTCCAGGTGCGCCAACTACTATTTCTTCAGTAATTGCCGTTTTCTCAAAATCGCCAAGTGCAAAACAGACACTTAGGCTAACAAATTCTGCCAGCTTCTTAATGACAGTTCCAATTTGCATGCAAAGCTCTCTTGTTGGTGATAAAATCAAAACCTGTGGGCCTTTTTTTGGTTCTGCTTTCTGCAGAGCGCCCAATGCAAATGCGATGGTCTTTCCCGTGCCACTTTTACTCTGAAATGCCGCATCCTTCCCCTTAATTATCTGGGGAATGGCGAGATTCTGGATGAGAGTTGGCTTTTCAAGTCCCATGGAGTACATTCCCTGTATCAATTCATTCTTCAGACCCATCGACTCAAATGTTGAGTTAGCAATCAGCTCCTGCCCAGATTTGAGCTGCAGTGAATATAGCTGATCGTTGTTTAGATTTGAGACTTTGCTAGTATCTTCTCTCAGAGAAACAAGAAGCTCTTTTGCCACCTCTTTGTCATCCTGCATTGGAGTGGCCATTGGGTAAAAATTTAGAAAGGACTAAATAGAAAACACTGGCAAATAGCTGATGGCAATAACTATAGAGCTGTCATAGAGGTTCTAGACCATAGTGGTATTTAGAACCCTATCAGCAGTCGACTGCACCAAAAGTTAATTATTATCAAAGCCAGCAGTAATGCTCTAGAGTACACATCGCCATTGCATATGAGTGTGAGCATGTATGGCATACCGTTAAAGTTTATTTTATAAACAGCCAAACACCCTTCGACATGAAAAGTAAGAGAATCAAAGTCTTACAGTTACTTCACCAGGGAAACAACTCCAAGACTGTGTTGGGGATGATTTCTAGAAAAAAGTGTGTTGTAAAGAAATACTACACTAGGAACTCGCTGGAATTCCTTAGAGAAAAAGAAATACTGGGATCATTGAATCATCCTAGCATCTTGAGACTATTTTACATTGGAAAAACAAGAACACTGGCCACCGATTTTGTTGGAGAAACATTACGAAGTCTTATTTCAAGAAAAAACATCGGTACCGAGGAATTAGCAAAGTTTTCTATGCAGATCCTCAATGCCTTGGAGTATATTCACTCTAAGGGAATAGTTCATTTTGATATCAAACCTGAAAATATTGTCATTTGTGGTGATATTCTCAAGATTATTGACTTTGATTCCGCAAAGTATGAGCATGAAATAATCAAAATCAACAACTTTACAAACACATACACTTCACTGGAGTATCTTGTTGGATTGAAGACTGCCCATTCATTCAAAGATATTTGGTCATTTGGGTGTATTTTCTATGAGATGGTCTGCTATGAATGCTTGTTTAAAAATGGAAATGCATTCAAGCTTGTTGCTGAAATACTGCAAACATTTGGATCACCCGACAAATCTGCATATTCGGATCTTCAAATCAAGCATCTTGATTTTGTCAACGTATTTGGGATTACTCAAAAAACACAATTCCATGAAAAATTTTCAAAGATTAGCCAAAAATATCATCAGATACTTGCTGAAGTTTTTAAAATGAACCCACACGAGAGAATATCAGCGAAACGACTGAAGAAAGACATAACCAAATGCTTCATCTTTCAATAACGCTATTGCAATGCAATATGTACATTAGATGCTTTTGAGCATTAAAGGCTGTTGATAGAGATAAGAATATTTGGTTCATTGAAACCATAGTTATCCAAGCATTTTCAAATGTATGCTACCGAAACACTCTACCGCTTACTAGGGTCCCAAGAACACGCTTCTTTTTTCCTAGATTGTGGCAGGCCAAGAATGCCATGCTAAAACTATAAATACCGGTTTTGTCTTCAACCTTAGTGCATCCCATGCTACATTCTATATTGGCTAATCAACTGCAACAATATACATTCAGGCTAGATTGTATTATGTTTTGGGATCTCTATGTTAGCTGGCTATGTGTACACACTTCATACCATTTTCCATCTGTCTTTCCATCCAAAATATTTTCAAACACAAATTTCTGAACATTCCTAGCCCAAGATGGATGAAAAAGTTATCCAAAGCAGTAGTTTAAAGCAAATCATCGACCGAATGTTTCCAGATAAAATCAACCCGGACTGTTTGGCACAAGTTCTCCAATCTCTAAAAAGGCAGAGAAAAGTATCGTTGAAAGAGATTGCAGATCTAATTCTTTTTATTGCAGATACCAGCCATAGAGAGTGGAGCTTAGAGATTATTCTTAAAAGCATTAATGAAACATTCGAAAATATCAACTGGAGAGATGTGTATGAGAAATTCTTCGAAAGCGACCTGAAGATTTGGAATAAAGAGTATCTTTATACACTTGTTGATTGCTGGGTTTATATAAGTGGCATCATCACGGTCCCATACGAAATATTTTTTAGAAAATGGAAAAACAGGGAAGATCAGATTGAATTTTTCAAGATTCTGTTGGATTGTGACGAGAAAAGAACGCAAGTATACTCAAACGTATTTTTCGAAAGATTGGTAACAAAAGATGATGTGAAAAGTGCAAAATATAAGAAGAGCATTGAGTATGAAAGCAATTTCAACTCGGTTGAGCTCTTTAAGTGTCTAAAGGAGATTGAAGCCGTTGAGATTGTTAATGTTGTGCGAGACAAGTCTCCAGAATACTGTATTCTAGGTCTTGCATCAGTCCAGCCGTTTTGTGAAGATATACTGGACGAGCTTCTAGTCCATCTTTCAGAGGGTGTTGCTTCGCAACTTGTATATTACATTCTATTTTCTCGATACAGGACCGTTGTTCTATATTCATTTAAAAGATGCAGTGGGAAAGTTTTATTAACCAAAATTTTGGACATTCTTCTAGAACACAAAATGCTGCCAGTAATTGCCGAGGTTCCAGAGCCTGCTGATCTGTGCTACGACATTATCATTCTGAGCTCACGCAGAGATCATCTGAACCTTGAAATATGGTTGTCAAACTGCCTTAAAAAGAATCCTGTGTCATTTATTAAGTATTTGAGCAACAAGCTTTTGAGTACTGTACAGAAAGAGCCCACTGATGATGTTGAGGGACCTGATAAGCGATTCTTGCTTAAAAGCGAATCTGACATGTTTCCTTTTAATCGACAGACCATCAACAATGTCCTTAAGATTCTCGAGGGCGTTGTGAAGGATTTGTCAGATGACTGTCTCAATGTCATCAGAGAAATCAAATCTAAAATGACCGAAATTAAAGGTCTTGAGAAGCCCAACTACTCTGACAAGGCAACCACATTTATTTCTGAGGTGATTAATTCACAGGTGGATGTTGAAGACTCTGTTGTCAGGCTTGCCGAGCTGGCCAAGGGTGATGAGTATTCAGTGACGTTTGCAAAGAGGATATTTAGTCTTTTGATAGATAACTACTCAAGTCTATATCGTCTGCCCAACTCTGATATGCTGGCAATATTCTTAGGTGAATTAATTCGACGAAAAATTTTGTTTAAGCCCTTCTTGAAGGTGATCCTTCAGCTAATAAAGAACTCCTTGAAATACCCGGAGAATGACCGAGAATACACCTTTGCTTTTAGAATTCTCGAGATATTTTTCAACGACGTGCCCGAATTTTTTCTTGAGATTGAAGATATTGAAAATGTTAGGCATGGGCTAATTAAAAAAGACCTGGTTGTTGTTGATGAGGACTCCCAAAGAGAACTAGACTTCGATGAGCTACTGAATATTTTATTTAACAAGGAGGAAGACATTTCAGGTGTTGAAAACTTTTTGAGCAAGGAGTTTGAGCAGGCGATTTCAAATATGAAAGTTTCTAACTCTACCATTCCTAAAAGCCCGAGTCTGTTTGACGAAAATCTTCTATCAAAAAATTTCAATATTAGCTACGGTCAGATAAGCAGATATTTGCTGAAAAACCTGAACACTGATAGAGCCGAGAATTTCTTGCACATCAACACCAGCCATAAGACACAGTTTTTTGCCTTTTTTGTTCAAAAGGGATTTTCTCTTATAAGACTACTGTTTACATATAAATTCAAAGACGAGGTCAAGTATTGTGAACATCTGGGAGCGTTCCTTGGGAAAATTCTTATAAGGAGAGACATTCCAGTACTGCTTGACATTTTTGATTTTAGAAGCTTCCTATTGAAAAGCATCGAATATCGGCGAATTTCTGTCTCCATTTCGTTCATAGTTAGCTTCCTGAAAGAAGGTAAATATAGCCGCATTTTCGTTCCATGCAATCCTTGGCTTATGAGTATCATGAACCTGCTTGCCGAACTGCACTGCTGTACTCTTGCCGATATTAGGGTCAAAATATACAGTCTGTATTCACATTTTGGACTGAAACTCACATGCAAATCTACATTAAGAATGAGGGAGCATTTAGTCAAGTATGTCATTGAGTTTGATGGAATACTAAAGCAGGTCATTGCAGCAGCACTTGATTTTAGTGTACGAGAAATATGCAATAGAATAGTAAAATCATGCTTCACGGTTGCAAAGAGCACAGCAGCGTCATTGTTTAACAAGATAGGGGGTGAAAATAGATTTTTCCTTTTCAGAAACCTATTGGTAAATCTCACTCGCTCCTTAATTCATATTTCGGCGCAAGAGCCTTTAAAAGCCTCTATGTGTGGAAATATCACTCATTTTTTGAAATTGAGTATGAATGAGCTTCCCCTGGAGACAGTCTACAGCATTGTATCGCAGAACCTTCTCATCTGTTGTTTAATTATTGAAAAGGCTGGAATCACGCATGTAAATGAGACAGTGTCTTCGTTTTATAACGAGCTGTTGTTGCAAGAACCCGCACAGAACGAACGCTTGCTCTCCGGACTTGATCCCAAAAATTCCCTGCGAATTCTCTCTGAGTCCTGCTTTGTTGAGAAGGTTAATATTCGATCGGTGGAGAACGTCGAGTATCAAGAAATTAGAAGCTTTTTGATCCAAATTGGCAAGAAAATGCCTACAAAGAAGAAGGACTACATCTCTGAAGAATGGCATACTCTTTTGGGTTCTAACAGATCACACGAGTTCAAAAGAATAATATCCGTTATTTCTAATTCTCCTGATCGAGACGAGATGTGCTTGAGCCTGTGTAAGTATCTTGTTGGGCATGCTCTGAAGACAAATTGCTCTGAGGAGTACATTTTTGGATTCATTGCTTCTATTTTTGAAATTTCTCCAAAATGTAAACGAGAGGTTGTTGGCTGGTTGATATACTCTGAAGACTATAAGAAATTTAATATCCCGCTGGTCAAGAAGTTTATTGAATGTGACTTTGTCTGTCTAGAAGAGCTTGACCAATCTCTTTCGAAACTTTTAAAGATAGAAGACCAAAAGTTCCTTGATTTTGTTGTTGATCTCTTGGATACACTTATTCTTCAGGACATTAAGCTATGCACAGTCTATGACTTCATTTATACTATCGAATCGCTCAACAAGGTGAACGACAATCCAAGGATCTTTGAGTTCTTCAAGAGCATTGAGTCGGGAATGATGAAGTTTCAAGATGGAGCGAATGATTTTAACATGTTCGATGAGTTTTTGAAAGACCTTCATGCTAATATACCACCTACACAGTATCTATTGCACTTCAGGGAAAAGTACAAAATGGAAAAGGCCAACTTCAGACTTGCATTCAAGTCGTGCTGGCACCACTTTGTGCTTTATTCGGGCTCGTTTCGTTTCTTTAAAGTTGATGTTCTTGCTGCCTTAGTTCGTGATGATTTATTTAATAATTTGAAAGAAAGCCTCAAGTTTCTAGCACAGGCTTATTCCAAAAGTCACTACTTGTTTTTTCTATTTTACTGTAGATTCATTGTAAAGGTACTTGACTTCATAGACGATAATATTGATAACCGTATTATGGTCTGGAAGATTTTAGAGCTTCTTGCACCATCCAATATTCCAGGATTTGTAGCACAGTTTATCGAAATTTTAAACCACAACTTCATTGCAAAGTATTTTGAGAGAAATGAGGCATTTTGGATTGCAAAGGAGCTTATTGAGGCTGTCAAGTGGAATGAAAGTCTTGAGCCCTTGGTTTCTGATTTTGTGACTAAGAATTTTGCGCATCTCAAGAGATTTAGCATATACTTGAGCTTTTTGTGTCCGCAAATGTGTGTAAATCTCAAAAATATATTTAACCAGTCGAGACCTAAGGTAATCGAAAAGGGAGCCAACTCGTTCTTCAACACGATTTATCTTCTTACGAAGCAGACAAGGCCCTTTTCCAAGTACTGTGATCTGGTTGATCACCTTTGTGACAATCCAGTCACCAACACACTTGCTATTGAAAGTATAAAGAGCATGATTGATAGAAAGATTAGTCTAAGAGAAGTAGTGCTTCTTTTGATGATTAGGTTTTTTGGAAAGAATGTTCCACTAGGTGTGAGGTCTGCCTGCGAGGAGATATTTAAAAGAAATGATGTAAGGGAGATTGTGTGTGAATATGAAAATAAGTTTTTTAATAAAATATGAAACCATGCAGGCTTTTTATTGATTTTATCATTTATAGCCAGTTTCCTTTATAATATTTAGCATATGAGCACAGCTATTTATTCATGTCGATTTCATCCAGCTCAAAACTGTCATTTCTTCTTTGAAATAAAATTGAAACATCCTTGTCTATGTTTTTCACCAAATCAACATATGTTTCAAAGCTTATCGGAATTCGTGTTTTCTGGAAATGGGAAATCACCCTCTCTTCTATAGTACTGTATTTGCTGTTGTTAACTGTTTTTAGTATGCACATTGCGTCGACTGTCTGCTTATCACAAATTTTTCGGATCAAATTTTCTTTTGAACTTTGCTCGTTCATTTGGGCTGGAATACTGGTCGTTCAAAAATTTCTTTGGATGAAAAGTGCTTTGCCTCAAAGCTTAGTTAAGCAAACATGATCAGTACAGCTAAAAGAAAGCAAATATTTATAGAAAATGCTTGTTGTAATAAAAGCAGATTTATTGTTTTGCTGGTGCTCCATGCATAGATGAAATCAAAAAATGGATGCTAAGCCATATGCTTGTCATCCAGAGCTACACTCGGAACCAGTCTTTTGATCAATAAACCAGTTCCCTTGCGCATTTTAGCTATCCATAAAATAGAATATTACTTTATTGTTCCGTACCCTTGCTGCCCTGGTTTATAGACTTTCCAGCAAGAATTATTTCATCACACATAAGCAGATTGATTGTTGTAATAACTGCGTTGGTAATACAACTATTCACCACTTTGATATTCTCCACAACATTCTGGTCAGGCTCATTTTCTCTAAATAACCTTACTAATTCTTCATTGATGTTCTTATCATCATTTCTCAGCAGTGTCTTGATAAGGCCCTCAAACGCTCTTGATAAAATTTTGTAGCCTACAGCATCAGAATGATGCACATTCTGCATTTTCTCATTGAGTGTAGTTATAATACTTTTGTAGAGATCAATACCGCCATAGATACAGCATTTTGTTTGAATGGCAATGGCAAGCGAGTTGACTGTGCCTTTGATGCTCCTGCTTATTCTTTCATAGTCTGAATCACCTCTCAGAAGAATTGTGCATGAGCCCTTGAGAGGAGTGCCTTCAATAAATGTATACTTGTTCTCGTTTATTGTTTTTACCGTTACTTTCTGGCAGAATCCAAGGTTTTCTTTACAAAGCTGTGAAACTTGAGTAACCAGCTTGCCACCACACATGTTTACAAGTCTTTCTAAGTTTCTTCTCTTGGCTCTTCTTAGTGCCAGCACGCCAGCATTTGCCAGTATTTCTAATGAATATGGATCAATGCCCTTTTCATTTATTAAAACAAGGGCTTTGCCCTCTCTCTTCAAGGTATTGGCCAGATCGGCTATCTTTTTAGCCTTTTCAGCGATAAATTCTCTCTCACTCAAAGCCAACTGTTCTCTTTGCTGTGCTGAACTATAGCAGAACTCTGCATTTACTTCTGGCTTCTCATATTCCAGTGACATATTGGCTGTCAATACACACACATTCTCAACATGCGTCGGCATTGTATAGTGTCTGCCGCCATGATCAAGAACTAGCCCGTCGACAAAGATTGAATCGGCGATATCACCTTCTTCCATTTTGAGGATTTCTATCATATTCGTGTCGAAGGATCGATTGAGACTGGCCATGGCCTTTAAAACAATATCAACCAGAAACCCCGGATTTCTTACTTTAGTACTGAGGGAAGTAAAGACCAATTGCCTCAATGTCTTGTCGGATAATGGAACTGCGCTATTTTGTATCAACTCGGATACATCCTTAAGAGCCAGCTGTAACGAATTGATTACCAGAGGAAGCGATGTGCCTTCACAGTAATACTTGTATGCTTCCTTAAAACATTCACAGGCGAGTAAAATAAAAGCAATAGTACCATCGCCATTACTATTGTATAGCGATGATGCAGTTCGGGTAATTAGAATTGACGTAGGATGGGTGAACTGGATATCTTTGCATAGCGAATTGCCATCCTTGGTGAGATTCAATTGCTGGCCACCGCTCAAAAGGGCCTTTACAGAGCCATTAGGACCAAACATTGGACCAAAAAGCTCCGCCAATTGCGAACAACAGATATTGTTTATTGCGATTGCCTGTCCTGACTGTGTGACCTGTGCTTCCGACGATGTTGACTCCATGGGTACTCTAAAATTTTTATTTTAGAAGAAAGAAGATCGGCGTGCTTTACTCTGATCTACAGTATTCTATATTTTATAATATGCCATCTTGCCGGCTAGTAAGAAAATATTTGGACAGCAGCCACTATTCATTTGCTAATATCTTAATAAAAAGAACAACTTCACTTTACAGATATGCCTGTGCATTCTAGCCAAGATATTTTTAAAAACCTATAAAGTTTCTGTGGCGGCTACTTCACCATTGCCCATCCGATATGCTCTTTCTTTTAAATAATTATATTTGTATAAATCTTAATGTTGTAATATTATATTTTGATTCAATATGAAACTGAAACACTGGTGCAAATATTGAACGGCTCAGTGCTATGTCTATAATCAAAATCGTTTTATTTTCAGCCCCAATGAAAGTTAAAGTCGTGGGAGATATAGACGGCTTTGCTATCGTCTCATTAAGGGAGCACATTTCCTCTTTGGGATTGAATGCAGCGATTGAAGTCGTAGATTGCAATGAAAGTACATTTGACGATATTCTCGAAATTCAGATCGCTAGGAGAGATGAGAAGGCTTCATTTTTCTGTGCAAAATTGGACACCAGCGGCAGTTTCAAGCCGGAGGATCTGAATCAATTAGTACTAAAGTGCTGTGGGTACAAAAAGACAGCTTTAAGTGGGTTGACTGTTAAAGACGCTAACAATAATAAAATAAAGCCAACCATCCAAATATTTTCTAACATTACATTGAACGGCAGTCTTCCCGACAATCTGGAATACTCAAAATCCACACTTCAAGAATATAAACAATCTCTGGTCAAGCAGAGAATCTACTTTGACTCTGAAATCCTAAGCTCAATACTTCCAAGCACAAGCATCTGTTTCAAGAGCAATGGTCAGTCCTTTGAACTGCTTTTCGAAAATTCAGTATGCCTCGTACGGTTCACTCCTACAACAATCCCAACATCCCTAGATTTCATATTGGATCGAACTGTCAACGATAATCTTTTGAAGCATATGAAAATCAGAAAAAGCCATCCCGTTTTTGATGATTTTATAACTGGAAAGGTTGAAAATATCGTATTTAATAAGAAGCGCTATAAAAGAATAAAGGAGAATAGAAAAGACATGGAAGACCTCGTTAATTTTATAGAGCATGCCCCAAAGTTTCAAGATTCAAGAGATGGCATAATTAATGAATTGAGGGAGTTTATATATGAAAACTATCCACCCGAGTATATTCATAAATACCAGTATTTGGAAGTATACAAAAGCAAAGCTCTAAAAATCAGAAACAGAAACAGCCTGAAGAGATTTTCCGAACTATGATTGGCCTGCAGTTCTGCAACATTTGCAAACTAATATGAGCGCACCGATTCCAAATAGCACTAAGTATTGCTAACACACCACCCAGCACTGCTCGGGAACCTTCCTAGTAGTCACTACCAAATAATGGATTTTGTATTTCTTTACCCATGAAGAGCATCTTTGAGAAAGACTTGGAGTTTATACAGCTCCTCTGCAATCCAGAATATCTAAAGTGGCTACACAATGAAAGATACTTTGAGAGAAGCGACTTCAGGGAATATTTGAGGTATCTTGAATATTTCAAGGACACCAAGTACTCAAAATTTCTCATGTATCCCCAATGTATTGCCATTTTAGATATTCTGAACAGTGAAAAGGCATTTGATTTCCTTTCAAACGACAAATTCTATTCAAAATTGGACGAGAGTCAGCAGCAAATGTGGAGATTTCGATATTGAGATGCCTGGCCGACCTAAGCTTTTGCTGGAAAGTGACTAAGACTACTAGTGGACTACTTAAAGAATGCACAATAAAAAGTAAATATAATAAGGTAAATTCAAGTATTCAACTTATGTTTCATTAACACAGTAGTTCAATTGCTACATGTATTTAATTACTTTTCTATCCTCCTCTCAATGCTAAAACCATGTGTATTACATTTCCTGATGATATTTTGTATGATGAGAGTGTTTCTGTGTCATTTCCAAGAATCTTGCCATTGCAAACCAGCCTTTGCTGCTCAGGAGGAATCAGCTCAAGCTCGCAAATTTTATTTTTAAACTCTAGAATGGTTGCAGAACTGTCAATTTCAATTGCTTTGTCCTTTCCTGTTAGGCTTTTGAACTTTAGATGCATGGGGCTTGTTTAGCCAATTTACTTAAGAAGAATTGAAAAGACAAAGCTGTAACAAAATAAATAAAGTTACAATTGAATTGAAATACATGGGCTGGCAAAATGCACAGTTATATTCGCCAGACTATTAGGAATGGCATATCCATGGAGGAATGCATGATTATATGCATTGATATGGTGTGCATTTAACTAACATAACGCCATGTGGCCCACAGGCAATAGCTCTGTAATTGAATATATCCTCGAGCCCAATCTTTTACAAATACCTTTAAACAATAACTGTGTAGACAAAATACATAGTGTGAAGGGGATTCGAACCCCTGCCATTACTGACTGGAGCCTAATTCCAGCGCCTTAGACCACTCGGCCATCACACTGCAAAAGTACATTTTCTATTTTGTTCACCTTACATTCATTCGGTTTCACTCAATTTCTGATTCTTCTCCACAGCAAATATTTGCACAGATGCTAACAGCCAATAAGGTGCAAAAGCAATAATGCGGACTCCCACAATCCTTTGTTTATTGAACAATTTTTGTGTTTTTATTACCCTGCTAAATGCAACTTATTAACAATTCTGAAAGTAATTCTCAAAAGAGCACAAAATGTCTGATTTGTAATGAAAATATAAACGACTTGATGCCTCAGCACATTTGCATTCCTAAGAAAAGCATAAATTCAAATAGCATCACAATTGAGGGCAGCATCAGCCAAATATCAAATTATCAGAATCTTTTAACGTTTCCGTTCTACGAGGAAATAAAGAGAATTTGGCTAGCTGATAACAAAAAAAAACAATGAAAAAATATGCGGAGACGAATACAAGACAGAAACTAACCAGGAAGACTTTTCATTTAGTCCCTACGATAATTTCTTCTGAGCGAAGTCATTGCTAAAAAGATAGATTTTAAAACATGCAATAAAGATCCAATAAGCTTAATATCAGTGCAGAAAATAAACAGCTTACTGATTTAGTGGTAAGTAAGCGGCAATGGTGTTTATTTTATTTATGGCATTTACAGCATCCATCAAGCGGCATCGCAACTTCAACTACCCAATTTATTCAACAGTTGGTGTATACAATCATTTATTCAACAGTTTGGAAACCATTGTCTTTCTCTTGGGCTTTTTACTAGAAAACAGCCCGGGCAATGCCGAAGTGGCAATGTTCTTTTCATTTTCATCGATGTCTGTTTTTCTGGTCAAGAGGTTTTCAATAAACGATGCTGATATTTCAGGGTCAGAGAGTATCAGGGATTTAACCTCAACTATAAACAATTCCCCACTCACAGCTTCAATCAACGGACAGAACTTAAGACTGAGAGAAACGTAGTCTTTGAAATCATCTTCATTTACATATTTTTTGAATAGCTCAGATAGCTTTTCAACGTCATTTTTGATAGATTCGGAGATTTTATAAGTTAGTGGGATCTTACTGGACCTCAGGGCTTTTTTATAAACATCATATATTTTTGTACAAAGCTCGCAAATTAGTGTTGTAAACATGTAATCGCTCATCATTTTCTGATAATCCTGAAGAAAATCATCAAGCGTTACAATGAAGACCTGTCTCAGCTCTTTTCTCTGCCACTCATCAGTGAGTATATTTGAAAGTGCGGGCTTGCAAGTGAAAATAATATACTCGCACAGGACAACATTTGAGTTTTTGAGAATCCCCAGAAAAATTTGCTGAAGCTCGCGGACTTCATCACTTTGGAAGAACGAAAGAGTTGATATGTACTGCGTCAACCTTAGGCCTGAGTTGCCAAACATTATGCAATAATCCTCAAATCCATGCAATCCCTTACCCTCGTAGACATTCTTTAGCTCTGCTTGGAGAGCCATATATATATTTTCTTTGAATGCCGTGCATTTTTCTTTGATAACGCCAGTAAGGAAAAGAAAGATTCTCTTGTTAAATGAAATAGGCTCAAGCTGAGCCCTAATTATCTGAAGAAGGTTAATAAATCCAGAAGACACCGGCTTTCCTTGCTCATCCCTATTGATTTCAGGGTCTCTTGACATGAACTTCTGAATTTCGATGGTTGAAATGTTATCAATCCATCCCTTCAGCTTAGAAGATGCTACTTCTGAGTATTTCTGGAGCAGCTCAGACTCATTCTCGATAAGTCTTGGCCCAATTGACTCTGGTATTCTTGAAAATTCGTTTTGAATGGTTGCATAGTAGTACGACTTAAACTCAATTAAGCCAAGAATATCCTCAGGCTCCATATCGTTGAGTTTTTGGTCAAAAAACTTTTTCAGTGCGCTGTGATATTCACAAAGAAAATCATCGAAAGTAAAAAATGACATATTTCTTTCTTTAACCTTTCTCAAATCATCAAAAATAAATCCCAGCCTTGCCAGGAAATCCTTTTCGCCTTTTAGTTTTTCAAATTTACTTTTAATCCCAGACTTAAGACCACTGGCAAACCTATCCTGGAAATTTTTAGGTTCAAAATTGATGTATCTTGTGTGCTCAAGATAGTACTGCTTGAGTATCGGATCTTCGCTTGTCTCGCCCTCCTTGACCTTCCGTACTACCGAATCTCTCTTTTCCTCCTTCATAATAATTCTGTCAATAGCGCCAACAAGATCAGCATTATCACAGAACTCGGTTGCTATTTGCAATATAGTCGAGGTCAGCTCAAGGCTTAATCTTTTAATTTGATCGATCTTCCTGTTTACTATTTTAGCTTCATCATTGTTAAGATCGTAGCTATACTGCTTTAAGTCACAAGCAAACTCGTCCTTCTCATATACCATATTTGCATACTCCTCCAGATTCTCGTCATTGATATCTTCATCCTCGCTGCTTAGCTTTTCAAGGAAACATTTCGCCCTACTAAAGTTTTGATGGGCAAATGCTATTTGTGTAATGGTCTTGTATTCATTGATGGCATATTTATTGCTCTGAAGCATCTTCTCGCACTGTTTCTTATATTCGCACAGATCATTTACTGCTTTTTGAACATCTTTCAGATTTGTAAAGCTATTTCTAATGGTGTTGATCTCAGATAAATAGCCAGTGCGCTTCTTTTCGAGTTGCTTGGTGTTCTCGCTGCGACATCTGGTAAGAATTGAGTCTATTTTGTGCTCAATATCACTTGGATGCTTCAGCTTTTCGTTTAGTTCAAAGACTGCCTTTTCCATTTGGGTAAAGAAATGAAATAGCTAACAACAGTGTCATGTGAAACTCAAATGATTCGCAGTGTGCATTTGGTGTAGCAGTTGACTTAAATTGGTGCCTATCCATTCACGCTTTGTATTTTAAGTGCGTCGCAAGAATTAAATAGCCGAGAGCCTTCATTCAAAAAGAAAAGAATGAGATGTGTGGCGGAGAAAAACAAACAATAAAGCAATTTAATGGTCTCTAGGGTACCTTGCTTTCAAATATGCCAAGATAGCTGACACTGTCCAACATTCAAGTGAAAACATCCTGAATTACTGTTGAATGCTGCCAAAATATCGCTACTTAGTGCTAGACGTAAAATCTGACTCCTGATATTAGTTTAGCAACACACGTAAAACGCTACACAGATTTAATTGCACGTGTATGCTAATCAAGAAGTAGATTGGCAGATTACCACACCCAATCCCTAGTTTCAGTTCAGATATTTATTTATGATTTTTATAACGGACTCTTGAATGTCGTAATTCCCCCTGTATAGTAGAAGAATGTCAGTGGCGCCATCGAAGTAACTAGAAAGCAGATTATCATCTCAGGCACGCCCAAACTTGAATTAACAAGATACAGAAGCATGAGAATTTCATTAACTATAAAGACAACAAATGAATAGTAAAATCCAAAGGACTTTATGTTTATATCTGGGAAAGCATTCAAAAGTCTATGTAAGAACACCTCAACAGAGAAGCTGAGTATGATTTGAACGGCAGGAATTTCGAGAAGATAAAGAAATAAATGTGTTATATAGGATGCATAGATTATTGACAGCATTACTTTTTTGGTTATTCCGAAGTGTCCTGATATTAAATGAATGGATAGGATGCACAGTACTATAAGCAGAGATATAAAAAGCGTGAAGAATGCCTCTTTGAGTATGATGGGTTTGCTTTGTTTCATGGGGGTATTTTGACGAATATTTTTATTTGTAAAATTTAAAATTTGTTTTAAAAAGAAAACAAACCAGAGCTTGAGTGCAAAAAGGGAGAATGTGAAGCCCATCCAAAGCACATAGTTGGTAATATATTAGCCCGCGGGGTTAAGACCTGCAGTTCTCAAGCCCTCCAGCACAGACTAGAATTGCACCATCAAATATACAGCAGTTCAACAGAACAGCAGCATTCCGTTGAAACACTTTTATGCTTTAGACTGTGAATGGCTGGAAAGACTCATCTGCGTACTAATAAAAAGGTACTTTAATATCTTTTTTCCAACGTCAAGTAAAATTTTATTATTTACATTGAGATTGAGAGAATTACACTTTACGAAGCTCTCCTGGGACTCTTGGTTCTTTTAAACTGTAATGGCCCAACAACCATTCTTGTTGGTCTTGGAGAGCGCCTTCTTGTATGTCCAATCAGAACAATATTTTGATTGGCAGAAAGTGCCAGGTACAAAATCATTGGAGCCATCCAAATAACTACGTATCCAGCAATATACTTGGCACCATATGTAGATTTTGTTGTGCCAAGTGAGGTAAAATAGAAATGATTGTAGATTGTAACCATAGTACCGGCAACGAATCTAGCGTCCTTAGTACTAATATTTGGATACTCTCCAAATAAGCTAATGTAAAGAATCTGTCCTAGTAAGTTGAGAATGATAAATTTGAAAGGAAGCTTCAAAAATAGAGGCAAGTGAAAGAAGGCAACCAAGTAGAGCAGAAACTTCACAGCGTTTTTTGCTGCATAGGGACTGTTCTCAAAGTACTGAATCAACTCTTTGGTTATAACTCCCAGGACTATAGCCATTATGGTGAAAATAAAAACAGCAAACAAAATTTTCAGAGCTTGGAAAAACATGTAGGGGTACAGCTGCAAAGGATATTTAACAGTAATTGCTAATAAGAAAAGTTTAGTGTGGGATGGATGTCTAGCAACATTTTAAGCAAACAACTTGGTCTTCCAGCAGAAATATTGACCGTTCCAGTGAAGTTCAATATTGGATTGGCAGGTTAGAAAATATTATACTAAAAATACAAATCTGAAATTTCTAAAGCAGCTGTGCCAGCCAAGACAATAGCACTAATGTATTAATTATGCTTTATTTCTAACATCTCTAACCTTCCCACCTATACTAAATATCCAATCAAGGAACAGTCCAGCATATGTTTTGCTCTTTTTTCCCACCTTTTTTTACAAATAGCGTATCCTCGTTTACACTGATACTGAAGAAGAAGCAAACTGGTGTAGCCCAGATGATGCACAAATAAGGAATAAACAGAATAATTTTCTTTTCATATACAGTAAAGAACCTTAGCATGAGAAAGTAGTTTACAAGTGAGCCTATGAGTCCGCCAATGAACCGCGGATCTTCCACACGAATGAGCGAATATGTGTCAAACAATGTATTGAAACAATACTGAACACCGAGACTATAGAGTATTTGTAAAATTGGCATGCCTGTGAGCAAAAATAGAACATGGAGGGCCACAGAGGTGTACAGTACCTTTTGCACCAACTCCTTCGAGCCGTAAGGATTTGCGTCAAAATAGTCTATCAACCATATAAATCCAACACCAATGCCCACCAGAGCAAGTATTCCAAGAATGAGAAAGACTGAAACTTTCAGGAATGTGAAAATCATGGGGGGATTGTTGATAAAAATTTTTATTTGCACTAAGGAAAGCCAGGACCAATAAACTCAAGAATAGCCAGCCAATGAGTAAGCAGGACGCTACTGTACTATGTAAATAGTAGATCTTGTATATATCTGCAGACATTGGCATGCTTGTGAATGCGAGTAACACAAAGGCCTTGGGCTAAGCAAAGCTATTCAGACTCAGGGTCAAGCTTCCAATATTTTTGCAGTAATATTGGGCTCGTAGTTGTGCATAGACTGGTTAATACAGTCTGTATTTGCTTTTATCAAACATTGGCTCTCGGTGATTTCAGTCTGAAAATAATATCTCTTTATACTGTGAATGGTAGGTAAATGGAAAGACAATATGTGTTTATATGTTCTAATTTTAATTTATGCCATGTAATGCAATTTAATACTCTTTTAACCAAAATTTTATTCACTTCAGCCTCTAATGGATGAAGAATTCTTTGACTATGCAATCGAAGGCACAACACTCAGAGAACTGTTTGAGCATGATTCTTCCAAAAGAGTCGTTGTTCTAGACAGGTCAGCCAACTATGGCACTACCTATTCCTCACTCTCCGCTCTTCAATATAGTCCTTACGTTTCAGATTTCAGAGTGTTGAAAGATAGGCTTAAAGGAGTTAAATGTAAAATTAGAATAGAGTCGCTCCCATTTTTGCTAGGAAGTAAGGATAAAGCAGTGCAGCAATTCAAACATACGGTATTTGGCAGTGAAATAGAGTATGTTGAAATCAATGAGATATATTTATTTTCAAGCTCCTTTTTTAAAATTCCCACATCAAAAAATGACATCGTGGCACTAGGCCTGTCAAAGACTGATATGTTTTATCTTTACAAGTCAATAAAAAACCATGATCTTGGCATTTTAAGGACGAGGTTTTCCGACAAATCACATCCAATATACAGGGCGCTTGTTGAGCTTGAAGTTTTCGGTCCCCAAGACTTTAGGAAATACTGTGAAAACTTTGGAAGCACGCTCTTCTTGTATCCTGCCTATGGATTGAGTGAAATTTCCGAATCTGTGTGCATGTCAAATGCATTCAAGGGTGCAACATATGTTTTAAATAAAAATCTAGACTACACTGTAGATAACTCTAGGGAGTACAGTCATCGGTTTACGTGTGATCTAGGAGTTATCCATGCAAAGGAGTACTTAAAGCAGGACTTGAGAAGAAAACCATATCACATTCGTGTTATTCTGACACAGAAGCAAAAGTTCACAGGGAATTTCCTAGGTTTTATCGAAAGACCGTTTGATTTTGTGGTAACCGGCAACGAAGAAATACACCTAAGCTCGAAGTACACAAGGATAATTGGAATTAATTGCCTGGCAAATGTGTGTGACGAAGGCCTTCAGCTGCTCTACTTCATAAATGAACATAACAATGTCACTAATTATGAGGTTGAGAGTCTATCGATATATGAGAAAGACATACTTTTGGACATATCGTATAAAACAGTCTATGATATTGAGCAGTTTAAGGTAAAATAAGAATACAAATAAAATGGCTAGCTGTTTTTATTAATGTACATTAATAAATGTAAAATATCTACCTTATTTTCTGACTGACAGACACTGCCTTGTCTATAAACACTAACACGTTTAGCCTCTTTTTGTTCGTTCTTGCATGCGAGTATTAGTTTAGTTCACTTCGATTTGAGTTGCATTTTAAACTCATTTCAATACAAAATTTTCAATCCCATCTCGATCAAATGCTGAAAATTTCAATAATACCAGACACTAATGTGCTCCTTTTGAATCTAGAGCTAGTCAAAGGGCTGTATAGTAGCAAATTGCCAATTCTGTACAGCATTAATTTTTCTAGAACAGTTCTTGAGGAGCTTGACAAGATGAAGGCTAAGAAAGTAGAGGCTAGAAATGCAATCAGATTCATTGAGAGCATCTCGAGTTCATTAAAAACAGAAATAGAAGGGAAGATTGACGACAGGAAGGTGGATGTTGTGATTGAGACGCGAGAAACAATCCAACCTAAGAATAATGATGATAAAATACTCAACTATTGTTTCCAACTAGAAAACCCCATATTTCTGACAAATGACAAGGCGTTTTGCTTAAAATGCCAGTCTTTTAATATAAAATCAATAAAGGTTGAGAATATGGGCATTGAAGATCTCATATCGTCAATAATGAAAAAGCTCGGCATTGAAGATGCAAGAATATTGAAGGAGTGCCGACACGGATACATAGACAGGCTGAAAAGGATCGTAGAGGCGACAATTCAGCCCACAATAATAGAGATACTCTACAAAGAGCTGGGAGACGGCTTTGATCTTGTTGTACAGCAGAACCCAACACTTGAACACTATTTGGAAATAATAAAGACCAATTTTATTATCTTTAGAAGATATTTTCCGACACGTACACCTAAAATTATTGACGAGTTTTTGGTTGCTTTAAGAAACGAAGATATGGAAAAGGCAAAAGATCTAGCACACCCAATTTGCATGCTTTTTCGGAAGTCGTTTCCCCGGGACGCATTATAGAGACAAATGCACATATTTAAGATCAATTTGGAATACATATCATATCAGCTAGCACGGATAAATAACTGATAATAACTTAATAAAAGCCAACACAATGTAGTTTAAATAAGTTTACACGCTTTTACTATTGACTTCGATACCATGAATGCGCTCTATTTGCAACATTTATACAGATTATACAATTGATGCTAAACAGCGTCATGAACTGATCACCGTATCTGATCAGTTCATAATGATCATACGATGCTGTGCCATGGTCAAGAAAAAAGAGGAAGAAAAAATCAAACAGCAATATGATACTTGGAAGTTGTTGAAGTGCTGTTGTATCTTGATATATCAAGGCATATTTGGTAGGAAAATCACTATCCCAAACTTTGAAGCATCGCTTATCCCACTGCCGATTGTATTTTCAATTACCATTAATACTATTAACACACTGGTTGTTTTAGTTTTTGGCATTACATGCAGAGGGCTGGAAATTTCTATTTTTAGGTTTATTAAGGGATTTTTTACAAGATTCATTTTGATAAATTCAGTTTACATTGTGTTTGGTGTCACTCTTGCCATCACATTACAGATCAAGCCAGATCACACATTCCTCGCGTGCAATGCTACTCTAATAGTCTTTGCGATATCACTGGCAGTCTATTGCCTAGAAATATTTGAACCAAGATTTACTTTTGTAATTTTTATACTCACAACAACAAGAAAGATTTTAGAGTCAATGCCACCCGAAGAAAACACCTGGAGAAAATCTATTCTTAAGCTATATGTGATTATTGTTCAGCTGGTTGTATTTAAAATCTTCAGATCATCCATCTTCTGCGACTTCTAATACATCATAAATCCATATCTAAATAACTGTTTATAGGCTCTTTTTAATATACAATAATTAAATGACCAAAGCTGTATTTTGTTATAGCTTTCCTTGAAATGTGTTCGATGACAGCCCTGCCATGAACAAAATAAGGGAAAAGATAGAGAAAAATAGAAGTAGCTATGAAAATTACCCCGAAGTATACAAATACTTTTCAGATGTTTCCTCGTGTGTTATTTGTTTAAAAAAAGATCTGAAGCCTCAAAAAGCTAGCATTTTAGCCTGTAATCAAGAGCATTCAAAACAAATTCAAACTGTGGATTCAAAAAATACCGTTCAAAAGTCGCTGACTGCTGACTGCAAACATTTTCTCAAGAGACTCGAGCCGCAAATTTTTACAAAAACAGAGTATTTGAATGTCACAGTTAAAAAGCAGAGCACTCAAAACAACAGGGTAGAGGTTTACCTCAAGTTTCTCGAGTCCATTGATGTAACAAGCTCGTCCACTTGTTTTAGGCGGCTTGATGAAGAGACATTTTCTGAAGCTTTGAACCTCAACATCGTAGATGAGATTTTCATAAATTTCATAAGGAAACTCGAAAACGATCCCTTGATCTATGATAAAAGAGACAAAGCAAAGGCGTTGAATATTCTAATACTGGTTTTTTCGTACTGCAACCGCAACAAAATCAATGTGAAAAAGTTAAAGTCAAAAATAGAGGAGATGTCATTCCTTTTTACACCAAATCAAAGCTTTATTGTTGATTTGCAGAACGACTTGGCTGTGGATAAATTTATACTTGAGCTCAGGCTCAATACATGTGATTTGAATGAGGCTATTTTCATGAATAAGGTGTATCTAAGCATTTCCAAAAGTAAGGAGTATTTTGGCCTATTTCATAAAAGACTTGTCGAGAGCCTAGGAAGTATCGAGGAGCAATATGCTCTTTCTTTTCTAAAATACGTATTTACGCATAATACTGTTTTATTTAGTTGTATTGACGAAAATCAACTGTTAAGGCTGATTTTGTCATTTTACCAAAATATGGGCAAAGTGGATTATACGATCGAAATCTTCACTATAGTCATGCAGAAAGCAGGAGATGCCTGCCAAACAATAATTGGTATTCTCAAAAATCTCTGTTTGCAAAGTAAAAAGCACCAAAAGCTTCTAATGATCCTTGAGATTAGATCCTGCACTAGCTTTTCCGAAGTTATTGATTTAATTAAAGCCAATACTGAATCTTTTGACTCTCTAAACTTGCTGTTTGGTGATTTAAAATGCATTGCTGGGTATATAACCACAGATAGAGTAAGAATAGATATGCTTCGAGCTTTGGTGTGCTTTTTCAAAAACCTTAAGCCTGGATTTATAGAACGATTTCTCAATGGACTTTTAGGCATCTTGCTTGGCGTTTTAGGTACAGTTACTGAGATCAGTGCTGAAATGATCCAATTCAACCGGATCACTGGAATGATCTTTCCGATATCGTACTGTTATCACAAAGAATGAGCATTTCTGACAGCTTGGAAAAGAAAAAGAAGAACAAGACAGCTATCGTCCAAACACAAATATGTAGGCATGGTCTTAGACTGGCGGAATGTATCTATAATATTGAGGATATTGCCATTAGATCAAGTATCCAAGAATTTAAAAAGCTAAAGGAGAGAGGATTTAAGATCAACAATATATAAATGGCCTTTATATTTGTCTTTATTCCAAGCTCATTTGACATCTGTTGTCGTTTATTTAAATGCCTGTATGGTCATATTTTGCAAGGCATATCCTCAATATGCTTTTGTGATGTTTCAAGTGCTTTGCAAATACGCCATCCTATTACCATTGGATACATTTGTGATTTTTCCTTATAACAACAAAAAATTATTCTTTCCCCAATGAATGCTCTAATGCAGCAAATTTTGTCCAGAAAAACAACCAAGAACTCAAGAATAAATCTAATAACAAAAACAATAGGAAAGCCAAAGCCTCTGCCCAGATGCTCATGCTCAATAACTGCAGATGGGCCTTCCTTGTTCTATACTTTTGATGGAAGAGCACTTTTCTTTTCAGCAGACCAAGAAGAACCAATAATATCGCTACCAGACGAAACAAGAAAGGTGGTGTTTCCAAATACCGAGGATAATGCTGTTATTTTCCTTTTGAGTGCAAAAAACAAGCTTGAGTGCTGTGATTTCACTCCAACTTTGAGTGAAAATCGATACATCGTGACAAGGAATGTCGTACAAATTGAAAAATCATGTGGAAAGGTTTTTTATATGTTTAAGAAAGACCAACACCATTTTATTAATGAATGCATTTTCAATGGCAAGAAATGGATTGGCCAGATTGCCATGATTAACATTGAAGGATCAGCTGTGAAGCTGTTTGCCTCGAATGGTACATTCTTCTATACTGTTGAGTCTAAGGTATTTGACAGCACCGGCACGTATCTAGGCTTTTGTGCTGATTTTGTCTATCGTTACGGTGATTTGATGGTTACCGGAATACAAAAGAGCGGCTACTATGAAATTAGCCTTTTGAGTGTGAAAACATCCTATTCCATAATTGAATCATTTAATATGCAATGCAGTGAAGTAGCAAAGATCACTGCACATCATGATCTTTTAATATTCCAGAATCTGAATGAGCTGAACCTATTCAAGATTAGCACTGACACTGAAAGCTTTGGTATTAAATACAACATAAAACATGACTACGATGTTTTCGACTATGATTTTAGTATTGTTGAAAACTCTGTCTATCTTTATATTCTCGCCGATTCAAAGCACTTTGATTCAATAGATGCCATACTCGATTCAAACATCGAGTCCTATAATATAACTAAGCTTTCAACCGACAATATCAAATGCTTTGATGGCAGCTTTGATCTACATTCTGCGCCTGAGCGTGCCAATTCAGGTAAATCCATTGCAAACTTAGGATCTAGACAGTCTTCTCCAACCAAAGTAAAGCCAGATTTTGATGTAAATGATGCTGATTTTTTCTATGATAGTCTTCCAACCAAGAAGTCTTCGATTCTTCGGGAAATGGAGTCCATGTCCTTAGCCCCATCAAACAGTGATATGGCATCAGAACCAAAACCAAGAAACAATCTTCTGGAAGAAGTAAGAGCGACGCTGAGTAAAAAGAAGCTCTCTGCCCAGGATCAAGATCTGAAACAGGTTGAAGAGCCAGTAAAACCCATACAGGACCGATTTGAGCTATATAAATCTATGAGCTCGGATGCCGCATCTGCACCTGAGATTCAGCTATCCAAGGATGAAAACACATACCTGGATGCCGCATTAAACGGCAGAGATGCACAAATACACTCAAAGATTCATTTGAATGATAAGCATTCCCAGTACCAGCTAGTAGATGGCGCATTCTCCAAAGAAAATACATCTAATTTGATTAATCCGTCTGACATGATGAATGTGCTGAATAGTATTGACAAGAGTCTGTGTGAAATCAGGCAGTATTACAAGCAAACACAATCTGCCATTCAGTCTTTGAGTTTCAGAGAAGATCAAATAAGGAGTCTTTTGAAGAACATTATTGTGGAAGCTCTTGTCCCAAGTGTTGAGGCATGCTTTAACGAAATGAGAATTCAAATGCAGACTGAGCTTAAGAAAATACTGTCTTCAGCAACTAGGTCAGCTGAAGATCCAAAAATATGTCTGATCAAAAAACATCTTACGAGTGGCAAGCCTGCTCAAGCGATTATTGAGCTTTTGAAACTAGATGAAAAAGAAATTGCAGCTAATCTCTCATTATTCACTCCAGCCTCGATTGAGAATGTCGAATCCAATGTTCTTTTCATGCTACTTTCGAAGATATACTCACTTCTACAAAAATCCTCTTCTGATTTATACTTTGATTTGATATACTATTGTCTTGTTGACATTGAAATTGACGATTTGTCCGTCGAAAACTTACAAGAGCTGAGTATTATGCTGAGAAATATCAGAGAGACAGAGTCGTTCAACAAGGAGAAATACTCTGATTTGTCCTGCGTTATCGACATTATTTCAAAGAGGATTCGAAAAAGGGCAAGACGAGATAGTTCTAAGTAAAATTCGATTTATTATTACTATTGCTGTTTGTACGCTTGCTGGTATAGCATGTGCTGTGTTGTTTAATGTGGTTAAATATTTTACAATATCCTTCTATGTGAATGATAGGAGTTCAATATGAAAATCAAAAGAGCTACTGGATTAGGGAAGACAATCGCCAGCTAAAACGGGAAGCGAATCCGGCGGGGATCGAACCCGCAGTCTTTGGTTCCGTAGACCAACGCTTTGCCATTAAGCTACGGATCCAAAGGTATGCAAATTTTACTATTTGTAACTATGCTAATGAAGCGCATAAAACATAAGTCTACCGCATTCATAGATGCCAAGCACGTTTGTTGCAATCACTTTTGCAAATGATGCAAATTTTAGTTATATTGCTAAACACATGGCAAGTGGAAAGTGCTGATTTAGATGAAAGATACTGTGATATACAATATCACTGTCATTCTGCTCAATATAATTTTCTGTGAAGTTTTTTGAATATTTAAAAAATAATAGATCATCCCCATAATGATAAGCTTAAATCCTATAGCGGCTATCAGGATGCTAATCGGCAATGTATTTACGGAAAGGCTAATATTGCCAAGATCTGGCACCTCTCTATACACAGAGCGACCACCCAGCATGCATGATGTGCCTCCATCCCGTTCATTCCATGCAAAACAAAGTAATCTAAATGAGCATCCAACACAAGTGGCACGCCCCAATGGTAGAATAAGAAAAGTTCGTAAAGCAGTAGTACCAAATCCAAGAGATGCACAAACACATAAAGCTGATGATAGTATGAACATGCTACCAGTCTATAATAGTACGCGGAAAACAGACCCTCGCGATACTGCTTTAGCATTATATAATGATCCAAATAAGCTCTGGTATCAACCAGATGCTACTCAAGAAAGTGCGCCAACGATAAAAGACGGAACTGTTGATCAACAAAATACACTTAGTAATCAAAGCATTCACTTGCAGGAGGACATGCTTAGCCTTCAATGTTGTAGTGGACATGAGAATATATTGGCACCCCAAAATATGACCATCCATGAATATGATGCTCCAGAAGCACAGAAGACAGATGTTCCCGTGCAGCTACTTGGACATGTGCTAGACTCAAGTAATGGTAATTATTTTATAAACCAATCAAATGAGCTTCACAACCCAGCTTGCCAGTCTAATGGGCATGCTCCCGAAACTATAGATGCTGAGCAACATACGGCCATTTATGACACCACGAATCAATCTAAAATGGACGGTTTTGGCAAGTTTACACATGAAGTAAAAGATGCCACCGAGGATGTCTCCAGTACAAATAGTAGAAACAGTACCTCTTTGTTCAATGAAACGATTAATGTTCTTGGGTATGATGTCAATATGGTTCTTTTGGCTGTTTCTGTAACTACTATTTTTGCACTAAGCTTATACTTGATGACAGTGTACAGAAAGACAGCTATTAGATCAACTGAATTGCGCTTGAAATCAAAGCATTTTGGATCCTACCAAGTATTTCGCTATGTTTCTTCTAAAATTGCAAGTGTTTTCAGTCCATTTATAAACATGATCAGAAACGTCTATCTCATGATTTATATGAAAGTCTCATCATTGTTCACATCCAAGAATATAGAGATTGTGTACCGTAAGGGATTGCGTAGAGGAACCAAGTATGATTATGAATTTCAAGTAGGAAACAGTTAAATTGGTTTATCTCTTTTGTCCAAAATATTTATAAAGGATATTATGAAATTGCGATGGTTTGTGTAAAATAAGCACGTTAATAATTTTTAATAATTTTCCTTCAATCAATCTTAGTTTGACGAAACCTTTACATTAAATTTTAATTAAAGATCAAAAATCTAAGCAAGCAGGGGAAGAAGTTGTCCTAAATGCTCGGTATTCTTTAATAATAGTTGGAAGCTGCATTTTGTAAATAACTTTTGTTCTAATCAAGTCAATTTGCAGAGTGATTATTACTTATCAAGTGGCAGGAATTGACAGAAATAGATTCCAAACATTTGTAATGTTGCTTTGAGCCAAGCCTAGAATCCAATTTAATCATGTCATAGCTACTGTGAGTGTGTTTCTTCAATCTACAAAGGCTATGCAGAGTGTCTCAATGCGGCTTGTACTTCTTTCTTTATTTCTTGAAATCAACTCTTAAAATTTTTCAATTTACCTATGGCATTTATTTGCTGTCAAACATCCACCAAGACAAGTTGAACAAGACCATGCGAACTCCTAGCATTGAGAATCTCAACATGTCTTTTGTAGCTGTCTATATTTTTAATTTATTTTGATTTATTTTTGAGATTTCTTATAAAAATTTTGCAATTATCTTATCCCTCAATGTTCAGACTTACACAGATTGGAATTGTACTTGTACTAATTAACAAAATACTCGCAGAGGGTGATGTAGTATATGGTCCAAAGAGGCAAAATGAGACCATTTATGATAGTTTAAAAGAAAATGGGGATCCATTTGAAACAAACTATCGTGATCAGCCAGTTGGCCTCAGCACTTCTACTGAGAATCAAAAATCTTCTAGTAGTAAGAGCCCTGTGGAGGAGGATCCTATTATTAATGAGGATGAACGACCAACAGCCTCTAATCCTACTACTGGCAGTATAATATCAACAACCAAGCCTTTTGATGGTACTAGGCCAGCAGATAAAACCATCGACGAAGAAGAGCAGGAATTAAGTCAACTAGGTGCATCAACTAATCCTTCTAGTGATGCTACTTCAGAAACTAAGATTGTCGACAAGGAAGAGCAGAAATTGAGCCAGCAAGATGTGTCTGAAAAGACTTCGAGTAGATCCAATCCATTTATCATTAACAATCAGCAAACGGGGCAAAGCAGGTCTCAGGGATCAAAGGAACATATTACTGAATCTGCTGCTCAGGAAGGAACTCTAAGCTTAAACTCTGCTGATCAGGAAGAAGGAACTCTAAGCTCAAACAATGGAAATGGAACTTTTCATGGCCATCTCACAAAAGAGGCAAATTCTACAAATGGTGAGTCCACAACGCAATCTGATACCCAAACTGACTCTGCTTCTCAAACATACTTTTCTAATTTATTATCCTGGATTAGTGAGTATACCAAAACAATTGGTATGGACTTTACCGATAAAGAGTCTTTCTGGGGATATGAGTACAATCTTGGATATTTCAAGATAAACAATGGTGTATTGGTCGTAGTTCTGACGATCTTGGCTGCTGTTAGTCTCTATTACTTTATTACTGCTGTAAGCCAAAGTGAAAAGCTGTATTACAACAGAGACGAGGCTGGTAAAACTCTTAGCAAGCTTATTTTAGCAATTAGCAATTTCTTTGGAGCTGTTAAAAGAAAGATCGCTGAGCCTTTCAAGAAGGTTCGTCACGTTGGTGATACTAAGAAAGGTAGCCTGATTCGTGAAAAAAGAAAATTTCCAGAGGATAGCGACGAATATTTGGATGAAGGCTATTAAATTGCTTTGATTTAATATATTTTTGTGGTTTTGTAGGTATTGTTTTAAGCAATATAAACTCCGTTTACTTAGTTCTCAAACTATTTGTTTACTGGCTATGTTTGAAATTAATTCACATTGTTTTAAACAAACACAGCGATGACCAATAACTGGGAAAATCCGAAAAGTATGAAGAAGAGCGATAGTTCAACGGAAAATACGAAAGCATTGCTCGAGAAATCTAAAGCCACAAAAAAAGTGTTTGGAAAATCATCAACACCAAGTTTTGATAGCTCAACAAGCACTGAACCAAAGGTGCCTCTAAAAGAAGAACAAAAGCTTGAAGAAAAGCTTAGTCCAGCGCAGATGACTATAAATATGTTTGAGGGACTAGCAAATGCATATATAATGACAGAAAAGCCCTTTACCGAGAGTGAAGCAAATACAAATAATAGCTCTGAACCTGAAAATAAAATGATGGTAGTGAATGAAAACCCCATCCATTCTACTTCAAATGAGAATGAATCCCTTGATGGCTACTCCCAGTCGACTGATGTAACCATAGATGAGCTAAGAGAGAAGATTAAGGAAATACTGAGCATTCCATTACCAGAAGACAGTCAAGAAGAATTGAAGGAAGATGAAGTCAATTTACGGCATGAGGAAAATATGAAAATATTAAAGCAGAAGCTTAGATTGAATATGTCGGAAGAAAGCCATGATTCTGATGAAGAACAATTGATGACTAGCGATGTATCACAATCAAAAGGTACAATTACAGAAAGCGTGGTAAGAACCAGTGTGCCTTTTAGGAAGAGCAAAGGGTCAAACATTCCAAAATATAATCTCGAGGAGGCTAGAAAGATATTTACACGTAGCTCGCCAAAAAATACTTCAAAAAGGAAGTCTGCACTCGATCACAAAGTGACTGATCTTACGCAGGAGACATTGTCGATTTCCAAGCAGACACCAACAGTACTAAAAACGGAAGCATTCAAGGATAAAATGCCGATACTTGAAGACAGTGAAGCTTATAAAACATATTACAAAGAAAGGGAAATTGTGGAATTGGCAAAAAAGCCAAAAGGCGAAGCAATACATGAGGAAATACAAGTCGAATATGCAGAGATCAATACAAATAAAGAAAGAAGAAGTTTTATACGGTCCTTCCTAAGGCTGGTTTCATGTGGAAGGATATAAATAAATATATTTGCCGGGTTAAGTATAAGTTTAATATTGATTTACTTGCAGACCTTGTGTAGAGTGGGACAATGTGCAGTACTATTGGAAAATGCAAACAGCCTTCGCATATAACAGATGCGATTTATTAGCTATTCTAGCAAACACATAAGAAACGAGCATTGAGATGCTGGTGCCGTTGAAATGCTTTCACGGCCTTGTGTCTGACTTCTTTATGAAGCTGAATAAATTTTGCTGTTTTGGTTTTTTAGCAATTTCAGGCTTGTTTTCAGCAATGAGGAAGGTGTCATTCTTCTTTTTTGCGGGATGTTCTTCTATAGTCCTTTTTCTCAGATACTTTTTCAAATCATCGTAGTCCCTATTGCTGACAAGATACAGCTGATCTCCTGAATTCTTACTGAGACTCAGCGTCGTTTTATCACCATTGCTCGTTGCTTTAAAATACACTTTTATATACTCGGGGTGCTCTTTTAGGATGTCTTGCAAGTTATCCCTGTTGTAGAAATAAGTATCTTCGTCCTCCATTAGGGAGCAAAAAATAGTAAAAGTTTGCTGGGAATATAAAGACGGCTAAGACTAGTCACATTCAATAATAGCAGTATGTCTACAAAGAAATTGAGCATTAATAAAATAAAAGCATTTATATAGCAATTATTTAGTTGATTCCTGCAGCCACACGTTCTTTTAGAAGGTCTAATTCATCCTGAATGTCCTCATCATCCCCATATTCATATATTTTCACGTTGAAGTCATCCAGGTGGTCTTTGAAAAACTGGAAATTTTTAATTTCCAAGATTCCCTCAATAAAAATTTTCACGGAGTTTTCAGTTAGGTTTCTGAAGTTTTTACTGAACAGTGATGTGGCGAACTCCCTTACAATTGCATAGTTGTTATTGGAACTGTTGAGCGACGGTATTTTGTTGAGATATGATATTAGGTCATACAGTAATTCGACTTGTACATCGTAGTTCTGCCTCATGTCTTTGTCGAAAATCAATCCCAAGACATTTTCAAGACAGATCAGGTAGAACCTATTAAAGAAGCCAAACATCTTGTTTTCAAGTGAGTGTTTGAAAAAGACCTTTAGAGTGGTAAGAGCCAACACCGACACCTCTCTTAATCCCGTGAGAGAGAAAAGAACAGAGTTGACGATGGATTCATAGGCAGGCGATTCTGTAAAAATGGGGAACACTATCTTGAAAGATTTGTCAGCCATTTCATTCAAAAGTGACAGATACTTTTTAGACAGTTCGATATGCTCATCGGCCTTGACAACATATGGTACAGCAGGTGCAATTAGGTTATTTATGAAAAACTGAAGGCGCTGAATCTCAATAAGATGCTCATGATTCTTGGTGTTTGAGACAATAGAAATGGCAAGTGAGAGTATGGCTGGGTCAAAGTTGGATTTAAAATCAAGCAAAACATTTTCACAAAGATTATTAACAAAGTCCGTGTAAACGAAGCCGGAGGAAATGACAGTTTCAAAGAAGTTGGCCAAGGATGTTTTAAGAATTTGGATGTTTTTCTGGACAAGCGAATTAAATGCAACTTCAGGCTTAGAAACATGCTTGTAAAGATATAAAAATGAATTTAAAACGTTAATATTTTGGAATATTTCAGGCGTGATTTTAAAACCAAGAGAGTAAGATTCAACCAGATGGACTATCATTTTGAGCTGCGATTGCTCATGGATGACGGTGTGGATGCTGGTGATGTACCTCTCATCAAGCATAGCCTGATTTGTAAGAGTGCCGTAAATCATTTCCACATACTTTGCATCTTTCTTTTGGCTGTGTTTGAGAACAATCAACAGGCCTTCAATAACCATCCTCTGCAAATAATAGTCAAGGTTTGACGTGATTGACGGAAGATCATTTAAAATCTCCTCATAAAAGTATGCCTTGTCTTTTTTTAGGAAAAACTGGTTGGGGCACTTCTCACAAATCTTGAAAAAGTTATCACATGCCATTTCTTTGATACCCTGATATTTTTCTTCCATGAACTCAAATAACTTCTTAACGACAACCGTTAAAAAGTCATTGTGGTACTTCAAGAATCGGTAGTACTGGCCAATTATAAACATAATGTTAGATGCAATGATGGCCTTTTCGTCTTTGGAGTTTCTTAGCTCACACATGGTGAGTAAATTTTTGATTATCGAAACAAAGAAGTCACGCTCAACTGACTCTTCAAGCGCATTAGAAATAGAGCCAATCGCCCAGCAGATCTTATTCAGCCAGACATGGTCGAAGTCGCTTGTTGAAATGAACCGCTCGATCTTCTTTACAAAAAAGTCAATCATAAAATCCTCAATACAGAAGGATAAGTAAAACATGTTTGATCTCATTTTCTTATAAAATTCAATTTCACTAGTCTCAACTTTTTTATCTCTGATAATCTCACCAAGATCATTGACAAGAATAAACACTTCTTCTGGTCGAGGCATGTTATTTGTGAATACAGGCAGCATAGCCTCGAGAATAAAGATGAAGCTGTTTCTTCTCAATGGCTTTGATGTCGGAATTCTAAGTGGATATTCCGAGTACATTTCATATATAAACTTGGTCCAGAATGGAAATATCTCATTGTAAATGGATGTATCTTCAATCTTGGTCAGCTGCACAAGATACCCAAGGCCCTGCTTAATTTGCTCCAGACTTAGCTCGTAGATCCAAATTGAGTACAGAGAAGAAAAGACTGTTGCATATTTTTTAACGAACATTTTTTCTTGTTCGTTTATCTTTTTGAAGGCCAAGTGGAGCTTGGACACTTCTCCGTACGATTCAAATTTTCCCAAATAGAGTTTGAAGAAGTTGAGAAGTTCGGTGTGAATCAGTGCAATCTTCTGCTTTTCATGCTCCAAGACCTCTGGAGAGGGCTCTAGCATCCCATTCTCTTTGTATGTCCTTCTTAGTTCTATAATTTCAAGCAGACATTCAAGGGTGGCAATAGAATGTGGTGAGTTAAGATGGCCTAGTATAAAGTCCACAATTCTTGTTGAAAATACAAACTCCAGGGGCATGGATTTGCAGAAGGACTTGAATGCACCAAGACAGCTTTCTAGGAGGGCATCATCAAGTTCTCGAGTCTCACTATATTCGAGAATAAGTGAGATAAAATGGAAAATTGTGTAGTACTCCTGCTTTAGGGTTTTTCTTAAGAGTCTCTTCTTTGTTGTTGCAATTTCATCACCAACAATAAACAGCTGCTCGTTAATATTCTTAAGGATTACCAACGAATTCATACTGACCTGCATGGAAGTTGATTGGCTAGTCGCTATCAGGTCGCTAATGAAGGTTGGCCATCTCTTTGGCCAGTCTTTTTTCACTATTTCAATCAAAACCGAGTTGAACTTTTGCAAAATAATATCTGATGGGAGCGCTGAACGTTCAATTACTGTACTAAAAACATACCGGCGAAGTCCTGCTTTCATTTCCTCATTGAACAGCACCCATTTGCTTTTCACTGTTTCCTCCAAAATTTGCAGAGCAATGAATTGAGATTGTTTTGAAGATGAGTTTTTAAGAATGCAGTCGATTTTGGTCCAACTGCTAGGAAGATCTTTAAACTGCAAAAGAATATTCTCGGCTATTGCTTTGTTTGGAGATGATGGATTTAAAGCACTTGAGACAATCTCGTCAAACAATTTTATATCAAATTCAGCATTCAAATCGAGGATTTTATCCATGAGGGTCGAAGATAGCGGAATATTTGAAAAATTTTAACAAGGAAGTAAAGAAATGACATAGATATTAAAGTTTAATACCCACCAATGAAGTGAATTGCCAGACATAAATATCATGGATACAAAACTATTATATGCGAGCGTTGCCGAGATATACTTGACCGTAAGCACGAGCCTTTATCCACTGCAATATTAAATCGCATTGGAAAGTGAATTGCAATCTGAGTATAAATTCAAAACTTGGCTTTGTGGTGCTTTAGACCCGATCACTGGGCCTTTGAGTAGTTATGCCTGTCATTGTTGTTTATCTTCATTTTGATTTATAGAAACATTGAATACAAGGGTACATGAAAAAACTAATTGGTGGAAATTGGAAAATGAACTGCACAATGGACACATTTGAACAGTCTAAAAATACATTACTCAGCATTCCTGATGATGTGGATGTATTTATTGCAGCCCCCTATGTTTATGTGGGGGACTGCTTCAGATATTTCAATGAGAAAGTCAAAATAGGCGCTCAAAATGTAAGTAAATTTGAATGCGGAGCATACACTGGAGAAGTAAGTGCCAAAATGCTTCGTGAGCACAAGTTTGAATATGTTTTGGTTGGCCATAGCGAGAGAAGAATTAATTTTCTAGAAACCGATGATGATGTTAATCTGAAACTGAAAATGTCACTGAAAAATGGCCTAAGACCTGTTTTATGTATCGGAGAACCCATACCTGAAAGAGTTTCCGGCAGATATCTGATGTTCTTGAAAAAGCAGTTTGCTAACTCAACCCAGGGGCATAAAAAATGTATCGTTTGATGTAGCATATGAGCCAGTGTGGGCCATAGGATCGGGAAAGGCTGCAAATGCGCCCGAGATTGAAGAGGTGTTATCCATGATTAAAGAGCTCATGGCAGGACAAAACATTACCGGGCGAGTACTATATGGTGGATCAATTTCTGAATCTAATATCAATGAGCTATCAAAAACTAATAATTGTGATGGATTTTTGGTCGGAAATGCATCATTGGGCAAGGCCTTTCAGGACATCATTGATGCAGTATCAGAGACTGGCAAAATGTGAATTAAAAGTTTAACTAAAGTACCAGATACTGACCTAAATGCCACCAAACAATAATGCATTTAATTCCAAGTGAATTCTAAGCAACTGAGTGCACAATTAAATTAATTGCATTGTTTAATTTACATGCTCTTACATGTTTTTCTGATTTTTGAAAAAAATTTTCAAGAAGGGCATCATGAAATACTTCGAGAGAAGAATATGCACATTTACGAATAGGACAATTGATGCCAAGGATAGAAGTAGCGTGCAGATACTACTAGCAAAGCTAGACTCCAATGGAAGGGCTACAGAAGATGTTGATATCGTCGACATAGCAGGATGTATTAGAAAAACTGGACGAGGTAGATGCGCTTCTTTTGGAATACTCAAGAAAAAACTAATAAACGGTTTACAACACCAGTAACTGTATTTTTTGTTTTGTTTTATGCATTTTAGAGAAACTGCCATGGAGTATTTACACTATGAAGCTTAGCAATCAAACTGTTTGATACAGAGATCACTTACTTGGAGATGCCTTTGTTGTCCCACAAACATGTTTATTTGGCTGAATAGTTTATAGACCGGATTGTGGCCATTGACTTGATTCTGGATTACTTAGAACAACAATAAAACAATAGGATGGTTCTTAGCAAACAGAGGTACATGCTGGATAATTTGTATTGCAAGCAACATCAAAAGGAATATTTTAAGCGGCCCTGTCAAATACACTCTTGAGATACTCATTGATTGATCATACTTTTTTATGTTTTGGCCCATGGCTGAGCTTGCTTGTCCGGTCTGTAAAGGCGATACTTATCTTAATCCAAATATCAAAATATATACAAGCCCCTGCTTCCATAGGATATGTGAGTCATGCTTGTACAAAATCTTTCAGCAGGGATATGCGCCATGTCCCGAATGTGGAACACTTCTGAGAAGAATTAATTTTATAACTTCCACTTTTGAGGATATTGAAATCGAAAGAGAGTTGAAAATGAGGAAACTGATGAATAGACATTTTATGAGAGAGGAATGCGAATTTAATAGCGAGGTGGAGTACAACAACTATCTTGAAGAGTATGAAAATGTTTTATTTGAACTGTTGGAGTATAAAAATGAAAACATGGCAAAAGAAAAAATTAACCAAATTAAAAACACGAGCTGTATTCTGGTGCCTATAGGCACTGCCAAAAATACTGTTCAGGATCACAGTGTAGCAAAGAAGCTGAAAGTGGTGGAAAGCTGGTACGTTTATAGGCCAGAAGTGCAAGAAAGATTTATTACTGATGAGTCGGTTTCCATTCCAAAGGACTTCATAACACCCTTTTCGCCAGCAGGATTGAAAAAGAGTGAAATACTCGATTTCATCGTATATTCACTAGCTGAAATTGATAAATGAATCAATGTAATGCTCGACGCTTTTCAAAATAAATTCCTTCTCAATATCAGTCATACTTTCAATGTATTGATCAACACTGCTTAATTTTGATTTATCAATATTATTAAATACAACTCTACTGTGAAAAGAGTTGAAGGTAAATGGAAGAAGCTTTTCTCTTACAATGTTGTTGTCATGATACAACTCGTACAAGCACTGGTAATCTTGTTGTTCTACTCCTAACTCTTTTAAATCATCTGGAACTTCATAAACCACTTCGGTTTTGGATTCTTCATTTTGTTGATGTTGGTGCTCAGTTAATTTCAATTTATCACTTTCATTTTTGAAAGGATCAAGAGAAACAAACACCTGGCCATTAATCTCGAAAATTCGTTGATGGGACTTTGGAAGACCATACTTGTCTTCTACCGCATTTTCCAAAGATTCGTTGCTGGCAACTTCCAAAGCTTCTCCAAAAAAATTTTTTAAAAACATGGTAGAATTATTTAAAAATTACAAAGGCTAATGGGTAGTATATGAAGAAAGTTCTGACTATTCCATCAGAATGTATTTATCCAACACAAGATAATGTTGAGGGAAATCTGGTGCTATCCAAGGGAGATTATATTATCAAGTCAGATGATACAAAGTACATGGCAATAGAGCTTCTTGGTGTAGGCACCTTCGGACAAGTCTTCAGATGTGTTAGCAATGAAGGTGATGAAGTGGCAATAAAAGTGGTTAAATCTATTAACCGGTACTTTCAGTACGAAATGAACGAAGTTCGAATTCTCAAGCAGTTGAAAGAGCATGGACTAACCGAGCACTTTGTGGAACTATTTGATGCTTTTATATACAAGCAGCATCTCTGCATCGTTATTGAGCTTCTGGGCAAGAATATGTACGACCTAACGAAGATTTTTAGATTTACAGGCGTCAGCTATAACTTCTTAAGAACCTTGCTTAGGCAGATACTGGAAGGGCTGCATGAGCTTCATAACTTAGGAATTATCCACTGCGATTTAAAGCCCGAAAACATACTTTTGGCTGACTACTTTACATATAAGGTTAAGATAATTGACTTTGGGTCCTCAACCACAAGAACTCTTTCTTCCAGTTTCTACGTTCAATCTAGATTTTACAGAGCACCTGAGGTCATACTTGGCATCCCATATAGCAGTTCGGTGGATATGTGGTCTTTTGGATGCTTGGCTTTTGAGTTGTTCACTGGCAAGCCACTATTTCCAGGGAAAGATAATAAAGATCAAATAATGAAAATTCACGACTTTTATCCAAATGGATTGCCTTTATTTATGTTGGAGCATGGTAGTAATACCAGTCTATACTTCAATGCTGAAAACGGATATAAATCAGAGCCTAACTCTGATAAGTTTACTGCTCAGCACATGATTGATAAAATATACTCCAAATACGGTACAAAAGAAGAGCATGAAATGTTCGTAGATCTGTTGATGAGGGTGCTCAATCCGTCATATTTGGAAAGGTTGCCTCCACATTCGCTTTTGAAACACGAATTTTTCAACATTCCCACACAGTTACCTGGCGCAGACATTGTCAGGTACGGCGCTAGACCAACACCAAGAGAAGATCCAAGGATGAGGAAAATGTCGCTATACGACTTTAGATCCTATGATATGGATGATGATAGCTTTACAAATAAAAGAAAAGGGTCTTTGTTTGATCCTGATCATGAAAATAGATATAATAGGCAATTTTAGATTAAATTTTGTTTGTTTGATAATCATATTAAAATCAAACACCACTCTGATTTTATATCAGAATGCCCTAAGATTGATGAAACACATGTGCACGACAAATTAAGTACAGTTCCAAAAGTATTCAGCTATCCGGGATATTGTCGAAAATAGCATGAAAATGATAATGTGGGATATGGTATGACGGGCCAGTTTCCTTGTATGAACATATAAAAGACATACCTAAGGAGACAAAAAGTACCATAAGCTATGAATTAATCTTGGCATACATCTCTCCAGGCCATTCAGCAACCACAGACCAAGCGGACATCTGGATTGCACTACAAACCTGTATTGTTATCTGGTATGCTTTGGCCATTTAGTTGTATTAGAGCCTGACGGCAGACAAGATTCAGTGTGATAGTTATACTGATTACTAGTACGCTGGCAGTCGATATGGCACTTGGTTATCTGCATCTCAGGCTGGCTGACTGATTCGTATAGACGTTAATTCAGTGTTTTCCAACATGAAACATAAATATATGTCTTTTTGAGAAGATAAACAATGAATGTATCAAAGATCACACATAGCCTAACTAACCTTGTTCTGGGCAATGCGATTCAAGAGCCAAGGCCTATTGACGAGCTTAGAAGAGAGCTTTCGAGCAGCACCACTCAAATCAAGGCCATGAAGACTGTTGTGAGCATGCTACAGCAAGGCTATGATGTAAATATGCTCCTTGGAGATATTTTGAAGATAATCGACACCAATAACTATGAGCTGAAAGTCTTGTGCAGCTTTTATCTCCGAAACACATGCTTTGGCAGGCCCGCTTGCCAGCTAATGTGTACACACACCTTTTTTCAAGGACTTCAACGATAGAAATCATAAAATTCAGCAGTTAGCAGTTATTGACTCCATCCACCTCTGCGATGAGGTGCTGTTGAAGAACTATGTTAGAGATATCAAGAGAATGTGTTCGCATCGAAGAGAGGAGGTAAGGATGCATACAGCAAGGTGCTTATCTATTTTCTATTTGAAAAATAGAAAATTGTTCTATGAAAAGGATTTATTGAAGTACCTGAAGATCCTACTCCAGGACCAGAAAGAAGGCGTCGTGGTTTCTGCACTAAAGGCTCTTGTGGTTATTGAGTGTAGAGAAAGCGCCATTAGTATTCAGGATGTCCTTATGATTGCACAGGGTTTTTGGGAGAGGGGATGCAACGATGGACTGCGAAGTGCCCTGAATATTTTGAAATATAAGGAAGTGAACGAGGCTGCCAAAAGTCTATTGCTAAAAACATTAAGGGCAACGACATAAGCATATTCTATCTGAGTGCTAGGAAACTGCTAGAGAAGGGTCTTTGCCATCAGGAGGTTTACAACACAGCTGCCGGGTTTCTGAATGTAAGGCCTGAGCATCTATACAATCTTTTAATATTTCTGCATTCATTTGTTGACAAGGTTGATGTTGATATCTGTGATTTTCTTCTGGAAGATGCAGTGCCCATCTGCGACTGTAGCTACAGCTGCTCAGAAGATACGAAAGCAGATAGCCTCAGACATTCACAGAGATGTTGGAGACCAGATTACATCAACATCGCAAAGAGCAGTATTTTATTGAAAAAAGTATCCTCAGATTGATCCAAAGTTCCAACGAATCATTTCAGCAAATCTGATACAGAACATGCAAGAAAATGACAGCTTGATGGAACACATACTAGAAATACTGATTAAGAGCAGTCTATATATTGGAGAAGTTATTGATAAAATCGTACCATCCGACTGGATACTCGGGTGTATATGGAGGAATAGAAGATACATAGCACAAGGTAAGGAATGGACACACTCTGTCTCAAAGATGCTGGCAGGAATGGGGGCTACCAAAATGCCTGAAATGTACATTACACTTGTCTCTGAGTTTTGTGATACAATTCCAAAGCTAGTCTTTAAGCTCGAAGATGAGCACATTAGCATGCATTTGGCCAAAATGTTTGTTGTGATGATGCACAAGGGTGTGATTACTACTGCACAATGCAGTAACTACCTGAAAAACATTCAAAAGAAGTGTGCAATGCTTGGAAGACTTGACATAGTCCTGAGTGGTCTGGAATGGATAGATCCCGAAGATATTATCTGCAATGGTCAGATGGATGGTGAGGCCAGCGAAGCTGTGCACGTTGGTAAGTGCACTGAGGTAGATTTTGAGCTAGCAAAGCATCTCTCCAGCACTGATAGACCTGACTCACAAAGTAGCAATGGCATCGATCTGGCCAGTCAGAAAATGATACATCCAAGCATAATGCTGGAAAACTTTAGCAAGCCTGATGCCTGTGGACTTATCAAGGATGCATGCAAAGATGCATCGGTGGATGGCAGTAGTGCCATTGAAGCATTTCCCTTTTTCCTTGACTTTCCAAGCTTCAAGGGAATTCTGGAGATCGAAGCTAACAAGCTGGTTTTGGCAGTTGATATTTTGGAAAAAACAGAGCTGTTGAGATATTCAATTGAATTTAGTTCAACCATCCAACACGAAGACGAGATTAGTCTCGAGGGCAAGTACACTCTTTTTGAACTTACTGTGGATTTGATTGGCAGGAGATATACAGTTGAAATAGGTAATCACAAATACCATGGTGTGTTTGGGTTGCAGTGCCTGGTTAAACCACAGGCCCTTACTTTCCAGCAGTTTGAAGAAGCATGCAAGAGGGCAGAAAATAGCATAGGCATTGATATTAAAACCATTGAACAGCTAGATCTTTACAGAATTGATTCTCAAAGATTTGCAGGATGCATTCTTGGATACAAAGTGCTAATTAGGAAGAAAAGCGGTGGCGCCGAGCTGAAGGGAGATGGCTTTGTCACCAACGTGTTTGGACCTTCTAAGTAAAGCTTCGTTCCTGGATTTTACTCGAGAACTTGTGCATACTAAACTAAAGACAAGCCGTCTCCTCAATTCTATCAAAATGATTTATAACTAAATTTATGGGTCTAGAGCAGAGCTCAGGAGTCCTGCACGCCAGGAACATGTAGATATGAAGATGAAGTCAGAATTTGCACTCATCACCATTCAGTCTGGGGCGGCAAAATTTCATCATCCCTCATGGGAGTAGAATTTTTCAATAAAATAAGCAAAAAGCAAAATCAAACAGACTACAGCTGTGCATACACAAGCTTGCCAATAAGTAAATTAGTTCAAATTTATTTAATATCGCATGCTTACAATTATAGTATTCCTGTTCATCGTTTTCAATACTAGCACAAGCATGCATCTTCATCGTACTCCAGCACATTACAAGAAAATATTCTCATTTGATCTTAATAACGGCTTAAGAAATATCACCTGGCGTGCATAGTTGTCTCCAGCAGTATTGTTCACTTAAATTAAAGTTGCTGCAATTATAGTTTGTGTGGTTTGCTACTTAGTCTTTTTTTGATTCATCTTTAATTTTTTTAGATTTTCTAAATATCTTCGTTGCCCAGTAATAAATAAACCAAAAGGTAAAGTAAACATGGCCATAGAAATATACATTCTTCCAGATTGCAAACAATTCTTTTACATCTAGCAGATAGAAGGGCATGGAAAAGTATGAGATGAAGAAAATCATTTGGACTTGCTTTAGTATCTTGAACTTCAAAATATTGTTAGCAAATGATACGGGCTTGCTATACATAGCAAATGACAAAAAGAATATTAGATAGCAAGGATTAATACCATGGAGTGCTGCAGAACTCAGGTGGCTGACTATGACTGCTTTCGAAATTGATTTCTCTTTTAATGGATTGAAAAATAGAGTTTTGAGCCACAAACTAATAAATTGATTCCAATATGACGATATCTCTCTAACGGACTCCGTAAATTCAACCTTGCAAAAGTCAATGTTGAGATACTCGGGCAAGTTATACAAAATAAAGCAGCAGTGCGCAAAATTCCAAGCAAAATGAAACTTAGTTCTGCCACAGAGATTAAACAGATATAAAAAAATAAACTTGAAGATAACAGGCATATCCGGTGATAAAATATAGTCTTTGAATGGAAATACACGAAGAAAGGCATGTGATGTTAAGAAGACAAGTGTTATTAGTGCTTGTTTATAGGGAAATGCAACGTCAACTTTTCTATCTCGATTAGCAAATTCCCTGTAAGGTGCAGTAGGTCCAGTAACAAGGCCAGGTATAAAAAATATATAGTCCAGTATATTTGCTATATTTCCATCAAAGAATTTAGAGATATACCCCATTTTCACTGTCAAAAGCATCAGAATACCTGACACATCAAAAGTACTACGGATTCTGGGCTCGAAGCTCTTACCAAGCATCTTATACACGTATAGATTCAGAATGTTCAGCACGGTAAAACAATACTCGTTGAGTCTAAATATCCACAATAGTATAATATTGATGGCAATTGAGACCAATACGAATGCTGTATTTTTCAATCCAAACGCAATCCACAATATTAGAATAGCAAGCACAGTGCTTTGAAATGTAGTTCGCTTTTTCTTTATGCTTGAAATGAGTATTATCGCCATCGATAAAAGATATCGTATGTCGATTTTGTCAATTGGTAGCTTTTCAATCATGGGGACTAAACAAAAACTTTTTGCATTAAAAATGTAATCAAACAGAGGTATATGGCAAGCATGGCTTTGCTGTAAATTTAATGAATAATTGCTGCTATTTTAAATATTTGATTCTTCAAGTCCTTGTTGAATGAAAGTGAATATTTCGGATTTTTTTGTTGAAAACACAATTGTGTCAACAACTGAGCAGGATGTGGTCTATGATTTGCCCAGGGACAAAGTACAGGAAGTTTGGGATAAGCTATCTGTTTACTACACTGAAAAATCGCAAGAAGAGAACAGGTCTGAGATCTTAGTTGAGGATTTTTACAGGTTGCTGGCGCATGCCAAAGTTGAAAATGAAACAGCGGTTGAGGCATTTGGGCTAGTAAAGAGAAAGGTGTTGTCTTGTTATGAGGCGTCGGATGCCAAAGAGCAAAAGGTGAATATTAAAAGAGTTATTCTTGGCGATGTCATGAATATTTTGAAACAAAGAATGTCGGAACTATTAGAAAATATCGAGAAAGAAAAACAAATTTACTCCAGGCTAAGCATGATTAATGCAGATGTAAAGATAGTTGACGGATCATTGAGAGTTTGTACCACACCCTTCAGCTTTGTAACACTTGAGCAGATACTTGATGATAAAAATGAAGGATTAACATGCATTTTAAAGTATAAAAGCCGTGAATATAAGGGGCATTGTGCATATCCAAAAGGTAAATTTTGCATCGTAGACATTGCAAGTCTTGAGGGAACGTTTAAAAGGCACAATGTGGAAATATCAATTAAGAATGAATTTGCAGATTCCAAACATCCGATATGTACAGCAATAATAAAAGAGCTGTGCAAAGGCACTAGTATTGATCTGATATTGAATAATGTACACGTACTACTTTCCCGATGGCATTTAGATGAGGTATGTAAGAATACTCTGCGAAAGTTCATAGTTCAAACAGATGCAAAGAAGCTGATAGATGGCTTCTCATCTGTGTTTTACGTCTTGACTGATGTTAGTGTGATTAAAGTGTCAAGATCCGAATGTGATTTTTCAATACGTTTGAATGGTGTTGAAGTTTTCAACTAACCTGAAATTAGATAAATTAAAAATTAATATGTGGCACTAACACCAGCGCCAAACCTCGAAACTTCAAAGCATAAGCATATTAAACTGAGATGATGTTTCATTGTAACATATTCTGCAATATAGGCCAATGCATTACGAACCCAACACTATCGTCTAGTCTACTTTATCGGTTTTACAAATCAAGCTGCACTTGTTTCCACTGTTTTTGATTGTTATTTCTTTTCCAAAATTATCCCTCATGAAAAGACTAAAGCAGGATACTTCCGAACCAGAGATCACGTTCTATGATAGTCTGAATAGAGCCACTTTTAACTATGAAGAATTTAAAGAAAATGCACATTTAAGACTTAAAGTACTCAGGAGGCTCGAAAATAACATCAGAGACAATATATCAGTTAAAACCGCAGAGGAAGATTTAAATTCCCACTTTTGTCTGAGATTGGTGTGTGCACAGTCAAAATGGAGCTCGAATTGGTTTGTTGTACAGGAAACTCAGCTTTTTAAGCATAAACTGCTACTTAACCCATCAGAGTCGAGACGGTTCTTTTTGGAGAAGGTTTGGCCGCACTTAAACGTCACTAAATACATTGAACATTCAACTGTCTATGATCCAGACAGTCATAACATGCTAAATTTTACTGAAAAGGTTAAAGTGCACTTTACTAAATGCTCGGACATAATTCCAAAAAGAACGCACAATCTTAATTTTGGATATTTTGACATAGACGATGAGGTTTTAGTTTCATTTTTAACTGAGACATTCAGAAAATGGCTTGAAAAACAGATGCATGAGTTGTATGAAAAGACAGTTATTGATTCTGATGAGCGATTGATTAATCTAAACAAGATGATCTTTTCGACCGAATCTTCCACAGAGGCATTGGCTATTGGTGATATCATGAAACTCAGTAATCTTTTTCCGCTTTGCATTAAGGGAATACTTGGAAGACTTAAAGCACAAAAGCATCTTAAATACCAGGATAGACAGACTCTTTGTCTGTTCTTTAAGGACATTGGCATGGGTTTGAATGAATGCATTGAGTTCTTCAAGTCTAATTTTGGCTGTACTCATGATCAGTTCAACAAAGAGTATCTTTATAATATTAGACACAACTATGGACTAGAGGGAAAGAGAGCAAATTATCATAGCTTTACATGCTCTAGAATTATTGGCTTTTCAAATGACGGGGTGAGTTTTGGATGTCCTTTTGTAAATAATCATGATTTTGTAAAACTTAACAGCGATATTGAGGATTTGAACAAAGATGCTGTTAAGTGCTGTGGAAGGGTAGGTGCAAAAGTCATAGGAGAGGAACTAAAGAATTCATTTCAAACACCCGCTGACTACTTTAGAATTTTATTTAAAGAAAACCAATTAATGAACAAATAAATTCAAGTTCTGTTAACATGTCATTTTTGGTGAGCTGTGGTATTTAAAGTATTTCCTGATTAGTTTATATTATGCATCTTTCCTGTATCAGTTTTTATTAAACGTGCAGGAGATGGCTGAATCGTAGACAAAGATAAGATAAGCATCCATGGCAATGTTGTTTATTCAAATTAAAAGTACTAAGTCTTTGGATACTTTTGATGCACACTCCTCATTCAGGTCTAAAGCTCCACAAAGTTTAAATAGGTGCTTGGCCATGAATTTATCATTTGCAGATCTAACGGTCTCAATGGCTTTTGCAAAGAGCTTTTCAATAACAAACTTATAAGGCCTCATATCAATATTCTGATCGAAAAGCACTGTTTGCCTCAGATTGGAAACAGAGGGATTCTTGACAAATTTATAAAATCCATACATGTTTTTCAATTCGTCACTGTCTTTTGATATTTTCTCTTTAAGGTACTTCTCGACAATTTCTTGATCGACAGTTCCGTCAATCAATATGGCCTCTTCAGTTGCATCTCTTAATGTTTGAATCATAGTCAAGTCATCAATAATGCTGTATAGTTGAATAATCTTATTTCTGTCTCCCATTTCTCTGAGTCTTTGAAGAACCTTTGAAGAAAGCTTATAATCAAGAAAGAATTCAACGGTAGTGTTTTTCTCCGAGGGCTTGCCAAGAATATCGAAGAGCTCAAACTTGATGATGTAGTCAGGAACAACGTCATAGTATTCGCTGTGACTCTTGAGCATTTCAATCAGCTTGACTTTGTATTCCTTAGTAGACAGTCTTGTAACGATATTAAAGAGGAAGTTTAGGAATATAGGGCTGATTGCAAATGGCTGTTCAGAGATAGAAGCAAGACTCACAGTTGAAGAGCTGTCCTCAACCAATCTTCTTGTTCTCAATTGTGATCTTGTTATGAGGTTTGATGAGTCAAAGACATTTGTGGAATGAACTTCTTCGCCTGCTTGGTCCAGATTCTGCTCAAGACATAGCTCCCTTAACAGGAAGAACTTTGGGATAACTCCAAAGTCTGATTTCAGTAGAATGTCGATGGCTTTGCTATACTTTTTGGCAAACAAAGATATCATAAACTTGATTTTATCGCTTTCAAAAATCTCAATATCGTTTTTGAAATTCTTTTTAGTGACCAGCCTGAGCCAGATGTAATCTTCTGCGGTATTTATGACCAGCCCGTCACTTTTTGCCCTCTCGTCTGCTAGCTCAAACAGGAATTTTTTAAATTTATCATCACTTTTAAGATTTACTACGAAATTGGGCTTTCTGCCTGCAAGATACCCATTGAAAACAGTCTTAAATCTCTGAGACATGAATTCAAAAAATATTTCAAATTCTGATAACAGACTGAGCAGCAGATCAGTCCTACCAATTCTGAAAAATGTGAAGGCTTCGGCCCACAAGTATCTTGATTCGTATATTTCAATTCGATACTCTTCCCCGTTAAATCGCATCTTTACAAATCCCTAACAATATTCTTCAGTGCATTGTCATCAACAGTATTGGTCTTCGTGTCGATATGGAGATCTGCTGGACGATTTTGAATGTAGAATTTTACAACGTGCCTCATGTATGAGCTCTGCAGAAATACCAAAGGTTCTATCTTTTGATTTATAAATGAGTACATATCAAAGAGGAAATCATCCTTGAATGTACTTTGCGACGGCCTCAACAAAAACAACTGTTCTATGTCCTTCAAATTTCCAATTTTATTTGCATAGACCTTCTGGTCGTTTTCGATTTTCAATTCTTTAATTTTTTTATTTACAGCCTTGCTAAAATCAGCAAACAATTGCAGCTCAAAGTCGATACTCTTCTCCTTGAGCTTTTCGTGTAAAAATCCTTCAAGAATAGAGTCAAGATCGAGTGTCTCATGAGCTGTGCCTAAGAGCTTAGAAAAGGATGTGCTGATCACACCATGGGAATAGTCCCTGTATTTAGACTGCTTTGTTTTTAGTAAAGCAATTAAATGAGTGTAGTTGTTAATTCTATAGGGCTTGACGATGAATGGCGCCCAGTGCAAGTGTTCCTCCATGGGTCAAATTTTTAGAGCGAATGTATTAGCAGTAAATCAAGTGTTTTCTGCACAAGCCGTATTCACTGCTATTCTATACTTCAGTACGTTTACAAGTTTAAGCTATGTCTTGGCAGTATAAATCTTTTCATATTTTTGAAATCTTCACCCATGGATCTCTACAGCCACCAGAACGCAGGAAATGTAGAAGAGAGGAAGGACGATGCGTTGAGAACAATTAGAAGCGGAATAAACTTGGTGGGAGACATTCTGAAGACTACGCTTGGTCCCAAAGGTAGTCTGAAGGTCATTCATGGGAAGGAAACATCGGTGACTAACGATGGCGCATTTATATTGAAGAATCTCATGATCGATAGTGCAAGTGCAAAGATCATTATTAATAGTAGTATAAATCAAGATTGGGAAGAGGGGGATGGAACCACTAGCATTGCTGTTCTTGTGTCCCTACTCTTGAAGGAAGCTTATCAGCTGAGCATTCATTCTACAAAAATAATAAAAGGATTTTCATTAGCTCTTGCAAGATGCCTGGATCTGCTAAATAAGAGAAAATTTACACCAAAGCCAGAAGATATTCGCAATTTAGTCAAAACCACCTTAAATAGTAAGGTATTATCTAACAGCCTGGATGTTTTTATCGATATTTGTATTAAAGCTGTTGAAATGTCCGAGGATATAACATTGGTTGAAATCATCAAGCTCGAAGGAGATCTTTCGGAAAGTCTTATTGTTGATGGAATTGTGCTAAACAAAAGCATTGATATAGCTCTTGAAAATCCAAGGATACTTATTGCAAATACCTCCATGGATCACGACAAGATAAAAATTTTCAGTTCCAAGGTTAATGTGGAAAGCATTAAGGAATTAGAAAGAATAGAACTAGCAGAGAAAGCAAAGATGATCTCTAAAATAGATGCAATGTGTCGTGCCTCCTTCGATTTGTTTATTAACAGGCAGATCATCTATGACTATCCTTTACAGCTATTGAAAAATAAAGGGCTGTCTGTTATTGAGCATGCTGATTTTGATGGTGTTGAAAGACTTAACAAGGTGCTAGGCGGAAATCTTTTGTCAAGCTTTGAGGGCATCAAAGAATCTGACTTTGGAACATGTCAAAAGGTTACTACAGTTAATATTAAGGGACACAAAATGGTAAAGTTCGAAGGCATTAAAAAAGGGCGCATCTACCATTGTTATTTGCGGAAGTTCTAAGGAAATGCTTGATGAAGCGGAAAGATCTGTCCATGATGCCCTCTGTGTTTTGAAAAGAATTAAAGAGAGTCCAAATTGTCTGTATGGTGGCGGATGTACTGAAACTGCACTTGCACTTGAGCTGTCAAAGTTTGCTCTAGAAGTCAAAACGAAAGAGTCAGAGGCTATTGAGTGCTTTTCTAGAGCACTATTGAGCATTCCCAAGATTCTTGCAGACAACTGTGGATTTGATGGCGATGAAGCCAAGTCTTTATTGAAAAATGATCATGCCTATCGCCGCACTACCTACGGTGTTAATGTAGAAAATGGGAAGACATGCTGTATGAGGGAAAAGGGTGTGATTGAAGGCTTTGAGATGAAAAGGAGAGTGATAATGGCAGCATGCGAAACAGCACAAGCTATTTTGAAAATTGATGGCCTTGTTACATGCAAGCCCAGGGAAAGATCGCACGATCATGGATGCCATTAAATTTATATTTTTGGTTAATCTTAGACATTTTTGTGAAAATCTACAACTATAGCATTCCTCTCTTTTTTCTGTTCTCTGGGATCACTGTTGAATGTATTTTTGTTCTCTCCCTGAATGGAAAATTTAGAAGACGACAATACCAAGATTTTCCTGAACAAGAAGGGATTGAGAAACATGCCTCCTATCTCAAGTGAAGTGAAGCATTTGGAGGCTAGGAGAAACATGATAGAAAGCTTGGCTTTTCCCAGATATTCAGAACTTGAGTATTTGGACGTTTCAGATAATGTAATAAGCTCTATGAATCCCATTTCAGGACTTAAAAAGTTAAAGATTCTTGATATGGGTTATAATTTAATTCAACACATACCAAAGCTTGAGCTGCCATCCCTAAACGAGCTGTATCTGATGTCAAATGATATCTGCAGGATCGAAAATATGGATTTTGAAGAATTAACAAAATGTGATCTGGCAAACAACGAACTCAAAACATTGGATGGCATTAGGTGTTTGAAGCTTGAAGAGGGATATTTTGGTGCCAACCATATAAGTTGCATTCCTGATTTGAAGCATCTACAACAGTTGAAAATTTTAGATCTACAGTACAATAAGTTGGACGAGGTTGATTGTACTCTACTTCCAAGGAGTATTGAAGTGTTGCTTTTAAACAACAACAAGGGACTGACAAAGCTACACAACTTAGATTATCTTGGAAACTTAAAATTACTTGGAATCAAGAATACAAAGGTCGCTGGGGACTAAATTAGATGGGAGATTTGAAATTTGGTAAATTAATGAGGTATTAAATGTAAACCAAATATACAATGTTGTGCAAGTTTCATTTAATGATGTAATGCTATTTTTATACCTAGCTTCTTACTTTGCACAGATGTTTTTATCAATGTAGACTCATTGTCTCTTTTGATAGAGTTTTTTTTCACCTGCAAAGTACATTCCAACTTTGAATCCTAATTTGTTGTAAAAGTGATTCTTGCTTGTTCTTAATGTTTCATTTGTATTGCAATGGGAATCAAAGAGACCCTTTTGCTGCACCGGATGCTCATAGGCTATGTTTGTCAATGTAAAATCTGTTGGATGTAATTTGAAGTGATTTTCGTCTTCTGAGCTTGACCAGCCAGGCATGGGGAATGAAAGGGATGCATGATGAAATAGCAGCAGCATTGGAGTAGCAAAGCCAGGGATCCAATAACTTGGAATTTTAAAATGTATCTTAGAGGATAGCTAATGCTGAGGAATTATCTACTTTATTTACCATCAAGACAGCAATATAATACAAGCATATCACTGCATAGTTAAGCAGCGCACTGCAGTGGCACAGCACTACAAGCACAGTCATCATTAGCAATATGCCGGCTGGACAATGAAGAGACGTAACACTTTAAAACACAAAAACAATTATCTCGCGAGAGAACCAAAAACTACAACAAACAAAGTGAAAACACTTCACCACAATACTATATTTATTTAGAATCCCATATACTTAGTTCCTAATCTCTTCAGGGCATATATAACATCCTGACAGTTAATTGTCTTTCTCTTGCTGTGTGAGCAGTAGATTCTACAGCTGTCCAAGAGTGTGGTGAGATAGTTGACTGCTGCATCATTGACTTCTGGGAAGCAGCCAGCACCCACTCTAGGTACACCTGCCCTACGAGCGAGTCTCCTGATTGCTGGTCCACTGATTTTGCTGCTGCTTGATGGTTGCTTTCTGTGTCGCTTTGCAACACCCTTTGCTCCTTTTGCTCCCTTACCGCGTCCTGCCATTGGGGTTCCCAATTTTTCTGTATTTATAATTTTTGGAGGGATATTTTTGCGGGAAATGGGCTGTTTGGCGGGAAATGGATCTTCCAAGGGCTATTTGCCTCCTGATGGTGAAGAGATGTTGTGTAATTTTTGAGAGAAGCGCATAAAATCAAAAAATTAAAAATAGATAAAACCCGAAAAGAATGCAGATTTTGGACTTAAAAATAAGCTATAAATAAATTTAGACAGTTCAAGATCTACATCATCTAAGACAAGAGATTTTATACTTTTGGTTATTGGTCAAAGACCGGTATAAATGGTGGCACTTAACTAAAATTGGCAAATGAGTCCTGACAGTCTTCACTGTGCCTGTTTGGAGAGCTATTGCTAGTTTTCCACACGATAAGCTATGTGATATTAAAGACAGCCGTGTTGAAAATACAGCGAGGATGAGAAATATTGCCGATCTAACATGGCTTCGGCATGATCTTATCTGTAAATTCTTAGATAAATGTTCTAAAATTTACTCATTCCTACTCACAAATTCTAAAAGGAAAATTGGAAATGGAGGGAAAGTTTCCCGCCTAAAACTACTTAAACACTTTTCATTCCAACCCCATGGCTAGAGTTAAGCAACTTGAAGTTAGAGCAGGTGGTAAAAAACCAGCAAGAGTAGCCACAGGAAAATCTACGCCCAGTACTCTCTCACAGACAAAGACTAAGTTTAGACCTGGCGCAGTGGCACTCAGAGAGATACGAAAATACCAGAAGTCCAGTGATCTTCTCATACGAAAGAGACCATTCCAAAGACTAGTTAGGCATTTGACATCTTTCAACGATGAACTGAGATTCCAGTCAGCAGCATTGGTTATTTTCCAGGAGGCTGCAGAGAATTTCTTAACAGGTCTCCTTGAAGATGCATATAGATGTGCTGTGCATGCAAAGAGGGTAACTCTGCTTCCTAGAGATATTGTGCTTGTTTATAAAATCAAGTATTCAAAGTATTTTAATACCGCGATGGTCTGATGAGTAAATAAATATCTTGTGATATGGCTGACAACATCTTATGTTGTATATTCAATGAATCACACTCATCAAAATAGTCAGCGATACCACCATTTGCTTGGTGAAGTATGCTGTTCACAGTGTGAATTTTTTTTTAAATTTTCTAAGAGTATCGATTGCCAATATTAAAACTGCAGAACCTGCTGGGAAAAGTAACGACAGCAAATTTGGTCGTTTGATCAACAAAAACGTTTCAAAGAACGGTGCGAAAATAATAAGAGTGGAAAGTGCTATGCCGATTATTGTGAATACGACTATCTTGAAGTTTTTAAAGAATCTTTGAAAAAAATATTCTTTGTCACGTCGACATACAAGCATGTTTGCAAACTGGCAGACCATTAACCCAAGAAAATACGTGCTTTGTCCTCTAAATACAATAGCGAGCTGCTCCTCATAGTCTATTATGCTCCCATCAGCTAATCTAAGATCTGGTGATTTGTATTGAAAATATGTATTTGCCGAGAAGAACATTTTTGAAAAAGGAATGTTGTTTGAGTATAGCACCGAATAAAAGGCTAGCTCACACCCAATTGATGAGATTAATCCCGCTTCGATAATTGACCAGGAAAGGATAGTTGTGCTGTACATTATGCCGTTACTCAATACACCCATCATGTCGCGAATAAAACGTTTAAACTTCTGGATTGGTCCCAGCTCTTCAGCTAAATTTCCCAATGACCAAGCATTGTTTTTGCACTGCCTCGGTGGCTCTAGCAAAAGATTAAATTCGGGGTCTTCAAATGAAAAAAACACTGCTGGAATCACCTCGACTAGATAATTCAAAAATATAAGTAAAATAGGCGACAGCGGCATTGGCGTTCCTAGGACGACATAAAGAACAAAAGGCAATAACTGTGGACTAATGTGCATGAGAATATACCTAATCGACTTCTGCAAGTTGATAAAAAACAGCCTGCCCTCTTCGAGGCTATAAATAATATCATCAAATTTCTGAGGATTGAAAACCATAGAGCTCGCTTCTTTGCAAATACGACTTGAATCCTGAAAACAGACACCAATATCTGATTTGCTTAGAGCACGCGAATCGTCCATCTGTGACCCGACAAAACACACAACCTCACCGTTCTGCTGTAAATCATTCACAACTTCAGACTTTGAGTCCGCATTACATCTGTAAATGATAAACTTGTCTCTTTGGATAAACAGTCTTTTTAATTCTGCATCAAAGTTCATATACTGCTCTGCTTTTATTATATGGCCCGTCGCAGGCTCATCTATTTTTAGAAATTGGTCATCTCTTACAAACTTCTCTCTAAGACCCAGAATGTTTCTGCTTGAGTTCAGCTTATTCTCCGAATGTGTGTCTGTGGCTATTGAAAATTTAATGCCTGCATTTTTGAAAATATTTGATACCAGTGGTAAATCAGATTCTGGCATCTCTTGCAAAAAATACACACAAACAAATGTCAATCCTTTCATTTTAAACGTCTGCTCGTTCTTGCCAAATGATCGATAGGCCAATGCAACACTATCATACCCTTCAATTTTCATTTTGTGGTGCAATGTTATAGTTTTCATTTTTTTGCTGAAAATAAGCTTTTTCTTGTTCTGGTCTACGAAAGACTTGTTACATACCTTTAAAACCGATTCTACAGAGCCGGTCACATAGATTGATTTAAAATCACTTTCATCCACAATTGTGCCATTTAGATCTTTCAACCTTACATCCTTGATCTTTGTGGCAACACGAGTGTGGTTGGCAAAATACTTGCAACAAATATCTCCCAGTGTTTCTAATGGAAGATAATAAGCTCTGTTATGGTGCTGGTCTTTTGATGAGCTTATTAGTTTTGTCATATACCCTATTTTCTGTAGAAATGATAACGAATCTTCATTTTTATCAATAAATGCTAATTCAACATCAATCAGATCCTGCCCATTGTACACATATGAGCATGCAATATTTTCACTAGGAACAAGTGCGCTTTTCTCGGCAAGTATTCTCGTGACCAATCCTAGTTTTTCAATAGATGCAACGTCTCTAATATAAATATTCTTTTCGCTTAATTTTGAACCTGCGGAGAATAGCAGCAGCTTAACAGTAGACGGAATTCCCTCAGGGATCAACGTAATTAAGACCGACACCGTGAGATCAACAGCATTGAAGAAGGTTATTCCTGTTGTCAGGCCGATCAGAATCAAAGCCATACTCAACAGTAATCCAAAAACCAATGAGCCTACAAAAAACAAAGTCATTTCTGAGTATAGTTCACTTTGGTATTTCCTTTTATAAAACATATTTCTGTAGATTTCAGCAATTTTTGTATCGTTTCCAATTCGGACAACTACAGCCTTGCCCCTTCCACCTACAATTCTATCTGAGCTCAAAACGACATTATCTGATTCTTCAAAAATATCTTTGTGCTTTGTATGTGTTCTTTTGAGGTTCTTCACGCCAAGCTGGCCGATGCTTCGCTCTATTTCAACATTGTTTGACTTCACAAGAATGGCATCAGCTCCCACAGTATCTCCCTTTTTCAAATCCAAAACATCTCCAGTTTTAATTAATTCCCTGTCTATATGAACAATATGATCTTCGTTAACGATCCGGCAATCATGCGAGTCTAGCCGTTGTTTGTAAATTCCATTGATTTTTGACTCTTCAAACACTTCAAAGATCGTTTTAACAGCCATTATGCAAAGTGTAGACAAGAATACCAACAGGTGGCATGTTTCCTCCTCATTAAATTCGTAAACAACGACTAGAAATGCAGCGCATAGCAGAGAAAGCATATTCACGGGTTCTAGAATTGTTCCAAATGCTAGATGCATCAAGGAATAGTCTCTTTTTGGAAAAATAATATTATTGCCTCTCGAGGGATCATTTAGAACGACAGCATTATTAAGGGAAGCGTATGATTTTCTGCTTATTTCCAGGATTCCATATTTATCCAGGAGCTTTCTAATAGGTAGTTTGTGGTCGTTCATTCTTTTTCGTGTAAGGTCAAAAATACAATGTTAGCATATAAACAAACACGCAATGCACAGTTAATCTTGTTGTCCAGGCAATACTTTACAATTTTATTCAGCCCATGGAAGAGCATCAAGTTTAATGCATAATTATCAGAAGAATGTGTTGGAGAAGGTTTACCCGTTACAATAAAATAGTTTTGGTAACTCCGATTACCTTTCATTTATTAAAGCATCTTTGCAAAATTCGCTATATCGCCAATAAATCCAGTATTGTCAGAATATCACATTATTTGCCCTTAACTAAATGAGCTTGTAGGGCTCGAAACGGATGGCATCCTAACACTGGAATATAAGAAGGATTTTTGATACCATGTTTCGATATATTCGGCGTTCTAAATTTTGGCCATATTATATCATGTAGATTGTTTTTGTTCAGCGTCATAGTTTTTTACCAGTTGCAGATAATATTATTAAAGCAAGAGACAGACAGCTCTTGATTAGTCAACTGCACTATTTTATAAAAAATCTATCGTGCAGGCCTTAAATTGCGATTTGTATATTGATAATACATATTGTTTCCGAAAAGTTAGCCCAGATGAGCGAGATCATCTTGTTACAAACCCACATCGATTACATGCAGGACAATTTATCTCTGGATATAACAGCACCAACCATTACAATATTTGGAAATACAATGGACACTACTCCAATCCAAGTTAGGGTAGGGGACTTTATTCCCTATTTATACATTCAGCCATCAGTTGAAATTTCGGTAGACGCGCTTCAGAGCTTTATTTTAGGAAATTTTGCAAAGGCAAAGTGCCTGGGCATTGAAAAAGTGTACAAACAGAGTATTTATGGATACAGTGATAAGAAGTCAGTGTTTTACAAAGTATATTTCAACAACCCCAGCTCTTTCAGATCTGCCAAGGCATTTTTTGAAAACGGCATAACTTTGGAACAGAAAAAAGTCAAATTTAAAATATTCGAAAGCAACTTCCCGTACATTTTAAGATTTATGAATGATCTCAACCTGTCGGGTATGAGCTATCTTAGGGTGAGGAATTATAAAACAGAGTCTACAGATCCTTTTGTAATTTCTACCGAATCTTCGTTTATTGAACAGCTACCATTTGAAGGAGAATATAATAAAAGTTATACCATTGAAAATTTTAAGCTTTGATATTGAATGCTGCTCAGAAACACAATCCTTTCCCGATTCTAAAAAGGATCCTATCATTCAAATAGGAAACAGTGTTGGAAGATATGGCGTTTCAGGGCTCTCAAGAACCATATTTTGTCTGAAAGAGACTGCAAGCATTCCTAATTCCAATGTTTACTGGTTCGAGACGGAAGAAGAGTTGCTAAATGCTTGGAGAGAATATTTTCTTGAAACGAACCCCGATATCGTAATTGGATATAATATTAAAAGCTTTGATTTTTCATACATTCTTGACAGAGCTGAAATATTGAGGCTAAAGGATTTTGGAAGACTTGGAAGAACTGATAAAGTTAGCAGAGTTGTTAATAGACAGCAGTCCTCGAAGATGTTTGGTACCTTTGATGCAAAGGACATCAATATTGAAGGCAGGCTGATTTTTGATCTACTTCACGTAATAAGAAGAGACCATAAATTAAGAAGCTACTCTTTAAACTCTGTTTCTGTCCATTTTCTAGGAGACCAGAAGGAAGATGTGCCACCATCTTCGATGTTTGACCTACAAAATGGCAATAAAGAGACAAGGGCCAGAATAGCATCGTACTGTTTGCATGACACATATCTACCAATGCAGATTTTTGATAAGCTGAATGTTCTCATAAATTATTCGGAGCTTTCCAGGGCAACATATGTTCCTATTGATTTTTTCTCAACTCGGGGCACCTCTATTAAGGTTCTAACGCAGATATACAGAGAGTCCTCGAAGCATGGCTACCTCATTCCGGACGTAGAAGTAACAGATGAGTATGTTCCATATGAGGGCGGATTTGTCATGGATCCAATAAGAGGATTTTATAGCGACCCTATCACTGTACTAGACTTTACGTCACTTTATCCATCGATCATGATCAGTAAAAACCTATGCTATACAACCTTGCTCACAAAAGAGCAGTATGACAAGGTCGGAGGCATAAAAACACCCACTAACAATTACTTTTGTTCTGCAAGCACTAAAGAAGGTATCCTGCCTCAAGTTTTGCGAAATCTGTTAAAAGCAAGAAAAGAAGCTAAGGCGTTGTTCAAAGCATCTACAGATCCCATTATTAAGAGGAGTCTTGATGCAAGACAATATGCTCTGAAGATTTGTGCCAATTCACTGTACGGATTTACAGGTGCAACCGTAGGTCAGCTGCCCTGCATTGAGATTTCCCAGAGCACAACCGCCTTTTGGTAGAGACATGATATCAATGACAAAGAAATTGATTGAAGACAATTTCAATCTTAAAAATGGATTTACGCATGATGCGCAGGTTATTTATGGCGATACTGATTCTGTGATGATTAATTTTTCTGAAAAGGACCTGGAAAAGGTTTTTGAAATATCCAAAAAAGTGAGTCAGTTTGTATCCGACAAATTTGAAAAGCCCATCTCACTGGAATTTGAAAAAGTCTATAGTCCCTATCTTCTTATCAATAAAAAAAGATATGCTGGACTGGTTTACACAAATCCACAAAAGCCAGACAAAATTGACACAAAAGGAATTGAAACTGTTCGAAGAGATAATTGTGAGCTGGTCAAAACCGTTATTGAGAATTGCCTGAACAAGATTCTCTTTGAAAAGAATCTTGAGGCTGCCAAGAACTATGTGAAAGATGTTGTTAGGGATTTGTACACCGACCAGATTGATTTAAGCCAGTTAGTCATTTCCAAAACATTTACAAAAAGCAATTACACGACAAAACAAGCACACACCGAGCTTGCAGAGAAGCTTAGAAAACGCGGAATAAGTGTTGGAATTGGCGATCGCATTCCCTATGTCATTGTAAAAGGAGATAAGAAAATGGCAGCATATGAAAAGAGTGAGGATCCAGTCTATGTTCTTGAAAACAACCTCCCAATTGACAAGGAGTATTACATTGAACAGCAGCTTGTCAAACCTGTGCAAAGATTATTTGAGCCGGTGATGGAGAATGTTTCTTCGCTGTTCCATGGCGAACACACAAAAGTAATATCCAGTGGTGTAACAATGCAAGGGCCAATGAATATGTTTGTAAAAACAAAAGATGAGTGTGTTGGATGCAAGAAGCCCGGCACAATACTTTGTGCTGCATGCCGTCCGAATTTCCCCAGCTTATTCATGGCCATTCAACACCAGTTCAATGAAAAAACAAAAAAATTTAATAATTGCTGGGTGGAATGCCAAAGATGTATGGGAAGTGTTGTAAACGAAGTGCTTTGTGTCAATCGGGTTTGTCCTATTTTCTATATGAGAACAAAAGTTAAAAAGGAACTGGAGCCGTTGGAGGAAAAGCTTCGGAAGTTGCGAAGCGTTTCGTGGTAAGAATATTAAATAGTTCAAAAATACCCACTTTATCTGTCCGATGCCAAATTCTAAAGTTCTGCATTATCAAGTAGTATTTCAGTGATCGTCTCGAGGCAGTACTACAAAACATGTGCTTAATTTGTTTTAAAAGTAGATTTTCAACAGACCTTTCTATTTATGTCAATAATCAAAGACACTGACGACTATGAGAAGTCGTTCGTCGTAAAGTACTTGAAAACGCAAGCCGATAAAAAGATCGCGGAGTTAGAATCAAAGCTTGAAAACACCACAGACTCGTTCAAAAGATTACAAATTAGAAGAGAAATAAAAGTTGTTGAGCAAGCATTAGAGCTTGAGCTTAAAAAGCTAGACGGAGAAGAACAAACAATAGAAATGTTTGAGCTGGGATCCAAAGCTAAGGAAATTGGTGTTTTTGTGCATAATGATGCATTTATTTACGGTAATTTTAGAATTCCGATGAATGCTTGGAATTATTTATTTGATTATCAAAAGCTAGGTGTTATGTGGATGCTTGATCTGTTTGAGCTAGAGAAAGGGGGCATCTTGGCCGATGAAATGGGCCTTGGCAAAACCATACAGGTTTGCACAGCAATAGTATCACTTTTTTATTCAAAAAAAGCAGAACAATTCTTGATTTTGGCACCGGCAACAATTATTGATCACTGGGTTGATCAGCTGAGAAAGCTTGAGCCTTGTCCGAAGATATACAAAAAGTTGTCTATTAAAAGCAAAGGCATTTTTGTGCTTAGCTATGAATCATTTAGACTATGCAATATACTACCAACGTTTGATGTTGTGTTTCTTGATGAAGGCCATAAAATCAAAAACAAAGAGTCGCTAATATCGCAGTCGGCGAAGAGAATGCAAGCAAGATGCCGTTTTGTAATAACAGGCACTCCAATACAAAACAATCTTGCAGAATTATGGTCTATTTTTGACTTCGTAAATCCAAATGTGCTTGGATCATACTCTACCTTCCAGGATGAATTTGAAAGGAAGATAAAGCATTGTAAAACCGAAAAAGAAAAACAGATATCATACCAATATTCAGTTATGCTGAGATCAATCATAGAACCGTTTATACTCCGGAGAATGAAGGCATCTGTCAATCACATTCTGCCCAGTAAGCTTGATAAAGTAATTTTTATTAGCCTAACAGATAAACAACTGCAAATGTACTTAGAGGCTTTGAAGTCAAAGAAATTTGAAATATTGATTAAAAGCGGGTTTGGATCAAAGGGCAGTTTGCTTAGCGCATTGGTATATCTAAGAAAGATCTGCAACCATCCGTTACTCGTGGGTGAAAAGCCATTCGTAGAGTATAGCCACAGCGACTCTTCAGACTCAGGCAATCCCGATTTACAAAATGCCAGTGTTAATCAGCTTATTAATGACTCGTCCAAGCTAAAAGTTACGTTTGATATGCTTGACCAATGGTACAGCGAAAAGAATCGCGTTCTGCTATTTTTCCAAACATATAAAATGCTTCAAATAGCCAAAATGGGAATATCAAGCTTTAGACCTGATTTCAAATTTATTGAAATGTCAGGAAAAACACCAACATCAAAAAGATCCACAATAATCAACACATTCAACAATGACCATAGCTATTTTATTTTTCTACTTACCACACGTGTTGGTGGGCTAGGATTAAATTTAACTGGCGCCAACAGAATAGTCATATATGATCCAGATTGGAACCCATCGACGGACAGTCAAGCCAAGGAGAGAATATATCGATATGGACAAAAATCTAAAGTTGAAATTTACAGACTGGTCTGTAGAGATACTATTGAAGAAAAAATATATCAGAAACAGATTTATAAAGACTGTTTGAGCAAAAAGATTCTATCAAACCCCAATGCCAACTTTGATCGAGACTATTTCCTGGATCTCTTTGATATCCATTCAAGCTTCAAGAAAGATGCACAGGTAGCCGAAAGCAAGGAATTTACAGTTGAAAACGATGAGCTGGTGAGTATAAAAGAGGAGGACAAGAGAGATTTCAATATTTTCAAGGCACTAAACTCAAAGACCGCATTGACAGGGAAGGAATTAATTGACTACATTAAAAGACGTGAAAGCAACTTAAGTGAATAATGGAGCCATACATGTAGTTTATAATGATTTAGTAATATTACTCATGCATAGAAGCCCCGTCTATCAATCTAATATTGCCATATAATATTTTACCTAGGTGTCTAGCAATTACTGTCTGGCTGCAATTACAGGTTATGCTTAGGTATTAATCAGATGAAATTGCACACATTTGGTAGTGGTATCAGCTCTGCACAGACTCGCAAGTATCAATGGCTATTTCAAATAAAATAAAAAAGCTGTGTTTATTCATCAAATAATGGATAGAGTATCTCTAATCCTCTTCTGCTTATTGTCTGCCTTATATCCTCTGGCATCACAATCTTTCGTTTGTTCTCATTGCAAATCTCAGTAGCCTCTTTAAGAAGCCCGACAATAAAGCACTCTGTTTTCTGAGCTATTGACTCCGCTATTTCACCTGAAAGCTTCATGTTCAGCATTTCTGCCTGCTTTTGGACATCCTTGACTACGCCTTTGCACGTGCTCATGCTAGATTCAAAATTTTCAGTTTTATTTATAGCCCATGGATGAACACGAAATAACCAATCGACTGGCAATAACAAATTTGGACTTTGATTCAGTGAATCTTTCGACAATTTTTAGAATATTTGAATCAGTGATTGGACCCAGTATAGTAAGGATTTCGCTGTTTGGAACGGAGCGAAGTCAGCAATATGCTATTGCTGAGTTCACCGATAAAAGACATGCAAAGGATGCATATGATTCTATTGATGGTCTTGAGATTGAGGCTACGGGAAATATTTTTGATCTTAGCTTTGTTCCGGCTGACTTTAAAGGCGATACTTTGCTAGACGACTGCAGCAACCCATGTGGCTATGAAAATACAAACAAAGCCAACAAAAGATGCAGTATGGATGAAAGTCTAGATACAATTATCTGATGAGTTAGAAACTAGTATTCATATTCCAGACGAATTTAAAACTTGGCCTGAAGAGAAAACAGAAGGACTAAGTCTTAAAAAACAGATAATTTCCGAAGACAGCAGTGCAATCAATATTTCCAAAACACTCAAAAATAAGGAACACAAGAAAGAACCAGACGACTTTGGTTTTGATATTAAGGACAGTAGATTTCAAAGTTTATTTGATGACGATGACTTCATAATCGATGCGTCTAACAAGAAGAGTAAGCAACAGCAAGTTTCAAGGATGATTATAGAGGAAAGACAGAAGAGAAGGTGCGAGTAAGGATGATACACTTTTCCTTCTTACAAATAAATTAAAACGTATTAAAAACATGGCATAATGGGCATTTTCTGCTATATTTCTCTTAAATATGTCATCCTATCTACAATGAGTGATGTATTTTTAATTTAAAGCCTATTTAGTTTGCTATTATAATATTTTTATATAGATGGCCCTCAGAGAAGTGAAGCAATGATTGTAAATGATTTCGCAAAAGAAGTAAATCAGACCAGAAGTAGAGAACTTTTAGACGCTCTTCGCACAGTACTTGAACTGCAAGACGAAATCAAAGAGTTTATTGGTTCACACCCAGTCACCCTATCTCAGGAAGCTATTGAGTATCTTTTGAATGAGGACTACTTGGTTTGTGAAAAAACAGATGGAATACGAGTGATGCTATTTGTATTTGAGGGTTTTATCTACTTTTACGATCGAAAGAACAGATTCTACCAGACTGATCTCCTTTTCAATGCACCTTATATATTTTTATTTGACGGGGAAATGTATCTAGAAAAAGGTAGAAATGATAAATACATTTTTTCTATGTTTGATTGCCTGATTTATGACTCAAGATCTAGAATTCACTCAGATCTCAATAAAAGATTGTGGTATTGCTTTCAGTTTGAAAAGATTGTACAGAAAGGTTTTATTAAGCGCAAGAATGACTCAATCCTTAAGAGCTTCTACATCGCTGGAAAGCCAATGTACAAGAGCTATTCATTTCCACAGATATTGGACAGCATTTCTAAACTTTTGCATGAAAACGACGGGCTGATATTTACGCCAGTAAATGAACCATATTTGCTTTGTGCAAGATCAAAGATCTTCAAATGGAAACCTCCACACCTCAATACTATTGATTTTTTAATCAAGAAGACAATAAATTCAGGCATACTTTCGCTCTTTTGTAACGTCTCTGGCCAGCAGATGGACATTTTAGAGAAAATGAATTTCCGAGATACGTTTGTCTTCTTTGACTTCTATTTTACCGATGATGAGACCATTGACTTGGACAATAAAATTGGAGAGTTTACCTTTGATTTCGAAAAGGAAGTAATCAACATTGATGATCTCACACTCCAAACTGGTGGATGGTGTTTACACAGGATCAGGTCTGATAAAAACACACCAAACAATATTAAAATAGTATTAGATACATTTGATTCACTGAAGGAATCAGTTAAGGAAGAAGACTTGAAGAAACATCAGGAACAGATGATGAAAGCATATAAAGAAAGAGCAAGTAGCCAAACTATCGTTTCTGACAAATAGAAGAAGTTGTGCATATAAAATAAGGAATAGTAAAGTAATTATTAAGACATTAGCACAATTAAATCTTGACGAACAAATGTTAGCTTGGCAAGCTTTATTTATGTACTAACTAAAGTAGACATAAATGAATACTGCTAGCACCTTATGTGTTTCTTATAACTAAATACTTTTTGAAAGATTAGCTTAACAATAATTTATATAGCGAAACTTTAATGTGCCTTATATAGACTAACCATAATCTTGTCTTCATTGAAAGGATACTCGCCTTCGCCTACCAATTGCCCTTTATTGCCAAACAGCACATCAGAATAAGTAGAACTAACAACCCGTTTCATGTAATCATTATCAATAAAAACATTGACTTTATCATTCATTGTCAATCCACAGCCTTTTCTCATCTTCTGAACAAACGAGTAAAATTCTCTTGCATCGGCCAGTTCAACTATCGAATCGTTAATTTCAGTATCGAGGATAATTCCAAAATCATCGTTGACACTGGAATTGTTAAGATCAACAAACTCCTTGGAAACCAGCAAGTCGGAGTTAGAAATGACTACTCCATCAACCTCCAATGGATTCTTGGAGATTGCAAAAACTTGGTCTTCAGTCAAGCCTCTGATAGCCTCAATCTTCCTTTTCATGCTTGCCGGGTCCTTTTTAAGATTATCAAAAAATGGTTTAGCTGTAATAATATACTTGTACTTAGTCTCATTTTCAAACAGGAGATCAAGCAAGTTACATTCGTTCTGTATGACTTCCGTATAGTTGCTTAGTAGTGATCTTAGTTCTTCGTTGCAAACAACAGTTGCTGATTTAAGAGGCCTTTTAAGCTTCAGTCTCAGCTTTTCTCTCATTTGGCGAATGCTCTCAATGACCTTCTTTGCCTGGTTGAATGGATGCTTAGAGAAAGCTTTAACCAATGGATACATGCATTGATGTACAGAAACAGGATCCGATGAATCCTTTACACTCTGATAGCAATATTCAGAAAAAAACGGCACAAATGGAGCCATGACAATTGAAAACTCTTTCAACAGTTTTGTAAACAGTTTGGATCCATTTCTAAGGGCTCTTCTGTTAATTCTAATGTACCAATTGCTTAAATCATCAACAAACTTGATGGCTAAATTGAGAACAGGATTCAATCTATACTTTTTCATTGAATCAACAACATTAAAGCAGAAAGCGTTGAAAGATGAAAGTATCCAAGAATCCATTTCAGTGGTGCAATCACCTTCCGAACACTCCTTCAAAAAACTAAGTGAGTTGTACCAGGGAAGCAAAAACACCTTAAGGACCTCCCTAACGCCGCCTTCAGAAAATCTAAGATTATCAGCTTCAACAACAGGAGAGCTGAACAGGTATAATCTCAGCGAATCAGCACCATAAGTGTTAAAAATAAATGCTGGATCGGGATAGTTCTTTAATCTTTTAGACATTTTCTTCCCATCTTCAGCCAACACTATTCCATTCACAATCACGTTTCTGAAGGCCGGCTTATTGAAAAGCAGTGTCGAAATGACATGCAACGTGTAAAACCATCCTCTGGTTTGGTCTAAGCCCTCACCAATAAAATCTGCAGGAAATCCATCTTTTCTCAAATAGCCATCATCATCTTTAATTTTAATATCGCTAATCTTCGATCCAATATTTTTACATGAAAATGGCCAATGCGACTGAGAATATGGCATAGAGCCAGACTCAAACCAACAATCTAGGACTTCTTCAATTCTTCGATATGTCTTTCCATTCATTTGTATGACAACATCATCAACAAATTGTCTGTGAAGATCCTCGATTTTTCTTCCCGAAAGACATTCAAGTTCGGCAACAGAGCCCACACAGATCATGTCAGAATAGTCGTCGGTAGTCCAAACCGGCAATGGCGTTCCCCAGAACCTATTCCTCGAAATTGACCAATCCCTTGCTTGCGCTAGCCAATTGTGGAATCTCTTGTATTTAATGTCCTCAGGCACCCAATGGATTTCTTCGTTACAACGCAATAGTTGGTCATGATGGTCTTGCACGCGAATAAACCAATTTGGCACAATTTTGTATATCAAGGGTGTATCACTGCGCCAGCAAAATGGATATGAATGTACAATTCTAGCATTCATCAGAACTCTCTCATTTATATCTTTTAAAATTATCTTATCTAGATCCTTAATATAAATGCCTTTATATTTTCCCAGGGTAAACTTACCATTTTCATCAACAGGACATGGAACCTCATCATTCTGCTTGATCAATCCTTTTGCAACAAACGTCTTATAGTCATCTTCTCCAAATGCTGGCGCACAGTGGACTATTGCTGTTCCATTACAGTCAGAAACAAAATCCGCCGAAACAACTCTGAAAAAGTTTTTGGCTCGGAGATGCTCAAAGAAGTCAAAAGGCTGAGAGTATTCTAAACCAACCAATTCAGAGCCCAAAATACCATCAACAATCTTGTAATCCTTGAAGTATTCTGAAATCCTATTTGTATGCATCACATAGAACTTTTCCTTATATTTAAAGATATCATACTTAAATCTCTCGTTAACAACCAGTCCACAGTTTGAGGGTAATGTCCAAGGTGTGGTAGTCCAGGCAACGAGACTAACTTCATATCCATTCAATGGTTTGAGTAGTGGAAATGCAATGAGAACTGATGGATCGCTAACATCGTTGTAATTTAAATTAGCCTCAAAATTGCTAAGTGATGTTTTGCATGCGGTACTAAAAGGCATAACCTGGTATCCTCGATATATCAAGTTTCTATCCCAAAGTTGTTTGAATATAAACCATGTAGACTCCATGAAAGCCTTGTCCATGGTCCTATACCCGCCCCTGAAATCAACCCATCTGCCCATCCTTGTGACTGTCTTTTCCCACTCGGACGAATACTTCATCACGATTGCCTTGCACTCATCATTGTACTTGGCTACCCCCATGTCTAAAACCTGTTGCCGATCAGTAATATTCAGCATTTTATCAATCTCGTATTCTACTGGTAGACCATGGCAATCCCAACCGAATCTTCTTTCTACATGAAAGCCTTGCTGATGCCAGAATCTCCCAACCGTGTCTTTGATCGAACCACTGAGAATGTGGCCATAATGTGGTAGTCCAGTAGCAAAGGGTGGTCCGTCATAGAATATATACTCTGGTTTGGTCTTTGAGTCTTCAAGAGACTGCTTAAATGAATCATTTGTCTCCCAGAACTTAATGACCTCTTCTTCTGCCTTTGGAAAGCTTATGTTCTTGGCAAACATGGACAAAAATTTTTGAAAAAATTCATGCTTACATCAAGCTTAAAAAAGTTGTGTACGACTGAATGGCTATATATAGTCTTGCTTAGATTCGCTGTTCTCTTCGTGTTCAGATAACTTTTCATATCTTGTATGGCTGTTAAATCTCTTAGTGGTATGCATTTGAACATTTACGTCTAAAAGTTCTAAATGCGATGTGCTAAACGCCTACAAATATATTTACAGCAAAGGATTTAAAATTACTACTCCTGCTTCTAGGTCCTGGTCCCACAGTAGCTCCAAATTTTAATAAAGCGCACACAATTGTTGTAATACAGCTATGAACAATGTCTATCTTGCTAATTTTTGTATTTAAAGTGAACTTACTATAGTGCATTGTAGCATAGTTCAAGTATTACTCTTTCATATTATTTATTAGGATGGTTATTACAATATTTCCAATAGTCTTGTATGTTATGCATATTTTCTTTTAACTTACCATGCATCTTTCTTTTCATTACTGATCTTTCATATAAAATACTAATATGGTAGTGATCCTTAGATAAACAAGCTGCAAAATTTTTACCGATTGCAAGAATGACATCTGAATTTGAAAATAATAAGATGGCCGGCGAATATTCAAGTAAGGGGAAAAAGTGCAAAAAATGCTGTCAAACAGGACTACATTTGACAAAAAATGGAACATGCATACAGGCCATGAGGCCTTTTAGCTCACTTGGTAATAGCAGCCAGCATGCATCCAACGAAAGCGAGTTTGTAAAATTAATACTTGAAAGTAAAGTAGAGAAAGGCCCACCAAGTTCTTTTGAAGACCACCAGGCTGATGTTCTTGAGATCGATTCAATCATACAACAGCTTGAGTCATGCTTTGAAAAGTAGCAGTACTGAGACTTCTGATATCGGAGTATGTCAATGAGCAAACTATGCACTTAATTGGCACTTATTTTGTACCTATACTTTGTCATCGTCAATCAATAAATTCGGTTTTAAAAGCTTATTTATTCTGAAATAGTAATTGTATAAAAGAAGTAATTAAAATGGCTTGGAGCATGTAATAAATAACAACTACAGTCTTTTATCTTCGTTTTCCAGCATTCTACACAATAGTGTATCATTGCCTTTTTACAATCTGTTTTATCAAATCAATTATATAATAGAAGTAGCATTTGGGAAATCTCTTATCTGTTTAGAAAAGTCTGCTCGTTTTTAAATTCTTTTGAAAATTTTTAAGCCATCGCGAGATGGATCCAAAGAATATTGAGCGGCATCTTATTTCTGAAAAGGACTGGAGTCTCAAGGGGGAAATCAGGGCAAGCGGCAGGCCAGTAAATTCATTGCTGAAGGCTGATGTAGACTTCGAAACTCGCCTCATCAACATTCCTATTACGAAGGACGAAAACTCTCTTATTTTTAAATACATTACACAACGATATAGAGAAAAGACATTTGATAACTACGAATTCAAGGAACTAAAGCCAAAGATTGAGGAAGAGGCCTATGATTTAGAGTTGATTGAGACAAACAAGGAGATTTTTGAGCTTTATGAGAAAATTGAGACCTCAATTAAAAAGATGTACTGTGGATCCTGATGGATAATGCAAGGCTGATAATATTTGCCGATCTTGTCGTTATAAATAAATTTGTGCCAGCACATTTTATGCAAATGAATTGAATTTACTAACTTTTGCTCAGTAATACTACCAAATTAGAAAATAAAAGAGCATGACATGAAATCCGGCTAGGAGCTTATTAGGATATACAGTGTCCCAAGTAGATTATGCATAGCTATCCAGTCTTCTTTTTCAAATATGCCTCTTTTTTTCTTTCAACATACGCCATACCCTCAGCACCACTCAGCACACTCATTTTACCAATATTATAGTCCGCCATTTCATCCTCACTCAACTCCTCAGAGGTTAGGTCTTCTTCAGACGCCATTAGAATGATTGCAAGGAGCTCCTTTTGCTGTGATTTTGTCTTATAAAGGCGGTTCTCTCTATTCATTACTTCTGGCATTTCAGTTATAATATTAAACGAATATCCCTGGTCAACCAAAAACTGTTGACGCTTTGCAGAATATACCATTTCTTCGGTGTCTTTACTGACCAATGAATAAAAATACACCCTAAAATTGGGATCGTTTCTTTTTTTAGCCCTCAGCACTCTTCCAAGTCTCTGTGCTTCCTGTCTTCTACTTCCAAAGTGGCTTGATATTTGAATTAAGCAAGTTGCCTCAGGCAGATCGATTGATGTATCGCCTACTTTGCTCAGAAATATTGTGTTTATTTGCGGATTGGTCTGGAACTGCTTCAGTATCCTCATTCGCTCTGTTTGGCTTGTTGGACCGTATATAAATGGCTTGCCCATCTTCTTTGCATATTCCATCAATGCAAGAACACTGTCACTGAACACTATAATTTTGTCTCCTCGCTTCTCGTGCTTCTCAATCAAATACTCACATATTTGAATCTTAGTCGGATTCATAATGCTTAATATTCTTCTTTTTCTTGATGATTGGATCAGGTACTCTCTGTAAAATTCGGCAGTCATGTTGCACCATACTTCTGCGCCTTCTACTTTCGCAATATGTCCTTGTACACTAAGGTCTTGCCAGTCAGCTTCATATAGCTTTGGCCCAATCAAGAAATTTAGATCTTCAATCTTGTCATCCTCCCTAACAAGAGTGGCAGTAAGTCCTAACTTGCAATGATGTGGTATTGCTGAAACTGTTTTTCTAAACATTTGTGCTGGCACAACATGCACTTCATCAAGAATCATTAGTCCCCATTCGTGCGACTGAATGAGGTTCATAAGCTTCTGTGCCTCATAAGATCGCTTTCCTGAATAGGCCATCATGGAGTATGTAGTTATTAGGACACCCACATTGCCCTCAAACCATTCTTTACGATCTGAAGTAAACCTAGCTATTTTATTTGCTGCAATAGTTGTAAAGTTGAGAGTGGATTGTCTCCACTGTTCGACTGAAACTGCAGATGTGCAAAGCACTAGTGCTGATTTCTTAATAGTACTGATGGCAGTGATTCCAACTAAGGTCTTTCCAGCTCCACATGGAAGAACAATAATCCCGCTACGAGCCCGCCCATTTCCAAACATTTTATTTAGACATATCTCTTGATATGATCTGATATGGGATGTAGGCTTCAAGTCTATATCTAGGATAGGCAATATTTCATCATTCTTAAAGTCATACTCTTCAATTAAAGGATAGTCTATTTCAATACATCGTTTTTTGACTTCTTCAACATTTGTAATTTCAACCGACTTCTGCTCAAAACTATGTCCTATCACACTCTGCCTCAGCACATTGTCTTTTAACAAAAGTTCTAATATTTCCTTAGATATTGCTTCTATAAAAAACTTTGTATGTGCCCTGATCAGTCTTATTTTTCCATAGCTCAAAGTGCAGTCTGTAATGAAACTTCTAATGCTCTTTGGCAGATAATTTTTCGAGAACTTGTTCAAAGTTTCAAGAATATAGTCTGTGGTTAATCCGACCGATGCAGCTGCATACAACGAGTATGCTGTAATCTGATACTCATGCATTTTGGCTGGCCTAGAAACGGGCTCCGAGATCGCAATAAGGAAGTCTATGGCTATCTTCGAAGTTGGCCTAAACACCTCCAAGACAATAAGAGCATCATAGTTTACCCAAATTGGCAGTTCATCACAATTTTCTTTCATCACCAATTCTTCAAATGCAAACTGATACTTTGTTGCTTTTTTGGGAAGAAACACATCTCCCATGTGGGCCCCGGATGCAAATAATTTTAAGCAAAAGGATAGTTGATGCTATGGAAAAGTATCTGGTTGCCAATACATACCGAGAATAGCATGCGGAAATGGCTTAACAATGCTTAGCTGTATCGTGCAAACATATTTCATTATAGTGCTGACCGTTATTAGCATGGAAAATATGAAATACATTGCAAAATCGTAGCTATGAAATCATACACTTATCGTTTGGCTTAATATATAATTTCAAGCAGATACAAATATGCATTATCTTGTAATTCCGCTAACCAGTATTCTTACTAGCTGATGTACTTGGCTTTGCTTTTTGAAATATTTTTATACTTCTGGGCGTGATCGGCATGTTTCTTTCTATCAACAGAACGCTGGCAGGATTGGAGCATTTTCCCATATAGTCAGGCGCGCTCCAAATCGTTAAGCAATGTCCGTCAAAATCCCATTTAAATCCCTCGATGGCTAGCTGGTGTGATCTGATCAATATTTCAACATTATTGAATATCAGAAACTGCTTGAGAACATCTTCTCCAAATAAAAACCCATTTCCTCTTGGATTTGGGGATGCGCCCATTCTATAAAAAGGATCACTCCAGATGATATCGTTAATAATGGATTGGTCTGCTATCTTTTCAAATCTATCCACTCTTTCCAGCTCATTAATTGAAACCCTTGGTGAAATACCACCATGAACACAAAAATATCTACCATCAATGATGCAGACAATGCTAAGATGATCAAAAACAGAGTTAATCATTTTCCAAATAATGTTATTGGAATATTTTATGCATACCTCATCATAGAAGCCATATACTTTGTTGATTATCTTTTGTTCATGGTTTCCTCTCAAAAGAGTTACGTTCGCTGGATAATGGATCTTGTAAATCAGCAAGCACAAAATACATTCCAACGAGTTTTCGCCTCTATCAACAAAATCGCCTAGAAAAACATAGTGTACATTTTCAGGTGTCCCGTGGGAATTGAAAATTTGCAGGAGATCTGAAAACTGGCCATGTATGTCACCTACAACAATTGTGGGGGAATTGACTCTTTTGATGTTAGGCTCAAGAATTAGAATTTCTATTGCTTTACTACAAATTTCAGAAATCTCTTCTTCATCAAGCAGCTCATGTCTTTTGAGCTGGCCCAGTTGTTCTTTCATGGGACAATACAAATAAAAATTGGAAATTAAAATGAAAAGAAGCTCAAAAGATCATTATACTAACAATTATTGACTCATCATGGGATACTTGCAGACGAGTTTTTATATTTGGGACAATACAAATATATTAATATTTGACAGAAAATTAAAAACATGAAAACCAATAATACCAGTAGATTGTTGTTTTGTCACATGCAGGCATAACAGATGAAAATTTATTAAAACTCGCCAATTTTACAATGGTATGAAAAGCAATTTACTAAAATTTAAAGGATCATTAGGAAAATAGCAGTATTTTGTTCAAAGATAAATGATTTCCATAATCAGCCTGATATGAGAATCTTGCGTGGGTTTAGGAATTCAAGATTTCTAAAAGCTCTTTTTCTTCATGCTCATCTATAGCCACACCACTTTCGTATATTTTATAGCAAAAATCTAATCCTATCGATATAATGAAATTATTGATTCTCAGTAGACCCACTACCTCATCATCGTGAGTGTATATTTTCTCATTGTTGCATATCACATGCCTTCCACACGAAAAAAGATTGCCATCCCATATGCTCCTTATCCACGAGCTCCCCTCAAATGCTATTTCATCATTTTTTCTAACTGTGCAGTCACAGGATCCTGTAATCCCATTCCTCATGCAAAGAATTGTAGAGCTATGAGAAGATTTGTTTTCGCCCTCATATTCACCCATATACGATGCAAGCAGTCCTGCTCCCAAACCCAAGTATAATCTTCCATTTTTTTCTTCCATACAAAATATTTTATTGCTCGTGTCATATTTCTCAATAATGCTCAAATTTTCATCTAATACCACAAGTCTTTTATCCACTGAAACGAACAGTTTGTTGTTGAATGAGCACATGCACTTCACTGGCTTCTCACCTAATTTCAACTGTCTCAAATCCTGGTACACCACACCATCCCACGTGCCACAGAACATTTTGCTGCCGAAGAAGCAAATTGCAGAAACCGGTCCCGATGCTGTAAATATGTGCTTTATTTTCATGAATGGATGAGAAATTTCGTAGATGCATCCTCTTGCATCCCCAATGTACACTTTGCCGCTGTTTTTTACCATGCAAAGTGGCTTGTTGTCCAGCTTGACAGTCCTAATCATAGACAAGGATGGGTCCAATGCTAATCGGAAAAGATCAAGCGTGGATAAGATATAGTTCAGTGTGCAGATGCGCCTACTTTATGCGATGATTTCATCTTGGAATCAGCAATTCTTAGTATATTATTTAAAATATATGTTTTGAAGTTAAGTATAATAGTCATGCAATTAGTTAGATATCGCTTGCTTGTTTTATCTTCACCAATATATTTTAGTAGGGCTCGGATATAATGTTGATACTAATATTAACTTGAAGCTCAACCTTAAATTCTATAAACCGGTTGGGAATCAAAACTTGGCATTTTAGATTGTTTTTGCATTTTTAGACCCAAATAAATGAAAGACGAAGCCCAGGAAAGGTTTGATTATTTATTTAAAATAGTGATAATTGGGGATGCAAATGTTGGTAAGACGAATATTATTTCTAGATTAGTGAGAGATGAGTTTATTGAGCATTCAAAATCTACAATTGGCGTTGATTTTGCCACAAAAACATTCAAGTTTGGAAGCTCGTCAATCAAGGTGCAGCTGTGGGACACTGCAGGGCAGGAGAGGTACCATGCGCTGATATCCGCATATTACCGAGGATCATCGGGTGCTGTCATTGTTTATGACGTAACTAATAAGCCCAGTTTTGAGCATTCTTACACTTCTTGGCTAAACAACCTTGAGTCATCGACAAAAGAAAGCATTCCCAAGATGCTCTTGGGGAATAAGATTGATCTGCGTGATCAGGTTGAGGTTTCGAGGGCTGATGGAGAGAGGGCTGCTCTGGAAAGAAATATGGCGTTTTTTGAAACATCGGCACTCTTGGGAGATAACATTCACATTGCCTTTGAATCGTTTATCAAAAAAATATTTGAAAAAGAGACTACAAAGGAGATTGCTAGCAGTAAAAAATTACTAGACGAAAGTAAAGTAAAAAGAAGTAACCTCGCCGCCAAGAGTAAAAGGAAGAGTAGGTGCTGTTAAGGAATTGTAGATTTATCTTTAAGTACTCGAAGATATGAATAAAATATCTTGAAATGTAGTGTTTCTCCTCAAATAAGTATTTATTTAGTATTATATCCGATTCTTAAAATGCACAGCACATCTTATGCATAATGTCCGTGCAATTAACATCCCGGCTTTAAATTGCATGCGTTACGCTGTGCTTTACACACTTTTAGCACATTTGGCTAAAATTTAAAGAGCTAAAAGTTTTTACCCATGTTGTTTCCTTCACAAATCGTTGACTATGAATATGACTGTATAATTGGCAAGGAACTGAAAAAGATCCGTATAGGGGAGATCAAAACCAAGTATACAGTCATCATCTTCTATCCTTTGGACTTTACCTTTGTGTGTCCAACAGAAATAACAAAATTCTCAGATCTTTACGATGAGTTTGTAAAACTTGATGTGACTATTCTTTTTTCTTCTTGTGACTCGGTCTATTCTCATTTAAACTGGATCAATATGAGCAGAGAAAATGGTGGTGTTGGAGAAGTGAAATGGCCAATGATTTCTGATATTTGCCACAAGCTCTGTTCACAGTTTAACCTTTTTGACGAGGAATCAGGAACTACCATGAGATCCACTGTTATTCTTGATAAGAGCAAGAAAGCCGTTCATCTTAGTGCCAACATCAATCCAGTAGGACGTTCGTCAATAGAGATCCTCAGGCTTATAAAGGCTCTGGATTTCCATGAGTCTAACGGCGATGTGTGTTTTGTTGATTTTGAAGGCAAGTAATAAAGACGGAAATTTTTTAAAAATTTTTACTAGACTATGCATCGTCGACGTTAAAATAAAATGTATTGATTTTGTGGCATAAATAGTTTATACAGCCTATATTCATGTGTGCTGGAACGTCGTCAATTTGGCTTTATGAGTTCTGTTTAGAATCGTCCTCAATGATTTGAGCAATTTCTCTCAAGGCTACAGTGGCGTAGCAAGATTTTAGTAGGAAAAATTTAAACACTGTGCCCTCGTCATCAACTGACTTTTCAAAGTCGCTGATTTTTTCGATCATCTTTCTCATCCCTCCCTTTAATAACTTGTGGTTCATTTTTTTCAGAGGAATATATACTTCTTCTAGGCTTTCATTTCCAGTTGCATCTACGAATTCTCCATCTTTCAAAACTCTATCACACTCCATATCGGGTTTATTAGCCTCAACCCTAGAGTTTATGCTCATATTGAATATATAGCTCTGGTAGGCATGTAGGTAAATCATCAATGATCGTCTAGAAAGATGTTCAACAATGTATTTCGGCTTTTTATAGTTTTCGATCATATTTTGTATAAACTTCTTGATTGTACCCGGATTTGTTTCGGAGCCAGCGTCATCTTTTAATATCAATTCTATGGCCTCCTCATACTGTCCATTCAGGATTTTCTCTCCAATAATATGGTTGTTTCTATTATTGCCAAATCTCTGTGGCCCAAAATAATTATAAAACTTGGTTGAGACTGGCGAATCAGTGAAAAAATTTCTAACTTTGATCGTAAAATAATTACCTGAAAGATCTCCTAATTTCTTGGAGCTGCCCCTTCTAATGTTATAAATGCCTATTTCTTCTTGAAAACTCAGTGTCTCTATTCTCATGTAATTATTAAAAGCATGGGCTGCTGTGGCATTAAGATTTTCAAGCTCGGCACAGTATCCCAGGTCTTTAAACTTTATTTTTGAATTTTTAGACAATGAAAGCGCATAATTGAACAGTGCTTCAAATGAGCATTTTACACTTACTTCTTGCAGCGTGATCGCACGCTTATCTTTTGTTCCTCCTGTTTGAATGCATGCCAGTGGAATGTTAAGTCGTTTAGATAAGAGATTTTGAGCTGAATGATCACTATAGTCATACTTTAATAAAGTGAATACAAAAATATCAGTTGAATCGTCCTTAATATGCAATTTCCCATTGTCTGTAAACATCCTCTTGAAAGGGTGGTATCTCGCAATGTCATATAGCTTTCTTCTATCTTCTTTGCCCAGACTATCATCCAGTTGTGTGTTGAACAGCTTTTCAGCCTCGTAGAACTTCTCGAGATTAACAATTGGTCCTATTGTGCACTTTCTATCTTCCACAATCTCCTGTACAATGAAATCTTCCACCTCTTCTTTGATTTTGATCGTCTTGGCCATGTTTTCTGGATGAAAGCAGTATTTTATCCCAACCGACAACTGCATTGTGGATGGGCTTAGATTCAAAGTTAAAAAACACATTTGCATAATGCTACAAATTTTAAGACACCAGCCATTTGTTTACTTTATTTAAGCTTCAGTTGGCAGCACAGTTGGTATTGGTTAACCTGAGTGTGAATGGGCATCTCATAAAATATTTATTCTGCAGTTATAGTCAAGCATCAGCACTACTTTCAAAACAACTGAATTAAAGTAATTTATCAACAACAGGCTTGTTTTTAAGTTCTTTATTTGCAAATAACATTATCTTGGCTTTCGTCTTCGATACAAATCATTACATCCGGGATATATTCTGTGAGGATTTCCAATATCCGACTCGCCAACGCCTTCTGCGGAGCTTTGTCTGGACAGCCGTCTGTCTTTTGCACGTCTATTTTGGAACCAGTTTTTTACTTTATCTTCTGGAACTCCAAGTTTCTGAGCTATTTGAAATCTGTAGTATGCTGTTGGTTTTTTGTTTGTAGCATAGATTGATGTCAGATATTCTATCTGTTTCTTCGTCAATCCTAATTTTCTCCTCTGATAGTCTGGATATATTAAATCGTCATATTGATCCTTTCCCATGAAAACTTATCCTTTCGTGATCAGTTGAACTTTCAAGTTAGTTTTGTTTATTTCAGATCAAACAGATTAAAGTATAGCTGACATTCATTATTTTATCAATTTTGACAGGGTAATTTACTCCAAAAGAAATAATAGATCTGGCGTTAGTAGTATAGTCTTTATACAAACATAACAGTAGACTCAAAGTAGTATGCAGTTTAAATTTAAAACACACAATACTTGCTAACGTTTTGATGCAGATTGCCTCATTCATTAAGTACTGATAAACACAAGAATGTTTTCTAACTTAGCAAACAAGTTCCAATGGCATTTAACACGCATTTAAATAAAAATTGCTACAGGGATGATTAATGGCCTGCATCATTGGTTGAGATTATGTTGTCTTTATCTATAGCTTTAAGTTTTAAAATATCAGTTTATTAGTCAAAAATCAAGTATTTCAAACTTATTACTTTTTTATCAGTTTACAAAATTTTCAATTGAGATTCATCAGACTTTGAACCTTTTAGCTGGGTAGTGATTCGTGACAAAAAGCATTAAAATAACGAGCATGTGGCGTAGCATGCAGCACATATTTAATGCTTCATTCCGTTTTCTTCATATTACTCCTAAACTGTCTTTGTTGCAAATGGAATTACATTATCTGCGACAAAATTTTCAAAGAAATAGGAGCACATTTACGATGATTGCAACGGGAAACTAACGCTGTTTATTGCAACGGGAAACTAACGCTGTTTGATTGCGAGCAATGCTGAAAGCAGGTCTAACCCAAAGTTTTGTAGATTGATTCATTAAACAGTGAATGGTTGATTTTGATCAAATAGAAAGTTTATATTGCTTATTTTTCAATCTCCTGCTTTAGCATCTTCAATTCATGAAAACATGTCTAAAATCAGGCAAAGCGATTTAAAATATAAGATTGTTGTTTGTTTATCAAGTCCTGTATATTACCCATATGATATCAAATATCATCTCATAAACGTCATGTTCATTGTGCATGTTATTTATGTTACTTTAGAGGTCAGCATCTGCCGACCTCTTTGATACCTAACTTACTTCCTTCCAGTCAAATGCAGAAAATAGTGTTTGGCAGTAAAAATTTTACTTTTGCAAATGTCAATATTATGAGAAATCTCAATAACTTTGACAGCAATAGGTACAAAATTTTATCTTTGTATTTACGTAAACAAAAATTTTATACATGCGTAGACGTCAATATGATAAAAACCTTGGACGCTTTGGCAGAACAATAGCGGATAGACTTAATACTGTATATTTCACAACAAGTAATAACCGATATCGCTTCCCCTGGTTTGTTTATGGCCCGATATACTTTGTGATATGAGTAAAATTTTTGTGTTGCAAATTTGTTCAAAATTTTTAATGAATGACAATTAACTGATCGCAAAGATTAGAGTAAGTTTAATATTTTCACTACCCTAATAAATTTTCCATGGGTATTCAATTTAATTACTCGGAGCAAGAGACTGAGAATGCAGACAGAATACTTTATGAATACTTTCGAAACAACAGATATCCTAAGAAAGCAGAAAAACTCCGACTGGCAGAACAGGTAGGTGTTGATCTTCAATATGTAGTAAATTTCTTCTATAATGCAAGAAGTCAGGTTAAAAAACTGGAAAAAGAACAGCAGGAGCAAGTGGGTAGAAAGACAAGTAGCTTTGGACGACTTATTAATAGTAAGTGTCGTCACTGCATAATTCTTGGACAGGAAAATTTCCAGAATATGAAATTTGTTCCAATAAGTGAAAGATTGAGAGGTGATTGCAACCATCTCTACTTGGGCTCTCCCATTCTGCAGCCAGCCTTATTAGAAATTTGTGATATTGATTCATATTGTTTGGGCAAAACTAAAAACGACACCACAAATCAGAAGGATAAAGAGCCCTGCAAAAGAGGTCTTGACTATTGAATCAACGTACCTATGTGTTATGCTGTTATTAAAGACACCATAGATATGTATCGATCACCAACAACTCTAAAATAGGTACCAAAGTAAACGAACAATGCTAAATAAATTATCAAGCCAGTAGCCTGTATTTAATGCATTGCCATTCGCAAATGGGATTTATATGCTGTCGTTCAATAGTTCTAGTAATGCTATCCGAATTTCATCAAAAATGTCAGATGTAATCAAGGAAAATCCATGCTTCTTGAAGGCGAAAGAAGTAGATGTTCTTAGAAGTTCGCATGATGACAGAGATGCATCAACCATATCTGCGCCATTTAATGAAAGAGCCGTTGCTAGAATTCCACTCAAAATATCCCCTTGGCCACCACATCTTTTTAACGATGATGGACTATTTATTTCCAACTTTCTTGATTTAGTCTCAATAACGTCAGCTTTTCCTTTATAAATACAGATGTGATGGTCAAGCACTTCTAAACCCATTGCTTCTTTATAGTTTGGTGTTAAAATTACATTTTTAAGATGTGCAAATATGCCAGTCTTGTAATAATGAATAGCATCGGCATCTAAGACGAAAGGTATATTTCTGGAGTCAAGGTAGTCGAGAATTTTGAGTATTTGTGAAATTTCATCTTCTGCAGGCCTTCCAAGTCCCGGACCGACAACACAAGCAGTTGCCTTGTCAAGAATTCTACAATTCATTTCAAAGGGCAAGACTATTACCTCCGGAATTTGTTTAATAGCATCTATGGCTTCACTAGCTGTAAATATATAAACAAGATCAGATCCAGAACGCATCGCCCCCAAGGCTGTAAATATTGGGGCACCCGTGTATATTCTAGACCCGCCTATCAGTATTATACATCCATTTTCGCCCTTTGCTGCATTTCTTTTGAGTTTGTGGAATGTTTTGCCTTTAAAAGCTACTCTTTCCTCATACATTACTTAATTAACCTTGCAAACAAATGAAGGCATTCAAATGATATAAACACCTCTTGGCATTCACACACGGCATTTTGAGTGGCTGTATCTAAAACATCCTAATTGCACAATATACGATAAATACTTGAAACATTCGATTGGTGAGTTGTAAATAGTTTAGATTTTCAATAAAAATATATTAAGGCAAATGTAGAACAGCCACTTAGATTGACGGCTTAGTTTTGTTTATGTTTATTGATTTGACAGTCTATAATGTTATTTGTAATTAAATGACAATGAACATGCAACATTGCCAATAGACTCAAGCCTCTGGCCCAAGTCCAGTCCAATGGGTATAATGCAAATTTTGGCTCTTAGATCTCCAGCTTTTCTGATGAATGCATCTGCAAACTCTCTTTCTGGCACGGTTTTTGGCTTGCAAAACTTGTCCGTTACGAACAGGATTTTAATCGCACCATAGTCCATTGCCTCAGAAACTTCCTTTAATCCAATGCAAACCTCTTCCCGGCTCAGATCAATGGTGTTAAAAAATTTCTGAACCTCCCTCAAATCGTCAACAAACTTAAGATGCTGTAAGCTTGTAAGCATGGATTTATCGGACAAGATTTTTGAAATAACTTTTGAATTAGGCAGCCCTTTATAATCTCCCGTTAGTTTTATCATAGTCGAGACTTTATCTATACTTGGATCCTGCTTAACTAAAAGTTTGTAAAACTCTGCTCTTATATCTGAAGTGCTTGCAATAACAACATTCTTGACCTTATTCTTTATTTTTATGGTGTTTAAGATAATTTCTTTGAAGTTTTTGTTTTTGATCTCCTCTTTGTAAACAGTTTTAATATCATTACTGGAAACAGTAGAAAGTACACAGTCCTTTTCAAAGAAAACCACAAAGCCTATCTCAGGTACTTCCTTGCAGCACTCCTTAATTTTCGCAATGTCTGAGTTCTTCCAGTCTGTCTTATTCAAGACAAACCCATTCCCAACGGAAATGTCGATGGTGTGATAGGATCCAATTCGTACAAACTCGTTTTCGCAGCATGTTTTCCCCTTTACATACATTATTCCTGCTTCTAGATCTGATTCGGCAGACTCTACTTTTATTTCTAGTTTCATTGTCTTTTTTTGTTGGGTTTTTCCTCCGTCCAAAGATATCTTTCTAGTAGTATAGCTCGAGACTCTATCACCTGGCAATATAATTAAACTTAAATAGTAAATATCATCGCTGTTGTTTGGAATGAGTTTTATACTTCCAGATTTAGACTTTGGATCAATGGTGTTGGATTCTATCTTCATAAGCTACTTGGGGTATGTTTAAAATTTCCGAATCATGCACGATTAAAGCTAAAAACTGATGTGCAAAATAAGATTGATTAGCAGTTGTGCACTATTTATTTGGCCATTATCAATTTTCAACCTAGATTTAGCTTTTGAACTGTTTTTGCATCATAGGATCTTTTCTGGTTTTTGATTTGTAAAGAATATAATAGCAGGTAGAAATGTCATTCTATTGCTAGCAATATTGTTAATATGCAAAGTTTTTCATGTAGCTTCACTGTTGATTACAAAAGCTATTTTTCCTATTATTGAAGTTTTTACCCCAGAGTAATGGACAAAAAAGTTCTTTATCTTTATGATCCGGAGATAGGATGCTATCACTATGCCAAAGGACACCCGATGAAGCCACTGAGAGTTCAAATGACGCATTCTTTAATTGTTAACTATGGGCTTCACAAGTACATGGATATAAAAAGACCACTTCACGCCTCTTACGACAACCTTATAAACTTCCATTCAGAAGACTACATTAACTTCCTATCGACAGTCTCCAATGAAAACATGAATCAACTTGTTAAGGATCTCCACAAGTTCAATATTAAAGAGGATTGCCCAGTTTTTACTGGCTTATTTGACTATTGTAAACTCACTGCTGGAGGAACAATGATGGCGGCACACAAACTAAATAGTGGTGAGTACGATATTGCAATCAACTGGGCTGGTGGGCTGCACCATGCCAAGAGATCAGAGGCCAGTGGATTTTGTTATGTGAACGACATTGTCCTAGGAATTTTGGAGCTTCTCAAGGTATATGAGCGAGTTTTATACATTGATATTGATATCCACCATGGCGATGGTGTTGAGGAGGCATTTTACACGACCGATAGGGTTATGACTCTTTCATTTCACAAGTATGGAGACTATTTTCCCGGTACTGGCATGCTCGAAGATGTTGGATATGCCAAAGGAAAGTATTATGCCGTCAATGTTCCATTAAAAGATGGCATTGATGATCAGACATATCAACAAGTATTCAATCCCATTGTTTCCAGAATTATGGAGATGTACAGGCCAAGTGTTGTAGTGCTACAGTGTGGTGCCGACTCAATTTCAGGAGACAAGCTAGGATGCTTCAATCTTTCTAACATAGGACATGGTAATTGTGTAAAGTTTGTAAGATCTTTTAATATTCCAACTATAATTCTTGGCGGAGGCGGATACACTATCGAAAATGTTTCTAAGGTGTGGGCATATGATACAGCCATGGCATTGGGTGTAAATATTGAAAAGGATTTGCCATACAATGAGTACATCGACTATTATGGGCCATCATATAAGCTTGAAATACCAAAGCTCAATATTCCCAACATGAATACCAAGGAAGACTTGAACAAAATTGTCGAAACTATATTTGAAAACCTAAGATATGTGGTGCCTGTGCCGTCAATCCAAATGATGAGAACCCCTTCGTGCTTTATTGAGGAAGAAAGCGACGATGAGGAGTTCTGGGAGAAGATTAAGAAGGAGTCTGAAAGGGATATCCCATTTACTGAGTTGAGGTCTTCTGAACCCATAGAGGAATGAATATTCAATTTATAATTGTCACATGTTGTTTTAAATACCATGGCTATGCTTTTGATTTTAAATTTAAAAATTAGGTACATTCAAATGGCAAAAGCTTATCTCTCATTAAACCTATGTTGTGAAATTCTACAAGTTGTGATTGTAAAATTAATAATTTACTGATACGTACGATTCCTTTTAAGCTCCTTTAATAAAGTAAATGCTATTTTCACATCTCCTTTATTCTTTTCATTGACGTTGTTTTAGGCCGTCTGCCCATATGAAGTACAAAAAGATATACTCCGGATGCTATAGACTCCTAGTGGCAAGAAATCGTAGATTTATCACTGGTTTAATAAAACTAAGGCAGATGCCGATGCAAAAGAAAAAGACGAGATTTGATGAAAAATCTGAAGAAAGTAGCAGCTATGAAATCCAATCAATCCAAAATAAACCGTCTAAAACGAGAATATTACTCACAAGGGCGTTTATACGCATTCAAAGACAACTTAAAAATATCGCAAATACAGGGTGCTATTGTGTGAACACGTTCAAAGACTGGATGGGATATACGTTTTGCTACATTATAATTAAGCGGAAGAAGATGAAAGGTGTTTTAAGATCTGTCAAAATATAAATGCTCAAAGCATACATCAGCATCTACATCCTTGGATACGTAGCTATCTGCCTAATTTAATAATTAAAATAAATTGATTCTTCTAATATTCATTTTTATATACCGTTTAGCCGCATTTAGTCCTGTCTTATATAGAAAGTAATTAAAATTTTAAATAGGAAAATTTTGGATAGACAAAAAACTACTCAGAAACCAGATCATGTTAATGAAATTGGGGCGGAGCATATAGCAATAGTCTGGCGTTGGCTGTACCAAAGTAAAAGAAATGTGTAGGAGCTCATGCACTTTTATTGGATCGATTAGCTTGCATGTTCTTTGGTAGCATTTACGACACTGTTGCTCTCTATTTTGATAGCTACTTTTAATTGGTGCTTTGGTCTTATTTTGGTTGGTCCGGTTAAACGTCAAGAATTAAAATATGGAGTCAAGAGACATGCATGGAAGAAAATATGCATAGCGAAAATATGAATCCAAGACGAACACTAGCCAGCAGAATAACGGCAATTTCGTGTATACGAACACTTGTTGTAACAGATTTAATTTTTCATGGTGCACGAATTTTATTTTCAATCTTCGTACTTTACATAACACGAAATGATATTGTCGAAGAGCCTTTGAAGGTTTTTTTAACCGGATATATTCTGTTATGTGCTGCCAAGGCAATAACGTTCTTTTCTAAGAACAGTGCATTTTTTCACATCAACAGACTTCCCGAATATGAAGAAAGTAACAACGGTCTTGCCGTTTTTTCGAACCTGGTTGAGGGATGCAACCTTTTCTGGTACATTCTAGGATATCACTGGCTCCAGCAGTGCGAAAACTGCAGTCAGACACATCCATTGCTATATTACACAACAGTTATATGGCTTATTCTGGGGTTTGTATCCTACATATTACCGCTAGTTGCTATTGTCCTACTCCTAATACTTGTATCATATGTTAAGCCTAAATTAAAAACGGTGGTATTTCACAACGATTCGGACATTCACGACGGAAATTCGCGTTGTGTAATCTGCTATGAAAACTATGTACCGGGAAGCTTGGTAAAGTTTCTGCCGTGCGATCACCATTTTCATTGTGAATGTGTTGATGAATGGCTAAATATCCGAGATACATGCCCTTTGTGCAAAAAGAGCACTAGTATATTGTATGATTTGATAGAGTCGGCGGATAGTCCTGTTTAAAGTAATAAATATATTTATAGATTGCACTAATATCCGTAAGCATATTGTCTTGTGTTTACTTATATTGAAATACACAATTCTGTTACCATGTTTGGTGGTGTTTCCACCTGATCCATTTATTTAGTATTTGGCTATTTCGATGGAAATTTTTACTGGCCAATGCTTAGTTTGGAGAGGCTTATACAGGCGTACACAAATGAAAAGGCAACAGAAAAGCTCCTTCCCTATGATAGAATAGCCGATGAGTTTAACTTTATTATAAAGAGCCATGGGAATAGAAATGATTCTGGCACCAGTCTGTCCAACACGTTTGAAGAGATAGAACAGGAAAGAATTAAGTACTTTGTAAAAGAATATATTTTGACAAGGCTAGATAAAATACGGGCGAATTTCTTCATAATCCAAGAACTGATGAGCAAGGAAGAACGGATATTTGCAGAAAAATACAAAGAAATGATGATTATAGCATCTGTTTACGTCGATAAACCTTCCAAAGTGTTTGAGGTTGTTGGATTTATTGCTCAAAGAAACTTGGAGGCAGTTAGAATAGATGGACATGTTGTTGAAATTCTTTTAGGCGACTTTTTTGTTGCTAGCTATGATGACATTGCCAGTTATATTAAGGATGGGTCCGTCGCTCTTGTTTGAATAAATCTTTGAATCCACATGCTGTAGTATTTTTTAATATCTATTTACAATGATAGATGCTTGCATATCATATTATTTCACATCAAATAAGTCCTAAGCCAATGATCTAAGCACTGCTAGCAAACTCAAAAGCGAAATGGCTGAACGGGATTTCAGCATAGGCCAATTTAGCTTTTTTGAAAAATTTGTCCATGAAGCTCGTAACACATGATGGCAATTTTCATTATGACGAAATACTTGCAACAGCCGTGCTGTTGAAGATCTATCCCGATGCCGAAGTTATACGAACAAGAGTGCGAGAAGTAATAAATACTGGAGATATTGTTTATGATGTTGGCCAGACCTATGATCCCTCAAAATATCGCTATGATCATCACCAGAATACGTTCCACGACACATATTCACCACAGTACAACATACGGCTCAGCTCTGCTGGTTTAATATTCAAGCACTTCCATGACAAACTTTTTGAAAGGTATGGATTTACAAGGCAATCCACAATATTTGAAGAAATAGTTGAGAAAGTGTACTTTGAGTTTTTTCTTCCTGCTGATGCGATTGATAACGGCTATGACAGTGTTTTTGGGGCAATCCGAGCAAGGACAGTTGCTGATGTTGTCAAAAACTTCAATGTTTATAGTGAAAATACCATGACCAGAGACGAAAATCTGAGATTTGAAACAGCCCTGGACTTTGTATCTATGGATTTAGATAACTATCTAAAATACGTGCTGTGTGAATATGCTTTAAGCTACGAACACTTTTACAACGTTCTCAAGGATTTTGCAGGCGATATTTTTGTAACCGACAAAAAGGTAGCCACGGATCTTTTGTATGAGCTTAACGAAAAGTTACAAAAAAATATAAAGTTCATTATTGTCAAAAACGATAATGACTTCCGAATAATTACCATCCCTGTTGAGAGAGGTAAGTTTGCCATCAAATATCCTTTGCATCCAAAATGGAGGGGTCTTTCAGGCACAAATCTCGATGAAGTTTCTGGAATCAATGGGTGTGTGTTTGTACATGCTAGTGGATTCACCGGTGGAAACAGCACTCTTGAGGGTGCTGTTGAAATGTGCAGAAAATCGCTAGAGTGGTTTGAGAGGTGTCTTTAAGTTAAAAGTTATTTTCTTTAGATTTTAATTTAGAGTTTTTAAATTTTGCAATCTTACTTATCTTTACTAATTTATGACTTAAACAGCTACTTTTCCCCTTCAGCTAAACATGGACACAGTCTGTGAAAAACACACATTCTCTGGGATAATCATTGAGAGAAGGAATTTGAAAACGACAATCCCTCTGCTTTCAAAACACTTACTTTCAAAAGATAAAATTCCAAGCATCATTCAGTTAAATAAGTCTTATGAGACATTCACTGGAAAAATTCTGGATACCGAAGATACTTTTCTCCGTTTAAAGCAGCAGTTTAGTATCGACGTTAATGATTTATACTTTAGCACTAATTATCTGGTTATTCTCCTGAACCAAGCCCCAACTGACTTACAAGCCTTTCCAATGGTTAATTTTGAACTTACCTTAAATGCAAAATTTTTCTCACACACTGAGCTTATTTTTAAGCTTACTAATGGCTGCATACAGTTTAGTGCATATGAAGTCATTGGGGACATCGTACATCTTAATTTAACCGAGGAACAACAGAAGTACAAGAAAACGATAGCAGACACTATATATTTCAAGACTGGAAAGACAGTAATAAACAAAACCGGGAAAATCGAAGCAAATTTCCGCTTTTATCACAGTGAAATTCTTGCGGGTCCCAGAAAACTGACAACAATTCATAAAGAAAATGATGTAAAGTTTTTTCTTGATTTGGAAAAAGTGTACTGGTGCTCCAGACTACAATCGGAAAGGATAAGGATTCTTAATCTTATCAAAAAGAATGACGTGGTCTGCGATCCATTTTGTGGAGCAGGCCCTCATGTGGTTCCGGCAATCAAAAAAGGTGCAGTTGCGTTGTGCAATGATCTGAACCCTGCAGCCATTGACTGCTTGAGAAAAACACTTGAGATTAATAAATTATCATGCGACTGTGTTGAGAACATGGAAGCCAAGGACTTTCTTTTCAGGATACGAGACATGCATGTCAATCACTTCATATTTAATTTGCCCGAGTTTTCGCTTGATTATATCAAATTCACAGAGTGTTTTAAGGGTACATTCTGGCTACATGTATTTTTCTTTCGCAAAAACAATCAAAGTTGTCAAGAGATAATAAAGAAACGAACGGGATATGCCGTAAAAGATACCTGGCTGAGAGAAGTTCGCAAGGTTTCCCCATCAAAAAGTGTCTTTAAACTTGAAGTTAACAGCCACGAGTTTTTTAGTTTTCAGAAAAACTAGCCTTAGCAAAGGAGCAAGATATCTTCGACAGCTCGCATACAGCATTAATTTAACCAAATTTATTAAGCATATAGACAGTGCAGTCCACATTGAAGGAATTAAAGCCCCGTTTCTACATCAAACATTTAATACTCTTGATAAATCACATACTACAATTCTTCTAGGCTTCTTTGGGTATATTGTCTTACTTTTTTACAGTATCCTTCTTTGTCATCTCTGTACTGTAACCCTGCATCTTGGTTGGCAGAACTCTCGCAGTTGGGAGAATTCAATAGACAAACAATACTCATTATAACGCTTTCTGCACTCCGCACTGGCATCCATCTTTCATTTAACTCTTCGTATCCAAAATCATCATTTCCCGACTTGTGAAGAATTGATATACAAACGTTTCCATCCTTATCGATATTTGGATGCCACATGGGAGTAAGAAATCTAAATGTTGGTGGCTCTTCAGGATACTGAATAGGAAACTTCATTTCGGCCCGGAAAATCCCATTTTCAAAGGGAGTGTCTTTTGGTCCAAAAATAACAACCTCCCATCTATAGATGTCATCGTTGATTAAACCAACACTAAAATCTTCGTTGTTCTTGTTTGACTCTATTGCCTTTATGTCATTTATAATGAATACTTTGCTCCTGCTTCTTTCATTGCTGGACATTTATGGGTATTATTTTCAAAGCCTTTTATTTCAAATTTTAAAACAGTTTATTTGTGAAACTATAGCGAAGGTAAAGCTATTGATGTTTATAACAAAACATGAAAGATATTAAGCTAGCTCTATCTAGTGTGGCCTTGTTTTGAGTTTTGGCATACAGTGAAACTCTAGAGAAGATGGATGCAATGATGTTACAAGTTTATCGCTGCCAATGTTTAGTGGCAAGTCATCTTCAACCAGAAGCCTAGTCTTGACTAATTTATAAAAGATCAATACCACGGAAATAAATGCTTGTGTGTAAGGGAAGGACTGTAGCCAATAAAGACCATGCAATCCATTGTGCTAGACTGCAGCTCATGAATTGTATTTTTCTGTGACCCATGGACAAGTCAGCCCAGTACATATTCAAGATAATTCTAATTGGAGACAGTGGTGTGGGGAAAACTAGCTTAATGACTAGATTTACAGACAAGAGCTATAAGCCATCGAGCTCAGCAACCATTGGAGTAGATTTTAAAATTAAGACAATTGACTTGAATGGTACCAAAGTTAAGCTTCAGATCTGGGACACGGCAGGCCAAGAAAGATTCAGAGCCGTGGTTTCTAACTATTATAGAGGTGCACATGGTATATTTGTTGTGTTTGACATGTTAAATAAGACCTCTTTTGATCATCTGTCCGAGTGGTTGGCAGAGCTAGAGAAGAAAAATGCTACAAATACTGCTGAAATAATGGTTTTGGGCAACAAAGTCGATGATCAAGAAAACGTATGCATCAATGAAGAAGAAATAACATCGTTCTTGGACAAGAATAATATTCCAAAGTCACACTTTGTTCAGGTCAGTGCAAGGGAAAATATTAGAGTTGAAGAAAGTTTCCTGGAGCTTACGAGAAAGTTAAGTTGAGAAGTGCGGTGCAGCAAACGTCAAGTCAAACGTCAAATCGAAGCTTTTGTTGAGGGAGCCTTTGAAAAGAAATTCATGTTGTTAGACATTAGAGCATCATTGATCCTGTATTTGGCACTGCCAAAGACCTAAATACATTCAATCTACTGGCCTGTTAGCTTAATGCATTGTAGCTTAGTATGGTGTGTGGCGGCTTTTATTTCTATATACAAATGTATTGAATAATGAGTGCTAACTCACTGGTTATTTTCATAATTCAGGACACTTAATTTTACTCAATATCAGGCCGAGTAGCTGCGATGCTTATACTGTAAAACCTTGGCAAACATGCTTATTTGGCATCATAATTTTTCATTTGCAGCTTATCCCTCAAATGAAGAGTGCTGTTGAAAAGGCAGTCCAAATATCCCAAAAATTTCTGTCGAACGTTTATTTTGAGCTTGGAAAGGATCCTGAACTGAGTAAAAGCATTATAAAACTAAAGCATCAACTGTTTGATAATCCAGTGGTTAAATCCATTTACAAAGGTCTACAGCTTTCAGAATATTTTATTGCGAACTCGCTGAAAGACTACTGTTCAGCACCCAGACCAAGCACAAATGTGGATAAATTCTTTGAAAGAGCATTCAATATTCCTCAGTACTATGGCGGAGTCCGAGACGTCATTGGGCCACACGCTCTTAGCAATATATTTGAGCCGCTAAACTACCTTTCTAATTCAAGGGTCTACAAGGACTATAAAGTTCTCCAAAAAATTGAAAATAGAATCATTCCTGAAATTTTAAAAAGACTTTTTGGCTTCAAAGAATTGGATAATACAACAAAGGAAACGGACGAATCTCTAAAACATCTCAAAGAATATATTTTTAATCAGGAGAGAGATTGGACTGACAAGGAAATTATCCTTGAGGACATAAGGTCAGTTGAGACAGAGTCGGTCAATGTTAAAAACCTTAAAAAGACAGTTAAGTGTAGTTTTGAATTATCGGTTATTCTTTCTGGTGTCCACAATGATAAGAGAAAGAATTTGAGAGAGTCGTTTAGTTGTTCATTTGATTTTATCAATGAAAATGGGCGATGGATTGCTTCCAATTTCTCATTTAGTCCCTTTAACTAGCGTAAAGTAATGTAAATTGCCAAGAATTTTCGTAGAACATTTACTCAAATAAAAGTCATTGTAGAGCAGCGGCGATTCAGCACAAATGCTGTCTTAATATGATGATGGTTAAAATCCAATGCTGGAGATAACCCCAATAAACTCTGCACTAATTCTCGTAAATGTGCTGGCAAGCTCCTTTCTTTGACAGAAAGCAGATTAACACGAATGCTGACTAGATAGAAAAGACTTTCTGTCAAAGCTTATTTTGGGATAATAAAGGGCTATTTATAAACACTGATTCTGAAACCATGCCATATGCTCTAATAATAAAACTAAAGTAATACAATAACAGTGCGGATGTTTAATTTATAGTAGACCTTTTAGCTTTTCACTACTCTGTTCAACTAGACCCTCACCCATTCCCTGAAGCTTCTCAAACTCTGTCTTGTATATTTTTCTTTGATCTGATCGTATTTGATCGTATCTCTCATTTTGTAATTGAATTAATCTTTCAATCTCCATTTTAATTTCACCTATCTTTTCAATAACAGAATCGCTCTCAAATCTTCTGAACACTTCATTGATGTTCTGTATTTTTCGCTTCATCCTAGCTATCCTCTCATTTTGCTCATTGACTTTTTCTTCCATTTTCTTTAGTAGCCTACTTGACTTCTTTTTCAAATCCTGTTTTTCTCGTCGGATGGCATGGTCAGTAGAAGCACACAAGTCCTTGTACTTGTGATCTATCTGCGTCGTGATATTGTGAAGAAGTGTGTTGCTCTTCTTTTCTATTTTCCTGTTCAGCTCTTTAATTTTTTGTTCAATTTTCATTGTTTATGCACATACAGCATCAATTTAATAAATCAGGACATAATATACTTTATTTATGCAACTCTCTTTAAAACAAAGAATAAAACTGCATAGGTAATTTAAAAGAGACAAACTTCAGTTAGACCTATTGAGACTTATTTGTCCAACGCATCAAGACCCGTCAAGCATTGCCATATCTTTAGTAATATGCCAATGATTTAATTTTTCCTATCTTCAACACTGCACATTACTTTAAGGTAGAGCTTTATTAGTTTGCTGTCTTTGTGTACTGCCATGCTCCTTCTTTTTCTATAAAACTCCATAGCTTTATCAAAGCAGCCGTTTTTCGAATGTTGTCTTGGCTAAAGCCAGTCCGTTTCTTTAATAGCTCAACATGATTCTGTGTGAGCACAGCCCGCTCACCAGCCCTATTGCACATAAATACTGCCGCAATAACTCAATTTGTAAACTGATGTACCTAGCGATTCAAATTACCACGACTTGTAATATCTTAGTATGCATTTTGTGAGGACCACAAGGTAAGTGTTACAGTGCTCTGTACGTCATGCTAGAGATATTCTAAGCATTAATGAATAATTCTTGAGTCTTTAGATTCAAAATTAAGACTGTTCCAAATTTTCTTCCGGTCCAGCGATATCCTGACTACTATATTTGTGAATTGATGAATTGTTATTACTAGACAACCAAGTATAGACCACCAGATGTTGATCCTACCGTTGCAGCCCACTATCATTTTTGAGCTCTACAATCTGCCGCAGATGCATACTCTGGATCCTGCTCGGACTAAATAAATAAAAACATAGTTAATTTTGATGGTTGGAACATGTTTATCCATATAATACTGCGACGACCGGATGTGTGCCTCTTTAATCTGTCAATGTTTAACCGAAGCTAGTACCTTAGTATTCAAAATGTGTATAAATTTACAATGTATTTAAACAAATGATTTTGTATAAGCTCACCGGCGTATGCATAGACAATTAGTAGTTTCCTATCGTCTTGTTTGCTGTGGCTTCCTAGTGAAACTTTGAAAATTTTGTTAAAAATTTTTCACCCTGCATGGTTGAGGTTATTGTAAAGAACAAAGTATTTCCAAGACAAAAACAAGTTGCGGTTGCCCCATATGCAACTGAGGAAGAAAAACTAAAAACAAGATTCTGCAAGGAGACTGCTGGCAACTATAAAGCACCAGAGACAGCAATTAATGCTACCTACTATGACAGAAAATGTCCATTCACCGGGGAAGTAAATGTTCGTGGAAGAATCTTCAAAGGAAAAGTTATAAAGATGAAAGCAGAGAAGACGATTGTTGTCCGAATTGATTATCTCCATTATGATTCTAAGTATAAGCGTTTTGCTAGAAGAAACAGCAAGATTAACGTTCATCTTTCACCATGCTTCCTTGGATTGGTCAATCTGGGTGATACCGTTGTGTGTGGTGAGACCAAACCGTTGTCCAAGACCAAGTCTTCTGCTGTTATTGGTGTTGAAAAGGCTGAGGATACCAAGTCCATTAAGGTCTTTAGAAAGCCTTAAATGAATAAAACTTAGTTAAGAAATTTTGACTAAACTTTTAATTGAGCGTGTGGAATTGGATGAAATGGTGTTGTTTTATAATATTATCTGTACTTTGTTTCTTGAATAAAGCCTGGCACAGATTCTTTTATCGGTGGTGAATTACCATTTAGGTATAGCTTTTAAGTGAACCTGCATCGATAGGAAATTTATTAAAATCGCATTCTTTGTCTATCCTCTTTCATACTTATTCTTATGCTTGCATCCCGAATGGTCCTTGGAACGAAAAATACAACACACCTTGGAGCTCTTTTTGTTTAAACGCTCATTGTCTACGGTGTCTTCTGTCCATGTGACTTGCTTTTTTCTCTTCAGCTTTACTTTTTGTATAGTTTGTGTGATTGTGATACTCATGTAAGGAGAAGGAAAAACATGGTCTTAAATTTCAACAAATTTCTTGCACAGCAAAAATAGAACACACATATTAAAGAGCATAAGTTTTGTTAATAAAGTACCTCAGGCATCCCAAACTGAGTTTTGGCCGACTTTACTCACTTTTTCATTGTTGCCCATGCTAATTTCTTTGAAGTTCATCAGCTCAAAATCTGGAAAATCCTTGGCACTCAAGATCGAAGACAAGACGTATCTTTTCAATCTGTTTGAAGGATTTCAAAGATACTCAATTCAAGAACAGTTCAGTTTGGTTTCTGTAGATTCTATTTTTCTGTCATCCAAAAGCAACATTTCTGGTCTAATTGGCACATATCTGACAATTGGTGAGTCATCAAAGACAAATCTAAACATTGTTTCCAACTTCAATACCGATTTCTTTCTGGTTTACAAATATGCTATCTCTCCCACGTTGAATCTTACGTTTTTGTCCGAATTCAAAGACGAGTTTATTTCTGTCAAAATGTTTGATTGGAACGGTATTACAAATTTTATTATAGCATTACCAGAAATAAAAGGAACTCTGCACCCAGAGAGAGTGCCGCCGCATATTCCAAAGAGACTATACAAAAAGCTTATTTCAGATGGGTTTTTGGAGGTGGAGGATGTGATATATAAGTTCTCAAATTTCTCTGATCCAGGTATCATTTTGAATGACATCTGTCTAGTTTTTAGCGAAATCGGCACTGAGGAAAGGCTGGATGGAGGTATTGCCACGCTAATAGAAAACATACAGTGTTTTTTCTGTTTTACGAAGAGTAGTTATGCGTATTTTTCTAAGCATTATTCACAGATCAGGAAATCATCTTTGGTTGATAGCAATCTGTCGTGGGATAAACCATTACCAAACAATGTAAAGTTCCTTGGCAGTGTTGGTTTGTCTAAAAACATAGATGAGCCATCTAATAGTTTAAAGGAACTGTCCAATGATCTACATGAACAGTCTAGTAATAATTTTTCTGGTGTATTTTACGTTTCAGACAACAGATTTGTAGAATATGAAGATTTCTATTTAGAACAAAAGTCTTTGAGTCAAAATGATCAAAGATACTTACTTCCATCTTCGGAAAGCACAATTCACACAGAAAATTGGAATAATAATAACAATAGTGTTATTGAAGCTGGTTATTCGCTAACTTTTGACAAAAAAAAGGTTTTCATTTATGTAAAAAACCACATCAAACTCCAGATAGGGTTAGTTACCAGTCTTCATATCCGTGTATTGAATTTCTTGGCACAGGATGTGCAATTCCCTCCAAATATAGGAATGTTTCTTCAATACTTTACCAAAATTCTCAATCTGCTGTTCTTTTTGATTGTGGAGAGGATACATTAACACAGATCATCAGACTTCATGGTAGCTTGGAAGTACTGGAAAAGTTGAAATTGATCTACATTTCCCATTCTCATGCAGATCATATGCTTGGAATAGCTAGTATTGTGAAAAGGATTTCGCATTCCCTGCTAATAATAGCACCTAATGATGTAAAGGATTATTTGAACTATTTTGACATAAATGTTAATGAAATGGAGGTCAGTGAGAACATTTGCCTTGATGGAAAAGTTGGGTTTATTTCTACGAATTTTTTAAAGGCCAAGGAGAGGGAATTTTACAAGCGTTTTCGATCTGATAGTACCAGCTGGAACGACTATGTTCAGAGAATAAAGTTTGAAAAGTTTAATATTGTACTGTGTGGATGCGAGCACTCAAAAACATCGACTTCTATAGGCGTAATGGATACAGTCACTGGAAAAAGTTTCTCATATAGTGGAGATACGATGCCATCGCCTCTTTTTGCATTTATTTCACAGGATTTTGATGTGATGATACATGAATCAACATTCGCGAAGGATCAGATAGACTTGGCGAGAAAAACAGGCCATTCAACAAATGAAGAAGCAAGGGAGATATTCAGAATCTCAAATAGCAGAACATTACTACTAACGCACTTTTCTAACAGAAACGAAATGAGCAGCATTGCTGACGATTGTGTAAGTGATTTTTTCCGCTATACGTTTAAATAGAGTCAATGTTGCAATCAAGCTTTTAAGGAGATCTATTTGTGATCAAATCTGAAAGCAGATTTCATGGATAAATTCTATTAGAAGTATAAGAAAACATAGTAAAATAATGCATTCTCCTTGTTTTAGCCAAATAGATTAATGCTATGCCAGTTTAATATAGAATTCGTATTTTGATTCAATTTATTGAACTTCTGCCCGAATACTGCCATTATGCTCACCAATTCTCTTTTGGATTCTGCTTATTTTGTCTTGGTACTCTTTAATCTTCTTCTCAATTCTTTCCTTAGTTGCTATTATCTCTTTGTCTGTAGAGTTCATTATGAGACGAGAAACCCTATAGTTATCATAGTATTGGTCAGTCTCTTTGATCAAGTCAATGGCACTTTTTTCAATTATTAGTCTTTTGAGTATTATGAAATCATTCGTCTGTGTGTTGAAAGATGTAGGCATCCATTCGGAGTTTTTCAGAGAATCACTATCCCTCATTTCTGAAAATATCATAAATGGGGCTTCCGCCTGTCCTTCGATGTCTTCGAAAAATGGAATATTACTAGCTTTAAGTAATCTTCTGATGCATGTCTTTAAGACTAAGACCTGGTCCCTGCTGACTAAATCAGACTTTGCAATTATTGGAACAATCGTACAGTGTGGCGAAATATGCCTGAGTGTTTCAAGATCGGGTTTCTTTATTGTAAATATAGGCTCTAAAAAGTAGAAGCAGACATGTATTCTCCTATCATCGATCATACTTCGGGTCTGTTCCTTGAACTTTTGATGATAATCATTGAAATTAGATTCAAGTATGTCAATGATGGGTTTATAGCAGTCTCTGTTATCAACGCAATCTCCAATTCCATCAACCTCTGTAATATTCAGCCTAATCGTGAATCCGTTCTCCCTGATCTCAAAAGAAGATGTCTGGATATTGCATTTGGATTCTGTAGCCCAGAATGGGTTATCATATGGGCAATCAAATGGCTGCTTTTTTATGACCTTGGTCTCTAGCAACTTATTAAGGAAGGTGGTCTTTCCCAATCCATGGGAACCAACAACCATTATGTTAAAGTTGCATCCATGGAATGAAAACTCGTTGTGCAGTAGATTTGGAAGGTTTGAAACACCTACTGTGCTATTTTGCATGGATCAGAAACAAGGATAGAATATATTTGAGGCAAAACAAATAAACAATGGATGACACGCTAATTGAAATAGCGCAGAATGAAGTAGGATTGATAAATGAAGAATTGGACATGCAAACAGAGAAATATATGAATTTGCAAAAGAAGCTGGGAAGAACAGTGAGATTTTGCACAGAAACAGAATTTTATTGGACAAACTGAAAGAGGCAACTCAGATGAGAGGAATACTGAAGTTTGTCTGTACTATTGTTTTAGCTGTGATTATTGTGCTTGGTGTTCTAAATTACCAAGTCATGGACAATATAGCCAGAAACCTAATCAGTAAAACTAGCTAGCCATGTTGATAGTAAAGCTTAAATAAACTTGCACAGTTAGAGCTATCTTGTGGCAATTTGGTTTTTTGGTGTATTGACAACCTTACCAGCAACATGTTTTGGTGGATGTTTTAGAATCCAAATATAATAAAAATGGCTATTTAAATCATGATTTCACTGCTTTTAATGATATTTTCATATGCTATTCAATCTTTTCCCTACAGCCGTGAATATGTTCTGGAATTGGTTCAACTTGCTAAAAATTCATACGAAAAGTATAATCTCGAAGGACTCTTGTATGAGCTTGAGAACCAGTCAGGACTGAAAGCAAAAGTGTACATGAGAGGAGAAAAGGTTATTGTGTCGTTCAGAGGCACCACATTTAATGTGCTGGGGTCCGATTCCTCGGACAACTTTAACAGAATTGTGGATAATAGCTTGTTTAAGTGCTGTAAAGACCAAAGATGTATTGTAGATACAAAGACTGCCATTGAAAACTATGCCTATATCTCAAATTCTATTGCATTTGTAGATCAGGTTATGAAGCTTTTTCCGACAAAGAAAATAGTATTGACCGGCCATTCCTTGGGAGGCAGCATAGCATCCATAGTTGGAAGAATTAAAAATTTGGAAGTTCTTGCATTTAGCTCACCTGGAGAAAGGCACATTTCTGATCTGTTTGCACCCGCAAGTGCATCAAATATACTTCATTTGGGTGCATGCTCAGACACTATTTATACTGGAAAGTGTAGCACACAGCTTTCACCTTGCAGAATCATGGGGTACCAAATAGAAACCAAGTGTCGCTACGGAAGATCGTTTTGCATTGGAACCAACTATCCAGATAGTATTTTGTTTCATAGAATTGGCTTTTTACAATATTTGGTGGAAAACAACGAAGATATAATTGAAGATAACAACCAGGATTGCAGCGATTGCATCGTGGAACGAGCACAAACCAGTATGCTCGACAATATTCTCAGGCTTCTACATACGACGTAAAAACATCGGACAAATGAATTTATTTCTAACTAACATCAGCATAACAGCCACCTTTAATGCCATACCAACGTACGACTTTCGATCTTTATATTTCGTCATTAAGTGATATTTCCATCTCGTCATGGATGGCTTTGATTGTCACTCCTCTTAGTTCGGCTATTTTGCCCATCAGACTCTGTGCAATATCTTTTGCTTGATTGTACTTGTTTAACTTTTTTATAAAGCTTACCATTTCTTTTTGTACATCTTGGAGATCAAGTTCATTTGCAATCGCTGCATTTTCCTCTTCATAAAACTTCCTTTCTACGTCAGCGATGCTTGTGGTTAGGTAATAGTACTTGTTCTCGATTTCTTTTATGAAGTTATTTTCGTCTAAAAACTCAAACTTCTTTATTTTATCCATTCTTATAATTTTCTCCTCATCCCAGTTATTGAAGAATGACATGGGGCTTGCCAAAAGGTAAATTCTAAACTGACTAGATATTAGTAAAGCGCCAATTCCCAGAAATAGCATGCCAGCATGTTACATTTAATCTCAGTGGATTTATAAGATATGCTTGGGCATTGATTTGTATGCTAATTTACCTACTAGATGCATTAAATTACGCAAAATTTTCACAGTTTAAGTTAATGGCAGTATATAGTTTTACCAACATCAAATCAGTAATTTTCCTTACAATCTTGATTTCCTCGCCAGTATTTATAAAATTTGTGCTGGGACATCCTCCATGGCGTATGAGGAAGTGAAAAATATCCTGGAATACAAAAATGTCAATGACATAGATTACATCTATGTAGAGTGGGAAGATAATACCACAACGTGGGAAAAAATGTCAAACTTGAGTTGCAGAGAACTTATTTGTGGATTCTTTAAGGAATCCATCAAGACTATCCAAAAAAATGAAAGAGCTAAAGAAGAGGAGTCGAGAAAGAAAAGGGAAGAAAGCTTGTTACAGAAGATGATTAATCGAAACATAGATGAAGCCACAAAGGCAGCAAGGATTCAGAACGAGATTTTGACTAGTCTGGTAAATAATTCAAGTAGTAATCCTTTGCTAAAAGGGCTTAAGATAGTGCAGCCTATCCATCAGGATTTTCTCACCGCTGAGTCTTTCGCACAGCCATTGCCAAATCCGTCCTTTCAGTCACCACTAAGGAATGCATTCTCAAAGCTTGACGCCAAAAAGGCATCTGTGGATCCCCCGCCAAATACTGCATTTGTTGAATCCGAAACCAAAAGTGCTAAAATAAAGAGCCAGAGATTGGCAGTGTTGAAAAATAACAACATCACCGTAAAACTAGAAAATAATGCATGCGTTAATATTATGTTCTATTATCGTAATGATCTCCCATCTTTGATTTTTGACACCAAAGATACAGTCACTGTCTACCACAAGAGCATTGCAACGTATCTGCATTCATTATATCTTTCTCAAAGTAAAGCTTTTCACATGTTTCCCTCTGCTGATATTGACGATGCACCAGAATCTCCATTGGAAATGAACATGAAAGTCAAGGGTCTTTCCTTGGTTTGTAAATTGCGAGATTCTTTCTGGATTATTTCTGTACGAAACACTCTTGGAAAATTTTTTAATATTTACTTAAAATCAAAGTTTGTTATTTTCAATGTTTCAAAATCTGCATATCTGGAGCGTTTATTCCAGCTTAAGGATACTATCCAGCAGGATTCTCTTTGGCTTGAAAATAGCTTTAAATTTGGTCTTAGCACGTTGACTGACAAAATTTGTAAAAATTTTGATGTGTCTTCATTAAAGCAGTTTTTTATTCTTGGGGATGTTAAATCTGTTTTTATATTGCATTTAAACAAAATTGTTCAAAGGGTTGGTCAAGTAGTAAGTTCGATCCAGGATGCAAGTACGGTACTGATACAAGAATCCTACCTGAAATTCCTCCACTTTGTGCCTGGATTTTATGGTTCACTAAAAAATGACACTAAATTTTTTATTGTGAAGCCTGATGGGCTAGAGGAGATTTTACCGTCTGGAGGAATGGTGACTTTTACTGATGAGTATATTGAAAAGGCGGAGCTGTTGGCAGTAGCAGACTTCGTCAAAAAGATATTGACAAGGCAAAACTGGGAAATTAAAATTAGACGCTCGACATATCTTGCACTTAAGCGCCGCTTAAATTTGCAAGCAATTGCTATGGAGCACACCAACAGTATAAAGACCATATACAAAGCATTTAAAGCAAATATATGTGATTCTTGCGACAGAAATCTTAGAGATCATCTTGAAATGTCATACTTCAGAACACATCGTCATTTTATTGAAATAGCGCCAATCAGGACCGATAACGCGACCATACCTATTGACGAGGCAACTAAGCTTATAGGCACAGGCTGAAGATACACAGTCCTGTCATTTGACAGTCAGTGGCATAGCAAGGTTATTGAGTACAATAAAGTGATTTTTAATATTTTGTCAACGTTGCATAGTTAGCAGACAGTCTTAGAAGATGTATAAATGGCATTGTAGGCGATTTATACACCTATTCAATTTGCGATATTACATATTACAGCACAGCAAATCCTATCATAAAAATAAATGAACCAAAAACCATCAGAAGAGACAGTTGGTCTAGCTTTTCTTTCTTGTTGCATACATCTTTCCATTTTGCTTCACATTCCTTTTTATTTCTCCACTTATTTTTAAGTATACGGTCACCCATTTGTTTTTCAGAGTTCGCTATGATTCGGTCCTTTTCAGTCTTAATATAATTGCCGAAAATTACTTCTTTTGTGTAAAACTCAAATAGAAATTTGGGATTAACAAGTGATACATTCTGTGATATCTGAGAAAGTCGAAGTTCTATGCTATCAACCAAAGAGAAAAATTCATTGTTGTCGACCTTTCCATGTGTTAGCTCTTTAAAATCATCTTTTATAAAGTTCAGTTTGTCCAACATGTTTTTTAGCTGGGCATTATAAACCCGATATTCTCCGATCAGATTGTCTTCAAACATATCTTTCAGAAACGTTGTGATGTTGTTTGTTCTTGTTCCAATTTTATTCAAGGACTTATTCAAGGCTTCAACTTTTGACATTTCGGTGGATTTAAGATCAAGATTTGCAGATTTGGCAAATTGAGTAAAACTTTTACTGAATATTGAACCACAGTTAGGAACTCTGCCTAATACACAATCTTTATCATAGAAGTGAGCCAGTGCCATCACTAATATTCCCAAAATGATGTCTGCTCCCAGCAATATCACAGAAACCATTCTCAGAGCGTATATACTTCCGTTTGTTAAGACCTGAATAAAGAAAATAATGCACACAATTGCCTGTGAAATTAAACATATTTGCACTGCTGTAACTATATTCTTGTTATCATTTGGGTTGTGTGTAAACTCATGATTGTCGCTTCCGTCATCAGCTTTGAATATTTGATTTAGCTGTCTGTCAGAGCTTTCCTTGTAATTTAAGTTATCAATAATGAATTTTACAGGCAACATTTTTCTTAGAGTTGTAATCAGCTGCGACCTAATATTTTCTATACCTCTTAAAGAAACATTGAAAGACTTAAGCTCCTTTTCTATAGAACTTCCCAGGTTGATGAGCTTTTTTAAGCTTGCATCTAACTCTAATACTTCATTGTCAGTTTTATCGATAATTTTAGCTATTTCCTTAAAGCTTCCGGAAAGTTTATTGTTAGTTGTAAACTCATTGTTAAGTGTTCTAAGAACGTCACTAAAGTACGGATCGTTGTTTATGTCACTGTCATCATCCACAACTTTTAAGGCTTCTGTTTTTATAATCTTGTTTTCAGTCACAGTGTTTAAATTATCATCAGAAGACGTGTTCCTCTCAGGCGATATTTCTTTTTTAATGGCAAGCTCTTTTGTCTTTTCATTTTTGACAAGTGCGGATGTGGGTGTACTGATCTTCTCGTCTTTCACATCTGTTGACTGCAGCATGGTAGCCTTTTCATCCTTATGTGGTTTTAGTTCATAAATCTTCTCATTCCTAAATGGTGTAAGCACGTTTTTTGAAAAATTAGCATGCTCAAATACAGTGCCATTGCCACCATTTAGACTTACATTCTCGTTTATTGGCGAATCGAGCTTCAGATCTGGCATGCCGCTTGCATCTAGGAGTATTTTTGACTTCTTAGTGTGTTTGAACTTGATACCGTCGTTCTTGTCCTTTAAGGGCATTGCCAAATATGATGAAAATATTGAATTTGATGGCTCAATGCTGGTGTTTCTATTTACCTTATAAGCCTCGCATTTTGAAATATTACTATTAGAATGCATTTTGGTAAGCAAAAACAAAACAATACTTGAGAAGGCAGATGTTTTCGACTCATCCATCCCTTTCAATGCATTATAGAGTTTCTGATCAAGATTTGACAATTCTGATCCAAAGCCTGATTTTGAAATCTTGAACATCAGAGCTATAAAAAAAATTTGTAGCCCGAGAAGGTAAATGATGTATCTGCTATAGGCATCCCATGCTTTGCAATACACAATGAAAAGTATAAATGCAATAAAAACAACAGACACTCCTACTACTACCTGGAGCTTTGTATTTGTATACAGCTCTTCGGTTAAATATGTATAAATTGTTGACGCATCACAGATTTTGTTTGGAGAGCTCAGAATAAGATTTCTAAAAAAGTCATAGTATGTCATTTTGACATTATTTTATTTTCTCCCTTTATTTTTCATGTTTCATTGCTTGGAAATCGGTTGGATGATGTTGACAGCCTGAATCTTGGGACAACATGCAAAACACTGTTTTATTGTGCACAGCTATAAAAGTATAATGGACTGTATTTGAGGTGTGCAATGCCAAGCTAAAGTTATAAAAATATGTATGGCAACAACTCTGATGCTATTTACCACATACCCACAATTTTAAGGGTTTTTAATCCCCAATGATAAAATTTTGTGAGCAGGAGGAGGCAATTTGTAAGCTAATACGGGATCACGCACTCAGCCTCAATCCAGCAGCCACCCCGAGATTAGCGGGTGGGTTTGTGCGAGACAAAATTATGGAGGTTGTGTGCCACGATATTGATGTTGCACTTGATAATATTTCTGGACTCTTATTTGCAACAGGCCTAGCTAACAAGCTTGTAAATCATCCAACAGTTTACAAGATTCTAGCCAATCCCGAAAAATCAAAGCATCTTGAAACAGCAGTGCTCAATTTATATGGCTACAGTATTGATTTTGTGCATCTGCGGAGCGAATCATACACACAGACGAGAATTCCTACAATTCAAAAAGGCACACCAGAAGAAGATGCATTTAGGAGAGACATTACAATTAATAGCCTATTTTATAATTTAATTACTGGGGAAATAGAAGACTTTACTGGAAGAGGGATCCATGATATTCACAATAAAGTTATTGATACGCCACTTGATCCTAGGACTACTTTGCTAGATGATCCGTTGAGGATTTTGAGAATTTTTAGATTTAAAAGTAAGCTTGGGTTCAAAATTAGTAAGAGGATATATGACGCCTTAGAAGATAGGAGTCTTGGACTAGCACTTGAAAAGAAGGTTTCAAATGAGAGAAATGGGATTGAAATTATGAAAATGCTGCAATATGAGAATGGAGAAGATGGGTTAATTGAGATAATCAATAATGAGCTAGTTTTTTCTGTGTTCAAACCAAAAACTAGTATTGAAATTGACAAGAGCAAGGCGCTTGAATATTCAAGAAATCTGAGAGATGTTCTAAATAGACTATCTGATGGACCGTATCTGCGTAAGCTTACCAAGAAAACAGTGGATAGTTCATTGTTAAAGCTCTACCTTGTCCTTCAGTACTTTTTAAATATTAAGATTAGCCACAACCAAAAAGACGAGTTTATGAATACGATAGTAATGAAAGATTCCTTAAAAACCAAAAAGGAGATATTTTCTGCAGTAAGGTCGATAGAAGAGCGCATAGAGCAGCTTTTGATGAATAAAACGTCCGACGTAGTTCGAATAGTAGTAGAATGCAAGGAGTATTGGCTAGAGGTTTTGACAATTTTACTTTTAAAACTGAATGAGCAGCAATATTACGACATGATTTGTAATATTTTTGATCAAAACTACCATGAAAGCTACTTGGAAACACCGCTGGTCAATGGGGATTATCTGGTTTCCCTTAACACCGACCCAAAAGATTTTAAACACATTCTTTTTGAATGCTTTGTTTTGCAGATTAAAAATCCTGATTTGCTGAGAGATGAGATATATAGTAGATACAAGGCAATGCACACAAGCCGTGTTAAATAAATACGATGATACTAATTCAATTCTCCTTTGCCATTGTTGTTCAATATGGCATTTTAAGAGCATAGATCTTCTGTAGAATTTGTAAATCCAAACCATTTTCAAATCCATAAAAATTATAAATGATCATACCAAATAAATCAAAGGAACGTCAATTTCTTCTTATATGATATTTACTCTAAAAGAATTTTTAGTAATGTTAGGCATCTAGCCCACTAGCTGAGCAGAAAAGTAAATTGCATGACATGAAGTCATTACATTTTATTGATGGCGCTTGTTTATGCTTGTTTTTTGATGCATGTTTCATTTCTTCTATTGAATGTTGAGCATATGTTCAAGGCAGATTAATAACCAATCAGCTTCATATAAATACTAATTTGCCAGATGATTTCATATCAGCATCATCCTGCATTTATTCTCCAGTTTTACCAGTCATTTTCTAGTTCATTTCCAAGTTTCGCATGCAATTGGAAATCCAGGAAAGAATTAAATAACAGAAGAAAGAGAAAGCAATGGACAACGGTTCAGGATACAATAAACCTCAAATTTATAGTCTTTTTTGCATCATTTCTTAATTTTACTTGCTTTCTAAAAATTTTATCATTTCCAGAAAAATCCCGCCTGGCCAAAATCGCAACTTCCCTCAAATAATGCTGAAACACGGATTTCCCTCCTTTTTTGTCTATAAAAATAAATTATTTTTGACACCCTCCAATGGCAAGAACAAAGCAGTCAGCAAGAAAATCTACTGGGGTCACTGTCGCAAGTGGTGGTAAGGCTCCTCGAAAGCAACTTGTAACTAAGTCGGCCAGGAAGACATCTACGCCAGCGTCTGGTGCTGCTAAGAAGCATAGATACAAGCCAGGCACCGTGGCTCTCAGGGAAATCCGCAGATATCAGAAGAGTACTGAGCGTCTTATTCGAAAACTGCCTTTCCAAAGGCTTTGTCGTACTATTTGCAGGGAACAGGCTGGTGCATCCGACATTAGATTCCAGGGCCCTGCTCTCCTCGCCTTGCAGGAGGCAACTGAGCTTTATCTCGTTGGTTTGTTTGAGGATGCTCTCCTTTGTGCCCAGCATGCGAAGAGGGTCACTGTGTTTGGAAAAGACTTTGTATTAGTAATGAGGATTAGGTCTAGATTTACACGTGTGGGCGGAGCTCAGGAATAAATAATATGTTTCATTTGTCTTTGTGTTTCTCTTACTCTTTTTATCTTTTGTTTTTGGTATATTCCTTTTTATTTTTATCCAGGATGGAGGGGGGCCTCCATTTTGTATCAACTGAGTTTTGTCAGGGTAGTGTTTATTTGCTCGGCTTCCAATGATTAATGCTTCCAGGCTATATGCTTGTATCTTTTTTGATCAACTTGTGTGTCGTACTTAAGCACTGAGTAAGCTTGGTTTAGCGAATATTAAAATATAAATTATGGCCATAGCAGACCAAAATAGCCTACAAGTGATATCACAGTAGAAACTATCAAATTAAAGATATCAAGCAGTACAGTTATCAAATACGCTTTTAATTAAAATACTTAAATAGGTGAGTCCATTGCTAAAATGCCTAGGAATTCCTGTTAATTAATGGCCGTGCTTCTTAAGCCAGCACTTATTTTTTGCTAGCCACTTTGTTCTATTCTGCCAATGCGTAAATTTCTACCCAAGCCATGGAAATAATTCACATTTTCCCTTTTCACACAGATGAAGAAGAAGAAATTGAGCAAACTGGCTACTGGACATCTGATTGCACCATCTTGAGAGGCATTGTCTGTGAAAAAAGATCTTTTGATGGCTCTGTCAAAATTTACGAGGATGAATCGATCGTCGAGGCCGAGACTTTTTACTGGCATCCACTGGCTCAAGATACAGACATAATTCAGAAGGGCTTGGGATTTGTAAGAAATGGTCTGGGATTTGGTAAAAACACCGAGAAAATTACCAAATACTTAGCCAACAACACTGTTGATACTGAATTGCCAACAAAAAAGAAAAAATAAAATAGAAATTCCACCACATATCCAACACTCCTTTTTGTGCGTTCTTATTTCCTTATTTCAAAGTAGCTTTTATATAGAATATTCCTAATTGCTTTCCTTTTTTAAAACGGCAGAAACCTTGGATATGTGCTCTTCTATCTCCTTCAACTCATCAAAAACATGGCTTCTGGCTGCTGCATATGCATCTTTTTCAATTTCCTCAGATGTCATTTGAAGTTTATTATTATCCATAGATGGGTCAAACAAAGAATATTTGGCAAACCAGCTTAAACGCAAATAACGCTATATAAGTCAAGCTTGCGCATGTTTACGTTTATATTTGCTGTGTTTGTTTATCCGTTGTTATTTATCTGTTTTAGACTTCCCATTGCCACATAAATTGCTTAAGAATTGTTTACACAATGTTTTACATAATGAATGTCGTGTCCGCAGTAGTAGCACAAGACAGTCTTCTGGAATCATTTAATCAAGAAATATATCCACTGCTTCACAGCGTAGCTGACTCTGATCACTTCTCTAAGATCAAAATGGCCTTCAATGAAAGATGTCCAAAAGAGTCCAAGCAGTGTACACTGAGTTCATGTACTGTTCCAAAGATTCAGTTTGAAGGTGTGGATGGGTATATCGATTTGAGTCGTGTTGTTGAATCGTTTTCTACTACCTCCCAAGGCTCTTCTGATGTTTGGAAGGAGATGTATTCCCTAGCAAAAAACAACATAATCCTAGAGAAAGTACTAAGTGGGCTGCACTTCTCAGTCACAACACACCTAGCCTCGAAACACACTAAAATACTTAATTTTTACTTTAGAAATCCTCTATTATTCAAAAAACGATACAAAAAGGAATACAGAGATAATTTTATGTTTCTATACTCGATAGTTAGAGCCTCGTTGGCGACACTTGCAGTGAATGCTGGAGAAACAACAGAACCAGCCAAGTTATTGAGTATTAAGACAAGAAGGTTAATGAAAAGAGAATATGAAATAAAAAAGGATAGAAATTCATTTCTCAGTGACGCAACCAACAAGAAATCACTTTTGGATGGTAATTCAGTAAAGGATGTTGAGCATTTAGATGATGAGAACATTCTGGAACCGAGCAGTGCAGAAGAATTCATGAATGGTCTTCCAAAGATAGGAAAGGAAAATATTGAAATAATAAACGAAATGGTAAAGCAGGTTGCTTGTCTGCAGTGTCAAAAATGCAAACTGTGGGGGACCATCCAGGTCAAGGGGCTTAAGGGTGCAATCAAGGCCTTAAACCGCATGCCTCTTTTCAAAAACGAGGTGATATGTCTCATTAACTTATTTAGACAAATGAGTATTACAATGGTTGAAAGCAAAAGAATGCTGAATATTCAATTCCCCATTCTTTATATCATTATTATCTGCCACAAACAGATGTTGATGCTGACTGTCACTTTACTTGCTCTAACACTTTTACTTCTAAAGCTGAGACGAAAAAGACACTTGAAGACGGATTGATTAAAGCAATTCAAAATAATTGGTATTTGCATTTTACTGGTTGCAGGAGGCTAAATATGTATATGTTACATCCATTTTAAATTCTTTTTGATCATGTTCGTCTACCTGCAAAACTAATTTATCAATTCTATTTTGTCAAAGCTGGGCTTGGTTTTTATATTGGCCATTGAGCATATTTCCAATAGATCAGCATCAATTGATTTTCATTTGTTCACTGCTATTTGTCATTACTATCAAATGTTTCAGATCCATTTAAAACATTTAAAACTTTAACCCTCTCTATGGATAAAATTCTCATTGCAGTCAGCTCAAACGATGGAAAGAAAATTGATGAAAAGAAAATAGCGGGTTATATTGCAGAACTGAATGATTTGAGTCATGAAACACTTAAGCAGCTGCTTAATAGCTGTTCTTCCCAGGAACTGGCATTATTTATAAAGCAGGAGTTTTTTAAACAGATAAATGCTAGAAACATGAAAATTACTGGTGAACTGGCAGAAGAACTGCGATCTGTGTCTACTGAAAATACTAGGAACGTTGTGGAGCTTTCGGACCACGTGGATGAAAGTGAAGATTTGGAAAGATACGACAAAAATCTAACGGAAGAGGAGGCAATTAAAAAACATTCGTTTAATAATTCTAAATATGATAAGGCTTTGGAAATGTTTTTAGGTGCTTTTAAGGCTAATGTTAAAGATATTAATTTTGACAAGGCTGTATTTCTTTCAAAATGCATTGTAGAACATCACATCAGTGAATTTTCATCCACATTTCCAAAAGAGGTCAGGTCAAAAAGCCATAATTTGAGAGAAAATTCCAAACTATGCCTGAGCGTGTACACTTCGAAGATTGACACATCGGATTTCGTTAAGATGTTGCCTGCACAGATGCAGAGTGAAGAGCTTAGAAGTAGAGATAGTGAGTATATCAAGGAGAGTTTACTGGCTTCCCAGGTTGCAAGTGCTGCAGCAGATACAGACATGTTTCAATGCTCAAAATGCAAGCAAAAAAAATGCACATATAGTCAACTGCAAACGAGGTCTTGCGATGAGCCTATGACCACTTTTGTGACATGTACGAATTGCGGACACAGATGGAAGTTTTAATCAGCTGCTTGTCCCAGTGTGGTTTTAAGTGTATTCAAATTTAATAAAGATCTGCATTTAATGTTTGGTATATATTACATTTAATTTTTTAGTATATTGAATAGATCAAACCTATCTAAATATGGTGTATGTGTTGTGTTACGCTTGACTATAACTAAAAAGGTAACAATAGGGACTACACTTAGTAAAATTTGGCCACGCGGAACAAGTATTAAAACTTCTATAATGCTTTCGACAACCGAGCTCCCCGTGCTTATCTAAGGAATAACATATAAGCAAATAAAAATAATTTAATCAGAACTGCAGTTTTGTAAATAGCCATTTAGCCTTTTTGGCCTCAAAAGCACTCTTCAAAATTTTGTTGGCTTCTTGGTTGAGTGCTGCTCTACTATTTATGTCTTCAGGACTTTTCTCAGCACTAAGAGCATCCAAGCCAACATCGGCCTTGTATCTAGTTGCAAGGACATGCTTCATATTTATCTTTTTGATGAAAGTAACAAACTTCATATTTCTTCTTTTCTGCCATGCAGGAAGATAGTCTGGAGACTCCTCCGGGGTTCTAGAAATACCAGCGAGAAGAAGCATGTTGTTTTCCAACTCTTTAACAACGGCTGCCTTTTTTCCAGCTAGTCTTCCATTTGTTATGAGTACAATCATGTTTGGCTTAAAAATCATCTGAGGATGGGGTCAAAAATTTTACAAAAATTTTTATTGGATTAGAAAAGATACAGTTAACATCCAGAGATATATTGGGTCTTTTATTTATAGACGGTGGCTATGTTGTAATGGGCATGTCATGCCGATGTTGTATTACTAGCTAGGTAGCCAAAATTAAATTTCATATTTTCTGTAAAACGGCCAGCTATAAACTAAATAGTTTTATTAGAATAGTTTTCCAACACTGGTAATGATATTTTTGTGCATCACGTCTACAATTGAGAAAATATTTTGCATAATACACTTTTGATATTAAAATGATCCCTGCTTGAATGAATCCTTTTAATAAATCAGTCGGATATTTTAATTTGATCTACGCTGTCAAAGAAGTAGAAAATTCATTTAACTAAATCCAGTTAAAAATTTTTAGAATACCTGTCAAGCATTTTATGTACACAAATATGAACCAAACTCACAGTTTTTTAACTGATTTTTTTAACTGATAAACTTTATAGTTATATTTATTTAAATGACCAGGGTTTGTCTATACTGTCGGTTTTATCAAAAGCCATGGCAGTTTTCAGATCATAAGTCAAGAGAGTTCTTGCCAAATCTTATTTTTAGCTTAACCTTAGATGATCCTTCAATTGGGAAATCTTTCAAGATATTGCTTAATGCAATGTGTGGTTTGGTTATATTGCCGTTTTGATTATATGTATCTCACGCCGCCAAGGCGTTTTTAAATGAGCTTAAAATAAGATGCTTTTATTTATTGCAACGTTACTTTTTTGATTATTGCAAATGGCCCAAAGACAGCCAATGATCACAAAGCGAGTCTGCAAGCTGAAAGAAGTTAAAGAAACAGCTTCATACATAGAAGTAGCAAAGGTTCTTGATGGAAAGGATACACACCAGGCAATAAACTATTTACTGGCAAATATCCACTGCTGTAAAATTGATGAAAGACTATTCAGTCTCATTTTCAGGAAACTCAGACCATTCTTACGCCAAATAATGGATGCAACAATAAAGCAAAGAGTATTCTTTGACATGATGATCTTCAAATCGTTTGCAAAAATATTGCAATTTTCAGAACTCGCCTATGAAAGATTTTTAGAATATTTTTCCGAACAGGATATTACTGAAGTGTTTGAAATACTTGGAGAATGCCAAGAAAAATCAAAAGAGTATCTAGCATGCCTCATTGAATGCATTTTGACAAAGTTTAGACAATCTGCTAGCTTGTTCAAGGAAATAGTCTCTAACCAAATGCTTAATTTTCAAAACACCCACAAAACATCCATAGATCTAAACTTTGAATTCAAAATCATATTACATCTGATTTCAACAAATAACTTTGGGGATAATCTCAAGGAATATTACTCCCAATTTATACTGCCATGTGCTTTGTTCTCGCCCACAGCCAACTTTGAGCCAACATCAAAGCTGGTTGATTCAATTTGCTCAATATCACCAGAATGCCAAAAACTAACGCTGGGATATTTTCTGAAAGTTTATAATCAGGCAAATTCGCTACAGCAGGTTAAAATAGTAGAGCTGACTACAAAGATCATTCACTCGATTTTCTTTTTTCATTCCAAAATTTCTGTTGAGTGGGAGTTCTGTGAAATATTAAACCATGCGCTAAAATCAGAAAGCTATCTTGTAATTGACTGTGTTATTGAGATGTTTGGAGATGCTGCAGTGAAAAGGTTTATTACAGACTGCTTTAAGTCAGTATTGCCAAGAATATTTGATAATCTTTATAGATTAAGTAAAAGGTTTTGGAGAAACGAGCAGAGATACAAAACCATCCAGACGATTGGAAATATTTTGAGGATAGACTCTGAGGTGTTTGAGGAGTGCTTGGTAAAATACAATAAGAAGAGATTCTACAGTGGGTCTCAAGATCCATCATTGGACGATGAGAACTTCTTTATCAATCAAATTAAAAGGATGCAATATAATTTCAATTGATTATTATGATTAAAATAAATAAAATAGAATGATGATTATGCATTGTTGAAGCATCACAAGCTTAGTTTATACATTATTTTACTACACTAAGTTCATTGTATGAATATTATCTTGGAATGGTGTGGTTCTGGAGCTATGCTGTCGGGTACCATACCAAAGTATTCGGAATTTGTGTATTGGAGAGGGACACTCATACCTTGATGCTGTAGGTCCATGTATCCATCCTTATTAACAGATACGCCTACAAGTTTTTCTTCATCAGATTGCTCATTTTTCGGCTTTTGTGGCGCTTGAGAAACACTTGTCATTGGGCCATAGTGATCACGCATGTACATTAGAGACGCACCAATTATTATCAAGTATATAATGACAGGAAACGATATATATCGATCTTCCTGGCATTCTCAATTCTTGATCTATACAGGCATATTATATCTAATACATCAAACTTCAGAACCTGAAACAAGTGATGTCAATGCGTCGTTTTTGTATCAAAACTATAGTCTTAGATAACAAAATATTTACATATTTGAATATAGTAGCATTAGTATATGGGCTTTAAGACTATATGTAATATGTTAAAACCAACTATCTATTAGACGTTGCTACATTCCTTTAATTAACTACTAACATCATTTTATAATTTAAAACAATACTTATTGACTGGTCTAGTACTATTTGGCCACTGCAGATGAGTTTTCATCATTTTCAACACAGAAGTTGAATGCAGAAATATGCCTTTTTAGAATGTGGTCTGCTGGATAGTCTTTGTATATTATTAGATTTGCAAAAAATTTCGGATCGACCTTTTTAAACCCATAGGTGGTTTTATTATCTTTGTATTCAGCCTTGATATGATATACAGTCCCGGGATGATACAGCTTTGGATACAAGTCTGATTCTTTCAAATATCTGTGAACTTCAACTACTTTTTCTATTGATCTCTCAGATTTTGAAAAAACAGTAAATATATTGGCAACCGAAAGACAAAGAAACTTGAAATCCAGGAGTGACCCCAATGAAAGTCTCGGTATAATATCATTACCGTAATTGTATGTTATGAGGTTTTCAATTTTTTGATCTAAAAAAGATTCTGAAACAGTCGGGGGTGATGCAAAGGCAGCCGTTTTAATTTCGCATGCTGTAATAAAGTTGTTTTTGGTGACAATCAAGTGTATTACAGTAGCCACAGCTCCTCCCAATGAGTGTCCAGTAAACAGCACCTTCTTGAGTTTATTTTCAGTGATGATTTGCTTGATATTGCCTAGCTCTACATCAACAAACATGTTTGCTAGTTTCAGTATTCCAGAATGGGCATATCCATTAAAAAACTGCGTATAGCACGCATCTAGATCATTTATAATATCGTTATGAGACAATGTACCCCGAAAACTGACAACAAGAGTATCGTCATCTATAAAAACAATGAATCCAACAAGCTTATGACTTCCTTCGTGGTATTTTATAAACTTTTCTTCGGGTATTTTGAGTCTTTCAAGAGCCACTCGTAGTTTTCTGTCTTTAATATTTGGACGTTTCAAGTCAGGCTTAATGAGAAGAAGCCAGACTTTAGAGTCCAAGTATGCAGCAAGACAATAGTTGATACACTTGATTGCTGATTTTGATTCGTCCCCAGATATTGTCGTATAGCTCTTCAGACAATTGTTCTTTGAACATCCGTTCATGCCCAAATGGTTTTCTTCGTAGCATTCCATCTTCCTAATAAGAAGTCCATCGATGATAAACATGCCAGCTACGCTTTTGAGATTACACACTGTGCTTCCATTTGAGAGAAACGACGAGATGTCGTTAATGGCCTCAAACGACTCTGTAATCTCTGCACTAAATATTTTATTGATTATTTTTTTTGTCAAGCTAGTATTCTTCTCTTCCTCCAACGGAGTATTTAAGTACTCAATATTAAATTTTATTGTAATCCTGCCTAAAAATGGGGGATTTTTATCGTAGTAGTCTGCAGACAGCAAATCAATGATTGGAACAATATCAAAGGTCTGTTCCCCTGTTTTGCTCTCTATCAAATGTTTTAACCTTATAGCAATACCAGCAACTTTAGTACTGGTACTGATGCCTAAAAAGTTTCTGTATTTCTTCAGAATGATAATATATAATGTACCGAATACTAAGTCGTTGAGGGTCTTGACTCCCACTTTGAAAGCTTGATCGAATTTAACAGATTTTCCTTTGTATAAATATTCTGTCGTATCAAAGTCTACTCCATCTGAAGATATTTTTTGGACTGACATGTGCAAACAAATTTGGGAAAACACATTCATGGGCAAAATACAAACGTAGGATAAACCTGGTTTCTAAAAGAACAAATATATAACAGTGCAAATGGAAGGATAGCTTTAGAGAAGTACATACAAAGATATTCCAAGCATACATAGTTGACAAAGAAAACATTTTATTTTAGACACATGGCATGGTTGGAACAAAGCTGTCAATTGTAAACTATGCCTAAATAAGAATGACACCAGTCCACGAATAAGGGCAAATCCACAGGTTGGGCTTAGGATTATGGACATACCATATCATAACATTCGAAGACAGTTCCATACAAACATTAGTTTTGGTGGCAGGCTGCCAGAGTAATTTTTAAAAAAGCTTCTAACTGTGTTCTCGAGCTGCCGTGACTTTTTCATCACAAATATTATTTCCTCTCTTGTCATGGAGTCAAAAACTGTAAGGCAATCATCCTTTAGCAATTCTAAACACTTTATGAAGTCTTGCGTTGCTATTTGAGAGCTCCAGAGTGCATCACTCACTGATTTTTTGAGAAAGTTTATGGTTGGTGTCCTAATATTTGGTTTTGTCTTCAAAACTAGCAATGAGGTACTGCTTTTAATGGCGGAGTACACTGTCTCCAACGACTTCATGGCCAGTACCCAATCCTTATCTTCAAATTTTAGATTTTCAATACAATCCGATATTAGATTGAAGGCAAGCATGGGGTCTTTAAACCTATGAATTTCAATGATGAGTTCCTGGGGATAGAATCTTCTGAGAAGATATTCAATAGTCGTGTTGTGTTCATAGTACTTTTCTAAAAGGGGTTCGATGGCTTCAATATCTAAATATGAAATTAGGCTATGAAAAAAGGTATGGCTATCAGAATACTTCGTAACAATATAATTCTTAAACTCACCAGTTAACCTTGTTGTTTTCAATAACGTCTTTAGAAACAGCTCAAAACTAGAAAGATCCTCAACTTCTTTCAAAAATGCCAAAGTTCTTGCCTCGTCTCTCTTGGATAGGATTTTGCAGAACTGGAGCATTTGATCCTCCGTTTCAATGTGATAAAAATACCTTTTGGTAAAGTTATAGCTTTTGGTGCAAAGTTCAACAAGCTCTTCAGGTGCTAGGTTAAGATCGGAGATAAAGTTAGAAAAAATCTCATCCTGTTTGAGAAGTGCATCGAGGAAGAATCTTTTAGAAATGCCAAGCTCGTCTTGGTTAAAGGCATCTATGAGGCTCTTGGCGATGACTGGTCTATGTCGAAGGAGACTCTCGGTAACATCCCAGTTGTAATCTTTGACAAAAGATTTAATCTTATTAAAATCAAAATCAGGGAGTGAGCAAACAAAGCTCTCTTTAAAATACTTCTTTTCAGAGTAAATTGTTTCCTGTATTTTTTCGTAAATCTCTGGTTTGCATGCCTTTAAAATTATTAAAAATGTGCTAAAATGCCGAGAATTCTCTCCAAAAAGCTCAAGAACAGTATCAATGCTACTTTCGTTCATTAAAAAAGACATCTCTTTCAGAACCCTGATGCTCTCGGCATTATTATTGAGGTATTTATTTATTCTAGTAGATGTTGTTAGATACCCAAAAAGATGTTTGATAGGGCCATCTTTCAGTCTAAACTGACCCACATCATCCTTATTAAAGTATACATTCAGATTGTTCCAAATTTCGTGTTTTGGTTTTTTTATTAACGTTTCTATGATAATTTGCTCAAATGCTTTCAGAATGCTTTTCTTTTCTAACTTTTCTCTGCTTTTCTCAGAAAAATTAATATTTGAAGATGGAATGAGATGTTTTAGTTTTAATGGAAGCAATTGATCCAGCTTTGTTCTTATTTCAGTCAGCAAATCCACAAAATCAGCCTTCTTTTTCTCTTCTATTCTAACTTCTCTGCCTTGTATTCCGACTATTATTCCGAGAACTAAAGGCGCATTCCGAGATGAAATAACAGATGTAACGTCTCTTAGAGCTCGTATGTAGTCTGTATTGTCGCTGTTGAGTGAGTTTATAATATCTGTGAAAGTCTCCTTGTCATTTAAATCCATCTCCGATATAGGGTGCAAAGGTAGAAATCTTGAATTGGCCAAGAATTTTAGGAATACCATAGCAAACAAAGAACTGCATTATAATATCTATTGTTTAAAAGTCTATTTAAACATCACATTAGCCCAGCAAGATTGTGGTCAAAATGAACTATTAACAACGGGAGAGGACATAATTATTATAACTGCAGAATCATGCCTACAATCCTAAAGCAATTACATACCTTGCTTTATATGACTTCGAGTTGCTTTTAAAAATAACCACCATGTTTATTCCTACGCAATCGATTGTCCTGTAATTTCTGAAGCTGGTTTATGACCTTCTGAAAAATTTTGGTTTGTTTATCTTTGTCCCACTACCCTTCTATGGAATCCTCAGATTTGAACGTAATAGTTGCAAGAATACAAGATCCAGATCCAGAAATACAGTTTTCGGCCCTTAAAACACTGCATTCTTTTATTTCCTCTGCCCAGGGATCTGTAGGTTTTAAGCAGCAGGATTTATACGACAGGATAGATGAGTTCGCTAAGATTGTTGAAAACCTTGATGGAGACAATAAAAAGTATCTTTACGATCTAATAAGTGTCATGAATCTATTTCACAATGACCAGAACATTCTCAGATTTAGGTTGAAGGGGTCATTCATACCAATCTCTGAGTGGGGACTTCAGTATGTGAGAAAGTTAGTGTGTTGTATTTTGGATGTCATAAACCAAAAGCTAGAAATAGAAGACTACACTTCTCTAATCGATCCCATTTCCGAATTTCTATTCCATCACAATGCCGAGATTGAGGCCATTGATTTTATCTTTGAAGTATCGTTTGTGAGTCAAAAAGTAGAAGTAAGTGAAGGGAGGAATAGAAGCTTTGCAGGGGACTTCGTTGATTTAATATTCAAATATATGGATAAGGACAATGAGGAGAGAATAACTCTATATTTGGAGGAAATGGATAGATTTTACACTATAGATAACATTATGCTAAAATTATACAAGAATAATCCTAGTAAGCTTCTAGTGTATTTGCTTCGTTTAAACAGGAAAAGCGACGCTGTTGAATATGTATGTTCTCTTTCAAATACTCCTTACTATAGACAGTGCCTATTCATTCTAGCAAGAAATAATATATATTTTAAGGAGAATGATGGTGAAACCGAAAGAATCCTATCGAACTCGTTTTTGTCTGAGAATTTTTTCGATGTAGCGTCATCTCTTGAGCTGCTTCCATCACAGAAACTGGAATATATTTTTAAGTCACTTGACAAGGAGAAAACCGAAGCAGCTGCAATTGCAAATGCGCTTGTCCATTTTGCCTATTGCCGTGACCCGGTATTTTTCCCATCTACTGATGATTACAAAGTCAAGCAGGATCTTGTCGACCATCTAAAAGCAAATGAATCAATCTCTGTTTTAGCTTCTGTAGGATTGATAAACTCCTATTCGCACGAAAAAGTAATTGAATACTATTCAAGCTTAATTTATGAAAAGGCCAGCGCAGGTGCTATTTTGGCACTCACAATAGCATCTCAGAGACATCACGACCTTGATTTTGAAAATATCAACTTGCTGATTCCATTGCTTTCTTCTAGCAAGAAGAACGATGTGTTGGCGGCAATGCTTGGGATTGCTGTTCTTTATTCGGCATCATCATCTCAGGCTGCTTATGATGCTGTGTTCCCCTTGCTTAGCTCTCCTGATTCTGAGATTGCGCTATTTGCAATATTTATCCTAGGCTCAATATTCGCTGGCACATGTGATGAGGGTGTTATAACATCCTGTGTTGATATATATAACGAAATTAAGAATGATTCATCCTTTTGCAATCTATCAGTTCTTGGAATCTCCTTAATATTAATGAAGCATCCAGAGGCTGTCAATTGTAGTTTTTTCTCTAAACTTGACAACTACACAAAAATATTATCATTTGGATTGATGAATATGGGGTCGGGAAACCCTAAGATTGTCGATGAAATACTCACTGATGCCTTCACTGGTGATACTGATGCTCTTCTCGAATCACTGGGTCTTATTTCTAGCTGTATTGTGGCATTGGGTGATGGTATTGCAACTTCTCTATTGGACAGGATTTGTAATTCATCACTGCTTCTTGATTCTTCTCATCTTAGACATGTCTTCCCATTGTGTCTCGCCTTGTTGTACCCCTCTAATCCTAGGTCTGAGGTTATTGATGCATTAGAAAAAAGTCTCAGCAGTGGAGAGACAGATTGTAACTCCTTATTTTCTCTTGGAATAGTCGGTGCGGGTACAAGATCGTCCAGGATATTAAGAGTTTTTGATACCAACTACAATAATATTTACAAAGATTCCAGAGCGGTATCAGCATTAGTAATTTCGCAAGGATTAATTAATTTAGGAAAGGGGCTGTTTACTCTTTCCCCATTCTATTATGAAAAAACTGTCATTGCCGACAAGCCTATTATTGGACTACTCACAGTGCTTTTTTTGTTCTTCGATCAGACGCTATTTCCTGATTTTTCATATCTTTGCTATATTTTGAGTATGTCCATTTCACCTAAGTATGTTAGTGGATATGAAGGATCATGTAGAGTGGGCAAACCAGTTGACATTGTTGGCCTTACGGGAAAGCCCAATAAACTCAGTGGTGCTGTGATTCATACACTTCCAATTGTTTTAAATACAAACGAAAGAGCAGAGGTTAATGATGAAGTATTGACTTCCTACATTGAAGATGTGCTGATTAAAAAAGATAAATGAGCTTTGAAATATATTTTTATCAACTCCTTTAGTATAAGACCTGTCTTTATTACCTAGACTCGTATGCATGTTTTTCTTTGATTATTATAATCTGTTGGCACTAATCATTCATGCTAACAGATGTTGTAGTTTGCTTCGACTCTAAACCGATAACTTTAAGGTGGTGTTGAAGTTGTTATAGCCACTACCCACTCGGGGTGTTTAAAGTACAAGATGGTATGGAATTAGGCTAAATTCCTGCTCCAAAACTGCTCAATGTTGCCACTTTAAAATTGAAAATATCTAATATTAAAATCTTGAAACTAAATACAAACCTAAAAACATTCAAATAGATCTGCAAGCAATCAAAACCATGCAAAAGTTTATTTAAGGCAGCGCATGCCGAACACGTCGGTCAGTCCGGGGTTTCACACACTTTGTCCATAAAAAATTCCTCTTCAATAAAATATTCAGCCAAGAACTTCAATTGAATGTCATTTTGTACCATTAAGGTTCTTTGTTTTCTCAGCTCAACTAGAACATCAACGAATTTTTCGGGTGTTACTACCTCTCCTGTTCTTTGAATATCCTTTAATATCCTGAACATAATAAATGTCCCCGTTCTTCCAACGCCTGCCTTGCAGTGGATGATTTTTAGTTTATCTTTTGGTATGTCTAAGGTGTATTTCCACAATTCCTCCATCTGCTTCCTTTCCAGCACACCATGGTCTTTCCACATGGAACATTTAATCACCCTAATGGTTTTATTCTCAATTTTATATATTTGATCTATCAAAAACTCTGTTTCATCCAACATTTCTGCTTTAGATTCTAATACTTGATATCCTTTTAGGTAGTGTAGATTTTTTTCTAGGCAAATCAGATACTCTGCATCGCATTTGAGCAGAAATTCAACAAATAATGCACCAAAGGTGAGCTTTGGTTCCTGACAGGCAATGTAGTAGTCACCATTTAGTATTATAAATGATGCATTGATATATTTTTTGAGCTTGTATTTGTCTGCCACCGATTCATCGTAGGGTGTGACGTCTCTATATCTATCATATGAATGCAAAGCACATCGAGAAAATGATATTGCTAGGTCTAATTCGGCCATAAATCTTTGATACTGCCGTGTTTTGAGATGTTTTATTAGTTTTACTAATTTTGATGTATCAAACAAAGTTGAATGATCTGACTGCAAAAACATGGGTTAAAGCCATGTGCTTACTTCTTCGCCTTTAATTAATAATTTATTGACCACATTTTATTAGATCTTGAGCATAAGTTTGTACTAAAAGAGCTATGCAGTTATCTTGCCGTTTAAAGCATTGAGGTTCTTCTCAAGACTCTCAAAACCAAACACGCTGTGGTTGATGTATTTAAATGACTTTGTGCACGTTTTAACAATCATGTTGGATCATTAATTACTTCTGAATATATTTGGACATTGATAAGGTTTTTCAAAAATTCACGTAGTAGTGATTATATGACTGGCATGTTCAAGGCAGTAAGATGTGCTCTTTCTGAACTGACATTTACTAGTATAACTTTTAACAGGATTGAATAATTCTAACTTGTATTCAACAGTATTTATCATTCCTAGCATCTGTCAAACGTCTTGTAGAGATCTTTCAAATCACTCATTAAAGACAGCGTGTCTATTATTTCCATCGTTGCTATTGTTTCGGCTTTAATCTTGTTAAAAAGTTTGATGTCGACCTTGGCTTC